GTTTAGTTAAGTAAATCAATATTACAATTGTTATCATAGTAAATTTTGAATTTATGTTGTCACATCTATTTCAAATTCAAAAGCTATGTTATACTCCTATATTATAAGGATTTAACTTTTCTCATTTTTCAAATATATTCATTTTTATGTCATGATTCAATTATATTTATTTAATTATACTTTTATTTGTTTATTACTCATTTCTCATAATTATTTTTAAAATACACGGGTTTTTACGGGTTGGTTCTTTTATTTATTTTATATAATTGTTGTATCTTAAATCTTAATACACACTTTTCCCAAAGAACTGAAACCAAATATATGCCTTCAAATCTCGTCAATCTGATGGCCGCTAGAACTCGACTTCGAGATCGAGCTAAGCATGAACAATTGAAGAACGATTTGGTCGAGCACTCTAAATTTTCTCGCAATCAAGTTTAAATTTTTACTGTACTTTATGTTATAATTTCTATCTTATAATTTATCTCTTTTGTATGTTTTCAAATTCTAAATTTGCAATAATTATAAGATTTTCTTAAATTACAAATTATAAATTTATTTAATTTTTTAAAAAATAATTTTTTTCTAAGATACCCAACTTAAGATCCTACCTATAAACACTTCTCAAAACTAAAAACAAAATTAAAACTCTTAAATTCTACTTTTTCAAATTTAATACTAAATTAATGTAAGATACCCTAATTAACATACTACCTATAATGTTGCTCTTAGACCATCATTATCCATGGTATCTTAGGAGTAGTATTTGCACAAAATACTTTTTTATGCAAATACTACTCCTAAGATACTATGGATAATGCTGCCCTTATTAAATGTAAGAATTATACTAAAAGATTTTTGATAAAAATTTTAAGTGTAAAAATTACACTAAAAGATTTTAAATAAGATAGTTTCTAGTGTAGTTCTTACACTTAAGATCTTATATTTAATGTTACCCTTACAACTCTAGGAATTAAGATGTGTTCTCTTACTGATCTCTTCTCCACGCTTGGTCATTTGCTAGTATTCTCGAATATTTTATGGTTCATTTTGCTATACAAAATACCAATTCATCCTTAGAAAAATCCGTCAATATTTCTCACTTTCTCTCCCGCACCGTAGGTCCATAGTCTTTAGTCTTAACCATGCCAATACAAGCAATCCATGTTGGCAAGAGAAAAAGAACGTACATGATTAGAGAATATCTGAGAAAGTCTAAACTTGTCTAGTCGGGGGCATTCGAATATCAAGAGGACATGCCTTATCTCGTCCAATATGATGATGGTAGTGGTACTTGAAGAGTTGGATCTTATATACTGTATATCGACATTGTTCTCATCATCATGTTCATACTATGATACTAATTACGAAACATTTAAAGAAATATTGAGAACTTTGCAAGTCCTTGACGATGATACCTTTGGTATAATTCAATTAGTCGTTGCTTTGATTTTTTCATTTTCTTTTTGAAATAGTCGTCGCTTTGAAATTTTATGTTCATCATGGTGCATAGATAAATGTTTTCATGTATTAATTAAAATTCTATATTTTTTTCAATCGACATAAAAGCTGTAGATTTACATTAGGACTACAAAACACCCTAAATTATGACCAAATACTCAAGTTATACATTTGGTCATTCGAAGTTTTATTTAATAATTTGTAAAATCATTAGCTTTACAACTAATATTAGGTAATTACAAAATAAAAATGTATTAAAAGTAAAAAATTAAGAAAATTATTTAAAGATATAAAAAATATATGAAATATTAAAACTGCAAGTCAAATGCTGACACATTATCAATTCCAAAAAAAAAAATTGAGATATTTCATACCTTTTAAACAAAACAAAAAAATCATTAATAAAAAGAAAAAAAAAATCTACTTTCTTGTGAATCTGTCACATTCAATAATTTGAAGACCACTCAACAGTATAAGGTAAATAATTGAAAACAAAATCTTCAAAAATAAATAGAAACAAAAATTATACAGAAGATGATGATGATATGGAAAAACGATTGGCTAATATTCACTGTGTCTCTTAAAACCATCCATTTAAAAGAGATAAGATGGAGCCTACTCTCATCCAATCCAAACCAATATCTCTCGATTCTTATCTAATCCCATCATTCTCCACCGTCAGATCATAATCCAAACATTACTACGATACACCGCAATGCACAGGATCAACATAATCAAGATCATCGTAACCGTCGGATCATCTTGAAATATACACACGAGAACCTCATATCCTCGTCTTCCCTCTTCGCTCTCACTGTCAGATCAGAACCTTTTTTTTTTCTTCTTCGAATCAATGGAGTCACGCGTGCTGTTACGCGCCACCGCGAATGTCGTTGGAGTTCCGAGATTGAGACGACCAATCGGAGCCATCCACCGCCAGTTCAGCACCGCGTCTTCGTCGTCGTTCTCGGTTAAGGCAATCGGAGGACTCGGAGAAGGAGGGAACCTGATCTCCGGTCGTCAGCTCCGTCCGATTCTGCTTCTCGACTCGTCGATCAACGGCGGAGGAGGGGAGAAGAGAGAGATTCTCAAACCGGTGAAAGCCGCCGCAGCCGAAGGTGGAGATACCGCTGGGTAAGAGGAGGTCCGTTTCTAGCTCAGAACGAGTTGGCTCGTTTGACTCGGTTGATCTGAACTCGTTTTGTGTTTTGTTTTCGCAGGCAAGCTAAAGTTGGATTCCTGGCGAAGTATCCATGGCTCGTCACTGGGTTCTTCTTCTTCATGTGGTACGTGTCACTTTCTCGTAGACTGCGTATCTTATCTTTAAAACATGCGTACTTTAGCAGATTCTTACCGCCAAGTTTATGGGAAGTGTTAAATTTACGGTTTTAACCTCGGTTTGGTTTTTTTATTTTTATTTACAGGTACTTCTTGAATGTGATTTTCAACATCCTTAACAAGAAGATCTATAATTACTTCCCCTATCCCTAGTAAGTGTTTTTGTTTTCATAACACATTTTACATGTTTTTTTGTTTTAAGTATATAATTTGTTGATCAATCACAGTTAAATTAGTTTTAAATCTTTTGGTATAATTTTATGATCGAACCATATTCTATTGTTGGTCCAATGTAGAATCGAATCCGAATATTGTATCTAGAGAATCTTTTTTTTTTGTTATAAAATAAAGCTTGTCTTTTTATACAAAAATTAATAGAATAATGCTTGTCTTGTTATTATCAGTTTTGTATCGGTAATACACTTGTTCGTGGGAGTTGTATACTGCTTGATCAGCTGGTCCGTGGGTCTTCCCAAACGAGCCGTAAGTAACATCTCCTAATAGCTGCAAAATGCAAAAAAGGATGGGGCGTTCCGAGAATCGAACTCGGGACCTCTCGCACCCAAAGCGAGAATCATACCACTAGACCAAACGCCCTTATTGTTTACGTCTGTATAATGTTTATTTGTATTTCATTTAGCCGCTTTGGCTCATGTGAATGATTTTGAATGTTGCAGCCTATTGATGCGAACCTCCTCAAGGTACTGATTCCAGTTGCAGTCTGTCACGCCTTGGGACATGTCACTAGCAACGTTTCCTTTGCTGCTGTTGCTGTCTCCTTCACTCACACCATTAAAGGTACTCATACTTTGTTTTTCTTTCTTTCAAAATCATTTGATACAAATCTTATACAATTGTATGACATTTCTATCTTTTTTGCCAAAACGTAGCACTTGAGCCATTCTTCAATGCGGCTGCTTCTCAGTTCATTATGGGACAATCCATCCCCATAACACTGTGGTTGTCTCTAGCTCCTGTTGTTCTTGGTAAAACACTCAATTCTACTCTTTTTTCAGTGTTTCTTTTCTTTTTAAAAATTTTCTTGGATTAACTTTTAAACTTTTCTAGGTGTTGCAATGGCTTCACTAACTGAGCTATCATTCAACTGGCTCGGTTTCATCAGTGCTATGATCTCAAACATTTCTTTCACATACCGAAGCATCTTCTCCAAGAAAGCCATGGTTCTTGATTCTTATATCTCTTCTTCTCTACGCTATTAACTCGCATCAAGTTTTGATTATTGAAACCGGATTGTGTTTTTCTTTCAGACTGATATGGACAGTACAAATGTCTATGCTTACATCTCCATCATCGCTCTCTTCGTTTGCATTCCTCCTGCCATCATCGTAAGTCACTTTTATCATCTCTCACTGGTTACTTATATAAGAAGTAATATGTTTTTCTTGTATTATTAATTAGGGTCTTTGGTTAAATTTTGTTCTTAGGTTGAAGGTCCTAAACTACTGAACCACGGTTTCGCTGACGCAATTGCTAAAGTGGGAATGACTAAATTCATCACTGATCTCTTCTGGGTTGGAATGTTTTACCATCTCTACAACCAGGTAATGTTTTCAAATTTCAATCTTTTAACCTTTTAATCCTGCGTTTTGCTAAAGAAACTAAAACATTTTATAAAAACCCTCGGTTGCAGTTGGCTACCAATACCTTGGAGAGGGTTGCACCATTGACTCACGCTGTTGGAAACGTTCTGAAACGTGTGTTCGTGATTGGTTTCTCCATCGTTATCTTCGGTACAAGATTACTCCAACTCTCTTCATACAATACTCTTTACTTACTAGACAATCAAGAATGTAACACAAAGTGATATATTTTTGCACCTTTGATTAATATTTGCAGGAAACAAGATATCGACACAGACAGGTATAGGAACAGGAATAGCCATTGCTGGAGTTGCAATGTACTCTATCATTAAGGCCAAGATCGAAGAAGAGAAACGGGTTAGTTCATTCTTTCACAACAAAGCTTAAAGATATTTTCATAAAAATCAAGATGATTAACTAATATGAGAATTTGGATCTTATGTTTTGATGTTTCAGCAAGGAAAGAAAGCATAGAGAAGGCGGCGGAAGACGGCGGTCGAGGGTTGCATAAACAAAGTTCTCCGGTGGATATATTTTATATAATAAATAACCAAAAAATGCAATATAGTATGTTGTATTGTACCATCAACCATTGTTTCTTGAGTTATTTTTACAATCTTTTTGCTTTCTGAAAAGTTTATATATATTTTTTCATTCTGCTACCTCTGTTTTTTAATGGAGTAACATTTCCATTTCTTCTGATATAATATGCAATTATCTTGACGGATAAAAGCATATAACCATCATCGTAGAACTAAATTTTAGTTTATTTCTTGCAACTTTTTTTCCTTTGGTAATTTTGTTTTTAAAACTGGTAATTTCTATTAGATTGGTTTATATTTTGTTCTTGAAAATTGGTTATATATTGTTCTAGTAGTTTTATATGGGTTGTTGTTATACAAACATATCAAAGTAGTTTAGAAAGAAGAGGTAACATAGTATAAAAAAAAAGAGAGGAAGCAACCATCAATCAATTTTAACCTTTTACCAAAAAAAAAAACCATCAATCAATTAAGGTAGCGTAGTGAATACCACAGAGAGTAAACTCTAGGATTCAGAGAAAAGCCATGACAAGTAAAGTAACAGAGAGTTAACTCTCCAAGAGGTACCATCGAACCCATGTAGTATCGGGATCGAATAGTAACTAACAACGAGACTAATTGGAATAAGGGTGGGAACAATGCACTTTAAATCCATCTAATAATATTTTCATTTGCATCACAATAGATCTCACACATGAGATTCTCTAAAGATATGAACCAACAGAGAAAAAGACATGCATGAACTCACTGAATCCATTATTTTATACAAGACAGAGTATATAGTTTGCTCAATCATTAGTGTGAACACTAAATATAGTAAAGCATACACACACAAATACTATATGATCTTCCAGAACTTCAGATAATTTAGCTACACTTATTTCTACTTAAACTTGGATGTCACAACAAAATAAAAAAAATAAATGCAGGTTTTGATTTTTGTATAAAGGAATTAAGATCCTACCAAATATTTAACATTGAAGAAGTTATATACACAAAGAATTACATGTGAAAACATTGGAAAGAGACTGACAAGGCAAAATTTACATGATTAACATCTTAGATTTCATCCAAGTATCCAACGATAACCAAGATCAGACCATACCAAAAATAACAATAAGAAAGAATACAACTATAAAAGCAACATGTAACGTATACAAAATCAAATGCCAGGATATTTACAAAGCTCAGAGAACTGCGGTGCTTTTCAGCTTCAACAATAAGAAATGGTTAACTTTGCAGATCATTAACATTCATCACCAATCATAGGAAACAATAAGACCATAACAGAGAGATAGAGAATGTGCAAATGAGTAAGTAAACAACGAGATGATACAAAGGGTAAGCTAAATGCGGAAATTGAACAAGGAATCACAGTGAGAAAAATGCACCTTCTAAAACATCCATAAATTCTATTGCTGCACAAAACTTCCTCAGTTTTCATAAGACTAATGAGGTTCATCATGACAAAGTTGACAGATCTCAGACATGAGGTTCTCTAAAAATCAAGTATGAACCAACAACACAAAACAAAAACTCATTATATCAATCATTCTACACAAGTCAGAGAAGATATTGCTCACTCAATATTGTAAAAACCAGATATAGGAATAAATATTCAACAGAGAATCATATATTCATATGTTACCTAAAGACTCTGACGATCCTCCATGGAACTTTGACAAGCAAAAGTATTATTAGTATAGCAAGTTAAAAAAAGCGTTAAACTTAGCAATCTGCTATATAAACTAAATGGGCACAAACATTGGAAACAGAGTTATAAATTTACAATTTATAAATATTCAACAGAGAATCACATATGTAAACATGAAATGCACCATTTTATTGATCTAGTCACTTTAAGATACTGACAGTACTTTTGCTCTCACCAACTCAGTCCTCCATAGAACATTGACAAAAAAGAAGTAAACACAAAACTACTAGTATATGCTCGACTGCTCTAAATGATATGAGCACTAGCATTCGAAACAGAGTCATTCTTGAGAAAGGAGTTAATGTCAAATTTACATGATAACAATATCTAATATTTCATCCAACTATGGCTGAACCCAAAATAACCAAGGTCAAACCATAACAAGAGAAAATAAAAACTATAAAAGCAAGACCATAATAAGAAGATATAGAAGGATCAAATGAGTAAGTAACTTTCAACGAATAATGCAAAGGTAAGCCAAATACGTAACTGGAATAAGGAATCACTGTAAGACCATGCACCCTAGTAAAATGAAAGATCATTCTACGCAAAAAAAAGCTGAAAGATCAATCATTCTACGCAAATCAGAGAAGATAGAGAAAACAAGATATAGTAAGCACACACACACCAATACAATATTCCAGAACAACATTCAGCTGTCACATAGTTACATATGCGGTTACACTTAAATGAAATTAAAGCACACAAAACATTGTAACACACATACCTCCTGTAATTAACTGGATTTCTAAACGAACTTGACTGTCACAACTACATGTTATCACTGAGAAATCTCAACAAACAAGGGCATAAGATCATAACAAGAAGGCAGAGAAGGATTCAATGAGTAAGTAACTAACAACGAGATGATACAAAGGTAAGCCAAATACGTAACTGGAATAAGGAATCACAGTGAGAACATACACCTAGAAAAATATCCGTAAATTATATTGCTGCACAAAACTTCCTCTATTGTCATACATATATGGGTTGCATCATAACAAAGTTGACAGATCTCTAAGAATCATGTATGAACAAACACAAAAGACATTCATTGTATCAATCATTCTGCACAACTCAGAGAAGATATTGCTCAATCAATATTGGAAAAAAACAGAGAACACCAGAGAAAACAACTAGATATAGTAAGCATACACAACAATACGATCTTCCAGAACAACATTCAACAGTCACATAGTTACCTACACAGCTACACTTAAATGAAAGCACGCAGAACATTGTATACCTCCTGTAATTAATTGGTTTTCTAAACGAACTTGAATGTCAGAAATTATAGAAAATACTGTAGCTTTCCCTGTATAAAGAAATCAAGATTCTACCAAATATTAAAATTGACAATTTATAGGAACAAATATGCAACAGAGAATCACGTGTAAAACATGAGTTGCATCATAATAATTAGCTCTAGTCACCTAAAGACACTCACCAACTCAGTCCTCCATGAAACTTTTACAAACAAAAGTATTAGTATATCAAGTTAAAAAAGCGTTAAATGTAGCAGTCTGCTCCATAAATTGAAACAAAGTTACAAGACTTCAAAAAAGATTGAAGGCAAACTTTACATGATAATGACTGTAACAGGAATAACAACATAAACATTTCATCCAACTCTAGCTAAAGAGAAAAACAAGCACATACCAGATGACAAACGATTAACAAAAGTACGAGAACTCTTGTGTTATTCAGCTTCAACCATAAGAAATGGTCGATTAAATAGATCATTTATAACAATTCAACACCAATCATATGAATAAAGGTAACAAGGAAAGTATATTATAAGTAGCTTAAAGTAACGAGAACCATGATTCAGAACAACTTCAAACTGAACCATTTGATTTAGATTAGAATACACTATTAAACAAAAACAAATGATTTACTATCTTTTTCCAGATTTAACAGTAACAACTTTCAGAAATTACCTACTGTCTTTTAGATTTAGATAACTTAAGCAAAGGCAATATGAATCCTTTTTAAAGACTGATTCCAAGTCTTACAATGGAAACATGATGAAGAAGATAAACTCTAAGAGACTAACCTAAAAATAGCCTGATGATGTTTGGAAACCAGATAAAAACTGCCTGCAAAAAAATATTTGATGTTTGGAAACCATATACAAACTGCCTGCGAAACAATACGTGATGTAAGTCTTAATAATGTCTGCAGAATAATGATTAAGCTTAGAAGAAATATAAGTTTACATACCTGAATTCCCAAAGAAATAGAATATCAAGCAACCACATACCTTTGTCCATAAGCTTGACCATTCACACTTCTGCATACTGAACTTGAAAAACTCTTGTAAGCAAGTCAAGAGGTAAGGAACTACCTGATTTGCGTCAATTAGAAGATCTCTTCTGGCATAAGTAATTTTAATTGCCTCAACAAACACAAGGCATTTGTTTTTCTCCCGGTGACTAGGAACCCGAAACTTCACAGATTTCTGACAGTCTCGTTCTCATTATACCATCAGGGACAGGGACTTTCAGAGAGGTAATTTAAATTACCTCAACCAAGCCGAGGCATTTGTTTCCGCTCGGTGACTAGAAGCTCGAGAATTTACAGAATTGGGACAATCTCGTTCTCATTCTACTTCAGGGACAGGGACTTTCGGAGAGGTAAGTTAATTTACCTCAACCAAGCCGAGGCATTTGTTTCCGCTCGGTGACTAGAAGCCCGAGAATTTACAGAATTGGGACAGTCTCGTTCTCATTCTACTTCAGGGACAAGGACTTTCGGAGAGGTAAGTTAAATTACCTCAACCAAGCCGAGGCATTTGTTACTGCTCGGTGACTAGGAGCCTGAGAATTTACAGATTTGAGACAGTCTCGTTCTCATGCTACTTCAGGGATAGGGACTTTCAGAGAGCCGAGGCATTTGTTACTGCTCGGAGACTAGGAGCCCAAGCATTTAAAGATTTGGGACAGTTTCGTTCTCATCCGACTTCAGGGACATGGACTTTCAGAGAGGTAATTACCTCAACCAAGCCGAGGAATTTGTTTCCGCTTGGCGACTAGGAGCCCAAACATTTACAGATTTGGGACAGTCTCGTTCTCATTCTACTTCAGGGACAATCTCCTTCTCATGCTACTTCAAGGACAGGGACTTTCAGGGAGGTAATTTAAATTACCTCAACCAAGCCGAGGCATTTGTTTCTGCTCGGTGACTAAGCCCGAGAATTTACAGGATTGGGACAGTCTCGTTCTCATGTTACTTCAGGGACAGGGACTTTCAGAGAGGTAGGTTAAATTACCTCAACCAAGCCGAGGCATTTGTTTCTGCTCGGTGACTAGGAGCCCGAGAATTTACAGATTTGGGACAGTCTCAATCTCATTCTACTTCAGGGACAGGGACTTTCAGAGAGGTAATTTAAATTACCTCAACCAAGCCGAGGCATTTGTTTCTGCTCGGTGATTAGGAGCCCGAGAATTTACAGATTTGGGACAGTCTCGTTCTCACTCTACTTCAGGGACAGGGACTTTCAGAGAGGTAATTTAAATTACCTTAACCAAGCCGAGGCATTTGTTTTTGCTCTGTGACTAGGAGCCCGAGAATTTACAGATTTGGGACAGTCTCGTTCTCATTCTACTTCAGGGACAGGGACTTTCAGAGAGGTAATTAAAATTACCTCATACCAACACGAGGCATTTGCTTCAGCTTAGTGACTAGGAACCCGAGAATTTTCCGTTATGGGGACAATCTCTTTTATCATTTGGGACAGGGACAATCAGAGGTAATTTAGATTACCTCGATCAACACGAGGCATTTGCTTTCATTCTACCATCAGGGACAAGGATAGGGACTTTCAGAGAGGTAATTAAATAAAATTACCTCATACTAACACGAGGCATTTGCTTCAGCTCAGTGACTAGGAACCTGAGAATTTTCCGATATGGGACAATCTCTTTTATCATTTGGGACAGGGACATTCAGAGAGGTAATTTAGATTACCTCGATCAACACGAGGCATTTGCTTTCATTCTACCATCAGGGACAAGAATAGGGACTTTCAGAGAGGTAATTTTAATTACCTCATACCAACACGAGGCATTTGTTTCTGCTCGGTGACTAGGAGCCCGAGAATTTTCCGATATGGGACAATCTCTTTTATCATTTGGGACAGGGACAGTCAGAGAGGTAATTTAGATTACCTCGATCAGCACAAGGCATTTGCTTTCATTCTACCATCAGGGACAAGGTAGGGACTTTCAGAGAGGTAATTAAAATTACCTCATACCAACACGAGGCATTTGTTTCTGCTCGGTGACTAGGAGCCCGAGAATTTTCCGATATGGGACAATCTCTTTTATCATTTGGGACAGGGACATTCAGAGAGGTAATTTAGATTACCTCGATCAACACGAGGCATTTGCTTTCATTCTACCATCAGGGACAAGGATAGGGACTTTCAGAGAGGTAATTAAAATTACCTCATACCAACACGAGGCATTAGTTTCAGCTCAGTGACTTGGAGCCCGAGAATTTTCCGATATGGGACAATCTTTTTTATCATTTGGGACAGGGACATTCATAGAGGTAATTTAGATTACCTCGACCAACGCGAGGGATTTGCTTTCATTCTTCCATTAGGGACAAGGATAGGGACTTTCAGCATACCAACACAAGGCATTTGCTTCAGCTCAGTGACTAGGAACCCGAGAAATTTTCCATTATGGGACAATCTCTTTTATCATTTGGGACAGGGACCAACACGAGGCATTTGCTTTCATTCTTTCATCAGGAACAAGGATAGGGACTTTCAGCATACCAACACGAGGCATTTGCTTCAGCTCAGTGACTAGGAACCAAAGAATTTACCGAACAGGGACAGTCTCATTTTCATTAGGGACATAGACATACAAAGAGGTTGTCAGAATTACCTCAATCGAGAAGAGGCATTTGTGTTTCATTTGTGTTTTGCTCCACTAATTTACTGCAACAAAGTGTAACTGCTTCACAACAGTTCCTTAAGTTTACTTATGCATAACCTTACGGACGATAGTGGACTCAGAGAAAACCCCTATTTGCGCCATCATACATTCCCATTAATGGATTCAGCAAGGCATGAATCTCGTACCTCACCGAGTTCCCTCAAAGACAAAACCTTGGATCCCCTCTTGGTCGTAATAGATCAAATCTTCTAATCTCCTTGTTTAGATCTGAGGAACCGAATCTGCATAAAAGAGAAAGAGAACTTGAAGTCAGATAAAAGAAGATTACATGAACAACAAATCTAATCTTCGAGTCTCAGAACAAAAAAAATCCAAACCAGAGATCTGAAAACCCCAATTCATTTCGAAACCCTAATTTGGATTTTAAAATCAAACTCTAATTTGTCAGATGAGATAATCGAAATCTAAGAAACTGAAACCCTAATTAAACTGTTGTTGTAACGAAATCAACGAAACTGAAAGCAAATCATAGAATCAAAAACTGAAACACCAACGAAGGAAGAAATGAAACGTAAGGTGGTTTGGATCGGCGAGTCTCGTCTTCGTCTCCGCCTCTCTCGTACTAACGAATGACTCTTCCGTCGTTGCTTCTTCCATACTCATTAGAACAGAACAACGAATCATGCCATAGAACTTAGAGAGAGCGTCAAAGAGAAAGAGAGAGAAGGAGAGATGAAGAGAGAGACTCATTTTTTTTCCGGCTCCTTCTCCTATTATTTATTTTAATTTATTCAGAATTTTAAAAGAAAAAGAAGAAGTAACGTTAATCTCTAACGGTTATAAACTATTTTGAATACGAATTGTGATGTGTTCTTTTGTTATTTTTCTTCTTTTTACCGTTGGTCGATACAAATAAAATATATTCATTTTTGTTTTGGTAATTAATTAAAAATATTCATTAACAAATGAATATGTGTATATACATTTGGCCATTTTGTAAACTATATAATTTAGCTAACATAGTGTAATGAATTTATAAATTTATTTTCTAAAACAATAACATCATATATACACTTTCGGTGATCGATCATTCGAATTGCTTTTCCGCTAATCAAGCAACCAAACTAATCAAACTCTTTAATCTCTTTTTATTGCTTTTTCATCTAATTTCTTTATTTATTTGTCAACTCATCATATATTTTTATTTTACCAAACGTTTGGTAATGTATCTCTAATCATTGTTTTGACCAATTTAACTTTACCGAATGTTTGGTAATATACAACAAATCCCATATAAGGTTATATATAAATCTCTCAGAGTTTTCTAACATAAACCTTAAAAAAATGGCTCAATCACTAAGCATCACGTCTCTTATCACTTTCTTCATCTTATCTCTCTTTCTTATTCAATCACAAGCAAGTAATCGCCAAACCTTAATCGAACCAACTGATCAAAACCATAGCTTACCGCTGTCGGAGAACCACCAAAACATGAAAACAGATGAGGAAGACGAGCTAGAGCCAGCTTTTGTCCGAGAGACAGGACATGGTTATGGTCTCTATGGTCGTCGTCATTATAAGAGCCACACCAACAACGAAGAAGATGACAACGCAAACGAGAGCAGCGACGACAACGATCATTATTACTACAACAGCGACGCTTACGGAAACCGCAATGGTAGATTTAGGTAACGAGATTCATATGATTTTGTTTTTGGATAATTTGGAATTACTATTTCATTTTTGTTTCCTTCAGATTTGGTAACCTTGAAACTATATACAAAGTTCATGAGATTATTAATTTATGTGAATTTTTCTTTCAAGAAACATGTAAGAATGTGAAATTATTTGAAGTAACTGATGAAATTTTATTTGCAAACCATGATTATGATTAACGGCATAGAAATATATGATATCTCAATAATATAATTTATTCAGAAGTTTAAGGAGAAAGGTAACAATTTAAATTACCTTGAATTATGTGTAACCAAAGCCAACAAATCAATTTATTTGGTCACAAAAACTGAGAGAGAGGACAATTACATAGCATCAAATCGAACTCTAGATTCCAAGCATTGAAGTACTTTAGTTAGACTGGTACCCCAAACACTTGAACCAGATTTGATTTGGTGGTACATCGTTTTCTTTCAACCACTTATACGATATAACCAAACAGTTCAGTTTGTGTTAGAACCGGATCTTGTTAATTAGCGTAATCAAACTCTTTTGTGCCTGCCTTTTTATTTGTAATTGATCTGATATATAAATAAAAAAGTTGTTGATTATGGAGTAACCAATAAATACTTAAAAACTGAAAATAAATGTTTAAAATTTAGACTTTCTGTAATTAAACTGGAAATGATTAGTGTTATATAATAGTTATAAAAAAAAGAGGTAATTTGGATTACCTCACATGGCTAGCATCAAGAACAACAACAACAACAACAAGCTTTCCCATTGGACAGCTAGCTAAAGAGAGAGTGAGAGAGAGAGGGGTAACGTGGTACCAAGGCTGATTCGAACACTGGTCCCAAGTTTTACGTTGTATCTAAAACGTAGACACCAACCACTTGGACCAGATCAGACTTGGTAGTCCTATTCTTTTATTTATATTACTTATACGCAGGTGAAATTGTACGAGAACGCTCTACGAGAACGCTCTAACTCGTAAAGTCTTAAAATTAACACAATTTAATTATTTTTGTAAAAGAAATTTTTTTTTTTTTGTACGTTGAAATAAAACATAAGTAAAAATATTAACTTATAAATGTAATTATTGAGTAAAACAACCCAAAGACCAAATCAAGTAGGAGTGAGAGAAAATGGATGAGGCCAGTAAGGAAACGAAGTGGATCGTAATGGACCTTCCTCTGTGTAGAAGAGAGTGCATGTTTGGGTAGTATTATCGTAAACACCAAAGTTATGTCCCTACGAAATAGATGCAGTTAGGCTTAAGACCTGGAGACGAGCTTGCTGGAACACACAAAGCTTCACCATGTCCAAGAAAAATACAAAGATCTCCAAATCTTCGGTGTAATACATATCTCTGTATTGGTCTTTTCTAACCGACTCTTTCTCTCTAAACACCAAGAACCTCTTTGTTTTGTGCACCACTGTGTCTGACTCAAAGCCGTCCCCGTAATACCTTTAAACATATATACGAGAGAGAGCCATTAACGAAAAATCTATATAAGATAATAAAAAAAAACTATCTAGTGTACATATAATTATTAGTAACATATACGGGTAGATTGGCATAGAACAGTACCACCGAACCATCTTGTTGATGTTGTTGTGTCTCTGCCACATGTAATTAATAACGTTGAACTGATTAATTATATAACAAGAACTACCAGTATATAGTAATTAATAGAAAATCATGAAAAAGCTTACGATGAAATTTTTGAAGACAAGAGGCTTCACGAGTCGGTTGAGAAGTTGCGACATTTTGCTAAATTTTCTAAACTATTTTCTTGTGTGTACATCTCAGCCTAACTGTCTATAGACATGACCTTGAACACCAAGCATGACCATTAAAGAACATTATTGATTATTGAGAGAATTTTTATAGAAATAAAAAAATTTGGACACCAAGTTCAAGCATATAAATTAGGCATGACAAATTCTAAGGAAATAGCATATTTTCATACCAAAACGAAAAATGTAAGACATGACAACTTTTAAGGAAATGATCAAGATTCAAGTCATACAAAGACTACACAATACACATTCACTATATGTATATAAACAATACTTGAATGTCGATGACGATGATCCTCGTTATGACGATGGTCTCCGCCTCTGGTTCTCCACCCGCTAAGATATAGCTTTTTAAATTCTGTTTTATTTTCCAAATACTTTCTAATTTTTCAAACCAACTGAAGCATTCTTTGTACACATGATTTTTGATTGAATAAAATTTTACATTCAATTCAAAAAAAAAACATACTTGAATGAATTTAAATAAACAATACTTATATTTAGAGTGGTATAGACATCAAGTTTACATTCTAGAATCATATCTTATTGTATCTCACCGGAGACAACAGCAACAATTCTCAAACTTGCCAAAGCTTGAGGCTATAGCTCCTTTCACTATTAGAGCGCCTAAGCGGATTTGTTATATTTGTGTGAAAGTAACATGATGAATTGATGATGCACAAGAGTATCATAGGCTCTTGATTCAACTTTGTAATGTTGTGAACTTCTGAGACATTTTGTATTGTGTGATGGTGAGAATAAAAGAACACTATTCTGGACGATCAAAGATTGGAAATTAATGTTATGAAATGTGGAAAATTAATTCTGATTTGTTATATTAATTCTGATTCTGAATCCTTTGATTGTATAAGCTTTAGTTATCGGTTTTCTCTAGACAATACAAAAACTCGTTTCAAGGAAGGGGGAGCGATCGGGCCCTTCCCAAACCGGTCGATCCTGGGTACTACTTTTGAATAGGCTTCATATGTTCGCCAAATTGATATGTCTTTCACATAATCAGCCATAACTTTTCAATGCACCGTTGAATTTGACTCAACCCCACTTAGAAATAACAGCTAACATCTTCATCTAACTTCTGACAGAAATTGAGAAAGATCTAACGGTGGAAAGTCATTTGTCTGAGAAGAAACGTCTTATGTTTCTAATAACTCTTTATCTTTAAATGCGTGTTTTAATCTTAAAACGTCTCATTTTCCTCAAAACAAATTAAAACTCGTAAAGACTCGGAAAAAGACAAACTAAAAGACTCCAAAAACGAACTTTAACTCAATTAAAAACTTAAAACATATATAAAAACAATGGTTAAAAACTTGATAAACCATAAACACATAATTTTCTTTGGCTTCTTTTCTTTACAATGACTTTAGATATACGCAAGTGATTCACTTTGGTTTCTTTCCAGTTGATTAAGTGTCTTTGCTTCCACGATCAGATATTCAGATCCATTTAACATTTAAACCGTAGAAAGATAAAACCTAATTTTGGCTCTAAAAATTAATTTTGTTAAGTGGTGCTAGTTGCAACAAAAAAAATTACATATAATGTTCTACATTGTGTCTAATATATACTTAAATTCAATATAATTATAATTCAAGTTTCTTAAAAATTAATTACAATGTTTGGAAGATCAGTTTCGATTTATGTTCCTACTATAATCAAAAGAATATTAATAACTTTGAAATGAAATTTGAAAGTCTGAGGTCATTTTGAGCAAGCAAAGAACTATATTCTCTGTTTCTTTCTTTATAGCTATTTCTTACTTTCTTTAAAGCTATTCTTTACTTTTTTTCTATCAAATAGGTAATCTAATGTTCCAACTTGGAATTCAAGTAACATTTAACTATAAAAATCCAGCACCTGTATTTTGTATAATATAAGAAAAATTTCATTTATTGGTTTTTTAATATACAAATATCCTAGAAAAGGAAAGAAAAAAAGAGAAAGGTTTAACATCACAACATTAGCAACCATGGCTAGATTGGTTCGAAGACTATGTCCATCTGCTAGTCATCGTGAGACTCCTCTAATATCAACGACAATCTCATCAAAATGTGCTGCATGTTACGAAGATCACCATGACAATACGCAAGGCTACAAGTGTAGTGTCTGCGAGTTGTGTCTCCACGAGGAATGCCTTGACACCAACATCCCTTCTCGTCATACACACCCTCTCCAGCTCAACGATATGTATTTATCAAAGACATGTTCTCTTTGCCACACCAGTCCTGATACAATAGTTTATGAATGTTCACAATGTTCTTTTTGTATTTGTATCCCTTGTGCGAGAAAACCTCTTGTCATCAGCAAAAGTAAAGCCCATGACCATGAACTCCACCAATTACCGATACAAGTCTCCTTCACTTGTTATTCATGTGGGTTGTGTATTCAAGAATACCCGTGTTTTTGTCTTCAGTGTCGTTTTATAATCCATAGAGTATGCATCTCCTTACCACGTGTTATACGCATCAACAGACACGACCATCGTATCTCTCGTGTTTCTTCTCTTGGCCCTGGCAAGTGGATTTGCGGGGTATGTTATGAGCATGTTAATGGAGAGTATGGTGCATATTCTTGCTTGGATTGTTCTTATGTTGCTCATTCCAAATGTGCAACATCTATTTATAGTTGGGATGGGAAAGAACTTGATGGGGTACCCGAAGAAGATGAAGATGAAAGAAAACCATTTGAAGTTAGAGATCACAACCAAATCAAACATTTTAGCCATGAACACAATCTCAAGGCTTCATTATCATCATCAAGACTCGAGGAACCTAGAGAACATTGCTATGCATGCACCATTCCTCTGTATTCTGAATTGTGCTATAGATGCACACAATGTGATTTTATTCTTCACGATGCATGCGCAAATCTCCCTATGAAGAAAAGACATGAGTTTAGCTCACGAAAACTTAAGTTGTGTCACGAATGGCGGGACGGCATACAATATTTTAGTTGTGGGGCGTGTAGGCGCTTTTGCACTGGTTTCTCATATATGGATGAGTACTCTCTATTCAAGATTGATGTGCGATGTGCTTTGATTTCTGGTGCAATTAAACATGAAAGTCATCCACATTTGTTAGTTATAATTCAGGACATGGACACTAAGAGGTGTGATAGTTGTGACTCGATATGTTGGATTTTTCTACGTTGTAGCGATATAGATAATTGTGGTGGCTACAATTTATGCTTCAGATGTGCTACTTTACCCACATTGTTAAGACACAAATACGATGATCATCCTCTTTCCTTATGCTACGGTGAGAAAAATGTGAATGCGATATATTGTTGCGGGATATGCGAAGAAGAACTATATCCAAAAAATTGGTTTTACAAATGCGATCAGTGTGGCTCAACTCTTCATACTAAATGTGTATTTAATCATCTAATACACTCAAGACCTGGATGTAGTTTAAAGATGGGTTACTGGGACTCATTTTATTTGCTTCCCAACCATCATCTCTCTCGGCCTATTTGCTACTTATGTAAAACTCGTTGTATGGGTGATTTTGTTCTAAACGATAAGGCGGATACAAATACATTCATATGTTGTTCTTGTAAGATCGATTAGTATTGGAAATCAGTTTATAGAACTTATAAATGCATTATGTCAATGTCTCTTGTAAAAAATTTATGAAAATAAAAAACTGTATTGATTAAAGTAATATATTCATCTATTTTACAATTTTGTTTATTCAAGCTACAATATTATTCTCGTCTTTATTACTTGGTGTTAAAGCATAAGTTTTTATAGCGGAGACCACACACAAAAGATCATCACCTCAAGTATGATCTAATCTTCAAAAAAAATCTTCCTTCCTATATGTTGTACGAGTTGGAACAGATGAATACGTATACCAAGACAGATCATCTAGTGGAGTCACCTCATCTCATGGTATGTTAACTCTCGCAAATTCTGGCAACGGTTCTCCAGATGGTCGCATAGCCATATAGGATTGGTATTATAAAAAAAACACATTGTGATTAAAGACAAAGAACTCTTGGAGGAAGTCCGTAACGCCATGACTCCTTTCGGACATCAAAATGGAGCACTAAAAGTTGGCATAATGAGCAAAAAATCTCCCACCGATACTGATGATGTGCGTCTCTACACTGGTTACAATCCTGCTAACGGTTCAGCAAGTCCCATAAGAGTCCATCTACCTCATTTACCAAAAGGTTCTATGATCCAAAACATTGCGATATCCTCTTATCCTAACCTAGACAATGAAGACTTTGTAGTGGCTATCAAGCTTTCTGGCTCTCAAGTTAAGCTTTATAGGACTGCCGCCTTTCCTGGCGTATCTAGGTGGATCAATGTCAAAGCCATGCCCCAGGCTATAAACACTCTTTCGAGTCTCATGTATTCTAAGAAAGATCAAAGGTTCTACGTTCCAACTACTGGATCTGAGTTCTTGTACTCCTTGGGTCCCAAATCCAAGGATAAGGAACATCCCAAGTTCATTAGCTTGTGGACTGAAGATTTTCCTAAGCAGTTGAAACAGGACGATTTGGACGAATTAAATTCGTTTCGTAAGACAGTACACTAGTTCTTCAAAGAACATAGGACAAGATATACAGATTTGGCTAGTTTTGTCTGGATGTGTTGTCCAGAATGTAAAGAATGGAATCTAAACCAAACAAAATCCGAACTAAAGCTTATATTTTTGTCTGGAACTCAACAGAGTTTATTCAATTAAATGAATCAGAATCAGTAATAAGATTACAAATCTTGACCTATATTCACATAGAGATTTTGTCATTAACTTTCCACCATTAACAACATTTCCAATCTCTCCCTGAACATTCTCATCATCACACATTAAAATGTCTCAATACCGATAGACAGAGTCAAATCAATAACCTATGATACTCCTGTGCAACACCATGTACAAAATCATTGAGAGAGCAAGAGGAAGAAAGATTACAATCCGCTTCGGCGCCCTAACAGAAAGACTGTCGACGCAACATCCTTCTTCAAAAATTGTCTCAAGCTTTGGCAAGTTTGAGAATTGCTGTTGTTGTTTCTGGTGAGATGCAATAAGCCTTGGTGCTACCTCTCCCCATGTTTGAACGAACCTCATTTCCTTGGCCATTTTTTTTTTCTTTCACCCAGTTCTCTTTTCCCTGACAACAATCCAATGCAGCAGAAGGAAAACACGGGTTTAGTTTGAGAAAGAAAAAATGGATCTTTTACGAGTGAGGAGGGCAGAGGAAGATTGAAAGATGCTTTTGACTTGATGAATGAAAGATCTTTCAATTGGAGAACTTAGATGTGCATATGATGTGAAGGAGACAAATGAGAGAGAGCTTAAATACAGAGACTTAAGGTGGCAAATATGGAAAATTGAGAAGAAAAAATGAGGATTTTTCGGGATATGGATGAAAATAAATGTAAGGTTTGCAGATCGCCAGTGATGCATTCTCTATAATGCTTTTCTTAGATTTGCTAAACTTAGAGGCTCTAAAAACAGATATACCCAAATAAACCCATCACATTAGAGGTTTAAGAGTAAAAGAAGGGTCAAACAATTATCTTTTTGTCTAATCTGTAGAACCCCAAAATCGAACACACAAGGGTCATAGAGAAAACGGAGGAACCTTATCAGTTTTCTAGAACTATAGGCTCACAGAGAGGTTATATACTCCTTTATATCTAAATGATTATCTATATAGAGACAAAGTACAGCTCTTGAGTATGTAGGAAATATATATGAACCTGGGATCAGAATATGTCTGAGAAAGAATGTAACAGCTTCTCAACTCGAAAGGCTTTTCTTGTTCCAAGAATTGTCACCATAAGGCCTGAGATTGAGAATGATGCATGTAAGTAATTGAACTAAAGAAAAGGTTTCTGCGAATGAATCCTTTTTTTACCTCGGATTTTTCAAATGGAGCAACATGAAGATGATGGATATGACTATGGAAGAAGAACCAACGACAATATAGGTGATGCCGAGGAAATCATTTCTTCCTCCTAACCAATTTGATGTGGAAAGAATAAGCTTCTTCTGCCCACTAAAGCTATAAGTGTTGTAATTGTTCATCAAATTTACTTCAACAACGTTTCCAGGTTCCAGGTCCTCTTCAATTCTTCCATATAACTTTCGGAAGCTTAGCAAAGCAGCTGCTCGCATCCACACGATAAAGTCCTCTTGGTCACTTAGCTGCAAATTAAACAGCATTTCCTAAGATAAATATATGATTTAGACTTCTATGGTAACTGAATTAAGTGGTTAAGAATGCATACTGGGATTTTTGGATCCAACTTCGCTCCGCCAATCAAAGTTCCATTCTGGAAATTGAGAGGATAAACATTTTTTCCAAACTTGTGCTCGCGGTCACTCTTCCACGCAATGTTATTCCGGCTCACCTTTAGTTTTGTTCTTTCACGAGCAAACACAAATGTATCATTGAACATACTCCAAGCTATCAGACCACAAGGAACAATCGGAAGACCATTAGATGACTCCTCGGGTTCACAAGAACTTGTGTGGCTATACTCAAGTCCATGTAACAGTTGCTGGTCACTTCTACTCTTTACATACCTGCAAAAAATCCTTGGCCATCAAATGTTGGACTTTCTCATCACCAAATTTAATAAGTAAATCAATAAGGGATCTAGTTAATTTACCGGCGGTGGTTTTGATAGTAGTTATCGAGCTGGTAGTAGATAAAAATAGGAGCTTTCATATACTTTTTTACCTATAAATGTGGATACAAAATTGAGGATAGTGAGAAGTAGAAAACCTCACCAATATGCAAGAATGAAGATACTCTTATGATTTCCACTAGTTGGGAATCAATGGAGCAGAAAGAAATTACCTTCAAGTACCGCGTACAATTCTTAGGGATCGACGAATCAGTTATATACAACAGTTTGTTGGTTTTATATTCTTCAGGAATGCACTCAACATCATACCGTTCTATAATCTCAGTAGCCTGCCATTGAAGGGTCTTAAAAAAAATCAGAACTTACAGCTCAAATACAATAGCACTTCATTCGATTAAGGAGACTTACATCACGAGAAGCACGAAGAGTAATAAGGCCAATGGGAATGAAAACAAAACCCATCAGTAAAAACACTGTTATAACCTGCAAATGTAAAGCTCCAAGAATCAGAGAAAGAAAAAAAAAAGCTTAGCTTTTTCAGGTCACAGAGACTCAATGTTACTAACCGATGTTGGTGTTAAGACTGGCTTACAAGCTGGGAGTTTCTGCTGCTTAAACTGATACAGAGCTGCCAAATCAAATACACACAAATGATTCAGTTAAAAAAATTGCAACAAATCGAAACCAAATCACATCAATTTCGCCCTAGATTAGACCAGCGAGAACGAACTTAAAGCTAAGGCTTTGATTGAAAACTTCGAAATCTAAAGAGAGAAGAGAGGGTTATGATTTACCTTTAGATCGTCTGGATCGTAAGAAGGAGGATTGATCAGGAGCACGATTCATCGGAGTGCTCGATCCTTCCACTTCCATCATTATTTATTTATCCCCTCTCGACGCTACTTCACCAATACATCGGAAAAAGAAGATATTATTCTCTTCGCGGCGGGTGACAAAACTCCGGCGTCTCTCACCGGTGGATCGATAAATCGCGTCGTCCCTGGTAATATTCACCTGATCTAGATTTTTTGTTTTTGAATTTGCAAATTAAGTATCGTTCTCTCCAATGAAATTAAAAGGAGGAAAAATAATTAGAAATTTTCGAAACTGAGGACTGAATTTTGAAAATTGTAATTAATAATTATATCTTAGATAAACTAATACATAAGCTTAATCGCAAATAAACAAAAATATAGCGACCATCTATGATAAACAATAATATATATATTTTTAGTTTATATTTGAAGATTATAAATAAGTTTCAGACAAAATATTTGTTTTAAAAAATAGTTTTTAAGTTTTCTATGCTTTTGGTGTTAATTTATTGATGATGAATTATAAACTTTTTTAAAAATAATTGGATATTATTACTTTAGAATTAAAAGAAGAGTAGGTAGTATTACGTGTTACAGCACCAGGCATAATAGATATTTTGAATCTTGTCATATTTTTTTAAGCAAAATTATCTTAAATATCATAAGACACTTAAATAGGTATTTAGTCCAAAAATATCATTATGAAATTTATTTTTTAAAAAACCCCTAAAATATTTTTTTTTAAAGTATGCCACAAAATTAAAACTTTAATTTTTAAATCTTAAACACTAAACTATATTTTTAAAAACTATACACTAAATGTAAATAGTAAACCCATTCGTTAAGCAAAAATGCTACATCTTCAAAATTCTATTTTTTTTTTATGTTTACAGTATTTTTGATATTTCTCATTTTAATATTAGTTGACTAAATATATTATTTTGATATCATCTAAACAATAAATACACACCAAAAATAGGTTTAATACAAAATAAATACTACTCTTGAAGTTTGAATTTTAAAGTATGTATATAATTACTTGAATAATTTAGTTGACTACTTATTTTACAATAAATATTGACAATTGGCACGATATCAATGGTAAATATTTTGTTGACTATTCATTTTAGTACTGAAACTTGAAGTCTTTTTTTTTTTTTTTTGTGCTAACTGAAACTTGAAGTCTAAGATACACTTTGGATTATTACAAAACTTTATAATGTATTTCTTAATGTTGACTTTTATTTTTTCTTGTATAAATATATTGTATAAATTAAAATAAATGCTAAAATAAGGGCAAAAACATGTTCAAAATTCAGTATTTGTTCTAACGTTTTCATTTTGAGATAACTTTGTCCAATTTTCATTATGGGATATATAACCTGAATACAAACCCCATTAAAAACACTGTTTTTTGAATGTTCCTCGAATTTATATATTTACTAAACTGAATCCACATATTAATTATTTTTGGCTTTTATATGAATTTAATATTTTTTATGAACCAAGCACAACCACAAAGGCCTAAAGCTTGGGAGCCTCTTATTAAAGTTCGTAGCCTCGTAAGTCTTTAGAACACACAAAAAAAATTATAGAAACCTAAGAAAAGGACATTAGGAGGTTTAAGGTGTTGTTGAGTCTCAACTCTCAAGCAATGTGTTGAGCCAAGGCAAGAATCTTGAGATGTTTCTTCTTGCGGAGCTCATGCGGGACAGGACCAAACACTCTCGTACCAATCGGCTGGCGATCAGTTTTGGTATTCTTGTCTTTACTATCAACAAGAACAACCGCATTATCATCAAACCTAACTTCGCTTCCATCAACACGGCCTCTCTGCATTGCAGCACGCACAACCACACCATACACAACTGCTCCTTTCTTCACTTTCCCGTTTGGCATGGCTTCTTTCACCGAAGCAACTATAGTATCGCCAAGCCGAGCTCCCTTTTTCCCCTTTAAAGCTTGAATACACATCACTTTCTTCGCACCCGAATTGTCCACGACTTTGAGAACTGTCCCCATTTGAATGAATGTCCTGCGCTGTTGCTGCTGCTTCCACCAAAATCAACAACAAGAGTAAGCTTCAAGATACTACAATATCGACTCATCCATACCAATTCAATCCAAAAGTTTCAGATAACCGTAACTACACGAAGCAAATCAACAAATACAAAAATTTCAAGAAGCAGATATCAGTAAAATAAATTGGTTTCTGACCTGAGAGAGGATACTCTCATTCATCATTCCATTAGATGAATTCATCAAACCACCATTGCTAAGACCTCCGAGCAATGAGCGTCCTCCTGAACATGATTTGTGTAGGAATTAAAATCAGAAAACAAAACTCTATAATTTTTTGAAAATGTGAACCCTTTAACTTCACAAAGATCTGATTTTTAACCAAACCCATCCATCAGAGTCTAAAGATTCAATCTTTCAAAACTAAAATCCGGTTTAAGAAAAACAAGGATGAGATCGAAGTATGAGGAATAAGGTAGTTTTCATACCTCGGGATAATCTGGAAGCGAGAGCTGCCGCCATTTCTGCAATTGAAAGTTTCGATCTTTAATGCCAATAACAAAATAAAAACAGAGAAAAAATGGCTTATCGCAAGAGAGATCAGATTGCATATTCAAACTAACCTGTTGTCAATGGAGAATAAACAAACAGATTCGTTGCAGCAAGTGACGACTGACAGAGAGAGACAGAGATCGAGCGAGGCGGAGGAGGATGGTGGTATCAGGAAAGGTTTAAGCGTGGCAACAAATGTAAATACAAGGTTTTAGATAGGGGTATAATAGTAATAATTATATGAGTTTTTTTGCTACTTTTGGCCCAAACAAATCAGTGTTGGGCTTCAAGTCGTCTTGTTTATTTTAGGAAACAAAACAGAAAAAAGAAAGAATGATAGAGAGAAAAATAAAACAAATGAATACAAATGCAAACTACAGTAAAACCTCTATAAACTAATAATGTTGGGATCATGAAAATCTATTAATTTATAGAAGTTTTAGTTTATCGATAAATTATTAATTATTAATTTATAGAGAGATTTTTCGAATTTGAAAAGTTTTTTCAAAAAATTATTTAATTTGGAAAACTTTTAATTTGGAAAAAACAATTTGTCATTTGTCTCTCAATTCTACAAAGTTACTAATCACTCTCAATTCTACAAAGTTACTAATCAGAAGTTCAGAACAAAATAACAATTCCAAAAGCTACAATCGTAGATAACTTTATATAAATGACAGGTGAATCAGCAATACCTACAATATTCACATAAATAGAGGAAACAAAGGAGAAGACTTTTTAAAGTAACTAAGAAAGATATAAAACAAAAACGGAAAAAAAAAACTCTTACATGATATATCTATACTTTGTTGATTATTCATATATATATATGATTGCGAGATCCTGCAAAAGCATATGCTTCAAAGAAAAAAACTAGCTAGCAGATGCTATGGCAGCAAAACTTGTTTCTTGATTTCATCAAAACTTCGACTTTATTCCTTTCTCTGCTTCTCGATTATAAGTTTATATGTAACATTTCTAGATCGCACCATCGGACTCCCTGATATACAAGAAAACATAGCAATGAGAAAGTTCTGATATTTCTGAAATAGTCAAAGACAGTTGTGAAGATTACACAAACTAATTCCCAGTTTCTATTATCAATCTATGATCACAAATACTTAACCAATCATCAAATGAATTGCAGTGAGATGTGGCAGTAACACCTTAACTCATCTTAGAAGCTTTTTAATGCAGAAGTTTCAAATCCGAATGGTTTCAAGACGAGTAAAAACCAAAACACTATATCCTCAAATGACTTCATAAACAGATGATTAGTATTCTCAAATGACTGCATATCTTACCTCAGACTCCGACTTAAAACCTTTCAAGCTAGAACGAGTTCATTTCTAGACAGTAAGTCCTTCTCTTGACCAGCATCTTAGCAGCTGTCTCATAAGGCTCTTCGAAAGCTGAGGATACCCAAGAGATATCAGACACTTCCTTTTTCGACTCGCTTGGTCTTATAGCCACTAAAGTCGCACCTTTTAACACAGTTCCATCAGGCAATTCCAAAGTTGGAGCATACCAAAGTCTCATGTTCAGAGCAGGCACGAGTGTCCTCTTGGAAGCAGACGAAGCTGATAATGGTTTCACCCTAAGCTCTTCTAGCTGATCTCTGTTCATACAAAGCACACCTTGCCCATCAGAGTCAGTGAGAACTAAACTATCAAGCGTCTTATGTTCAGCGATTATCGGCTGTAGCAAGTAATGTCGAGCTGATGCAGCAATCAACGAGCTAATTGTCCATACAACACGCAATTTCAAACCTCCGTTAGTGTAAAACGATTCTGGTATACTCCCGTTATCGTCAGAGGCAGAAGCTTCAACGATTGTAGTATCAACAGCTTGAGAAATTCTCATGGGATTGGGTTGAATCACCGAAGAAGCACCGAGAATCACACAATTATCAAGAGTAGAACCAAATTCAGCTCTCCATTTCAACAAAACCCCATCATCAATCCCTAATTCACCACTAGGAAGCTCAATACGCAAGTAACGAATCTCATCAAAGTTTTTCAAAACCTGCGTAGGAGAATGATGCGTAACGCCACCTTGCTCGATCTCTCCACCTTCATCATCACCACTAATAGACAACGAAGACGATCCAGAACCACCGCACGACGATCTCTTCGTACCAAGGAATTGACCTAAAGCTTGTAACGGCTTCACAATGCCGCCGACAACAAGACGAAATATAGCAGAGAACGATCCAGCAGAAGCAGCGGAGCGAGATTTGATAGAAGACAAAGACGACGAATCATCATCGGAGATAACGCAATCAACACGAACAACGACGTTATCGACTTGAGGAACGAGAGAATGGAATCTTCTGGAGACGACACAGCATCTTCCTAGAGCTTTGACGTCGCCGATTTTGTTAAAAACTAGGAGGAGGATTGAGTCAGGGAGACGATCGAAGTGGTCGATTTCTAGGGTTTGCGGTGGTTCGGGATGGATCCGTGAAGGTGGATCTGAGCGAGGGATAAGAACGGCCATGGGATCTTTTTGAGAATTTGGGGGATAGAATTTTCTAGGGTTTGTGAGAGATAGGAAGGGGACGGATTCAGAATCAGAATCTGAGTATTTGGAGAAGATAACGCATTTGGAGAAGAGATGTTTCTAGAGAAGAAGAAGAAATAAAATCAAATGGTGGGAGGAGATAGATCCACGAGGTTTTGTCTCTACTTTAAAGCGCGTGACTTATGAGCGCGTGAGACGCGTGTAGTGTGTGTTTTTTTTGGTCAATCAAAGAACTGATGTGACAAACTGACAATTATGTAATTTTTATTTATTTTTATTGTAAGAGTGTACTATATAATTCCAAAACAAAAGTATATATTGGCATTTTTGATAAATGTAGAAAATCAAATTTTATAGGTAGCTGTACCACATGAAGAATGAATTGGAGTTGCCTAATGCAGTAATGCGTATTCGTAGGAAGGGAAAACAAATTTCTATAATAGATTTAAATTATATAATATACATACTTGTAATAAATATAGTGTATATATATTGCCCAAAAAATTATTTATTTTCATTTTGATAAATATAGCTAGCTGTACCACATGAATTGGATTGTCTTAAAAAATTCTAACTATATTATTATATGATTGTTTTAAAAACAGCATTTCAAAAGTTTTTTAAACTCAAAAACTGATTTTACCAAAAAAAATTATCCAATTACACGTTAGAAAATTAATTCCATTTAAAGTAAAGTTAGATGGCCAAAGCGACTCGAGTCTATAACTCTCTTATTTGAGAGTTACAATTGAATCAAAACGATAAAACTATGTGATATTTTTTTGTTTAGATATTTTAATATATTGAACAATTAGTTATAAAAAATGGATTGGTGTAAAAAAAAATTTGGAAAAACATACTTGTAGTTCTTTAGAAAAAGAGACTGTATTTAAATTTTGGATATATGTATTATTCTTTTAATTATCCAATTGATGATTAAATGACAATATTTTTATTACTATGTGTAATATCAAACTTAGTTTATTCCAACCTTTGCATATCCTACCGAACTTCATTATCCCTTACACATCATACGTAATACTAAAATAAGATTACAAATTGAAATGAATAAGATAAATCATAATGCACTAGTGACTAGACAAGTCATGTGTTTTTGATCATGGCGATACTATGCACGTTGTATCATGTGTGTTTTCCCATTTCGCACTCCTCGGCGTTTTCCTTAATTAGGTTTTGATTTGACTTTAGTTGCAATATGTTTAGGATACAATATATACACATGTGACTATCAAATGTATGATTTAACCAATGAAACATCTAAGTTTATTCCTTGTAAGTAGTTTTATTGTACTTGGACTTGACAACAAGAAAGTAAAGAGTAATAATATATATTCTCATGCACTAGCTAAGATTTATCAAGAAAATGTAAACTATATACTATAGAATAATATTGAGGGTATGATAATGTAATAGTATAAGATAATATTGGAGAGCCAACCAAATCATATGGGGGGTTCACACGCCTCAACATGTTTTGTTTGGGGGTTGAGCAAATTATAGAAGACAAGCAAATGTTTCATTCATGATTTCATGTCGTCCCGTATCAATATCTTCATACACATGCCAACACGTGTACATATATACATTACTACTATATGTACATCCATAATTCCATACATATTATGATACATTTATGGAAAAAAAACAGGCAGCATAATGAATAACAAAAAGAAAAAGTTTTAATATAATTAAAATTTATAACAATCAAAAGGTTTAAGCTGTAAAAAGGAAAAAAAAAATATTCTCACAATACATGAAACATGATTTTTCATATTAAGATATAATTAACTTTTACTAGTTAGTTTGGATAAAATTTGTAAAAAAAATAAAGTTTTGTGAAAATTCTATTATTTATTTTCAAAAAAATATAAATCATTTATACTAAATCAAAAATAATATACAATACTAATTTAACATATAATTTTTAGATATTTTTACGATGATATATATTTATTTTTAAAATAAATTTAAATTTCCTGTCGCGAAGATTTTTCGATTTGATATATTATTCACAAATATTTTACAAATATAATAATAGCGAAAACATATTATATTAGATATGTTTTTTGACTTTGCATTTTCTGAATTGGACAAACCCAATAAAAACATACAGAACTGGAGAATATAAACGTTAAACCGATAATTGTGCAAAGAGCCAAATCGGGTTTATTTAATGTAATAAACTAGACTGCTAGAGTAATAGAGTCATTTCTACTGACTAAGTACTGAGTAATCACAACCCGGTTCGGCTTTTATACCTATAATGTGTTTCCTATACCGAACCCGTGCTGTGTCCTTCTGAACTCACAACATAATACACAGTCCTTAACAATACAAATAATCAAACCAGAACCTAATCAAGGATTCAAGATCCAATCCGGTTCAAGCATAGAGGTTTCTTCCGCAGCGATCGCACTCGGTTAAATGAGAAACCGGGGTTTTACCGGAATTCATTTTCCGCAGATTCGGAAGATCAAGCTCGAGAACATCACGAAGAGCCTTAGAGCCTTCTCGGAGTTCATCAGAGCTGGCAAAAGAAAGACAATACATACATAATTAATTAAATTGATAACCGCTAAATAAACCAAACCGGTTCAGCTGTTTTTAAATTTACCTTATGGAGAGCGGTGGAGTTAACCGGACAATAGTGTTGTGAGTCGGTTTAGCCAAGACTCCTCTCTCCTTCAAGCTCAAGCAAATATCGTAAGCTGAAACAGGAGATAAGCTTTCGCTATTGAACTCAATGGCATTAAACAATCCTCTTCCTCGTACTTCCTTTATGTATTTTGGAAACTGTTCCTTGATTTCATTCAGCTGAATCCTCAGTTCATCTCCAAGACTTGCTGATCTATAAGACTCAAAACCCACAACAAGAACTGAAAATTTTGATCTGAAAAACACAAATCAACTCAGAAAATAAAAATGGTACCTTTCCACGAGTTTCTCTTCCTCGATAACGTCTAAAGAAGCCATAGCTACAGCACTAGCTAAAGGGTTCCCACCAAATGTGCTGATTTTAACAATCAAGAATACAATCAATAAAAGGAAGAAGCTTAATCGCAGAAACAAAGTAACATGCCAATAAAATGTTTTTAAGAAGCCAATTTCAGTTAGTAAGAAGAGCGAAGTAACGCTTATGCGAACCTTCCGTGTTGGCCAGGTTTGATGTGAAGCATCACATCTTTATCAGCAAGAACTGCACTTACTGGAATTACTCCTCCACCTAATGCTTTCCCAAGTATCTTTCAAGAAACAGATTCAAGATTTGAAATATTAATCTATGTAATAATGGCTTAGCTATGGGGAGCAAACTGTAAAGAAAATGAAAATAAAGAGCTTAAAGAAATGTAAAAGAACATACCACCATGTCAGGACGAATTTCTTCCCAGTCACAAGCTAACATCTTTCCAGATCTTGCAAGACCGCTTTGTACTTCATCCGCAATCATCAAAACATTGTGTTTTGTGCAGAGTTCTCTTACAGACTTTAAATAACCATCAGGGGGAATAACAACCTAAATCAAAGCCAAGTGAAACATTTGTTAGAAACAAAGTCAGTATCTAATTCATCCCCAATTAATGATTCGTAAAGATCATTATTAGCTCGAGTGGGAACTTACTCCAGCTTCACCTTGAATGGGCTCGAAAAGAAATCCCGCTATTTTATCTCCTTTTTCTGCAGTTATCATGAAAACAAACATGATCAACTAGCTCAAGCGTAATCATAATCTCGGAAATCAAAATCCCGGTTGAAATTAATCAAAATCCCGGTTGAAATTTGAAGCAGGAAACATTTCATACCTTCAAAGATTTTCTTAAGTGAATCCGCATCACCAAAATCAACTTTAAGGTTCCCCGGCAATAATGGCCCGAATCCACGAGTAGCATCATTGTCACAACTCATGGAAATAACTGCTAATGTACGACCATGAAAGCAGCCACAACAAGAGACTATTATAGCCTGTAAAAATAGCCTCCCAAATTTTTAATATGCTAATGTAAACAATAATTCTTAAGAAGAAAAAGAACCGCAAAGCCTGTACCTCATCTCTGGGAATATTTTTATTTTCATGACCCCATTTTCTTGCTAATTTCAGAGCGGTTTCAACACCTTCAGCACCAGTGTTCATAGGAAGAACCATATCATAACCAAACATATTTGTGAGACGTTCTGCAAACACCGGGAACTTATCATTATAAAACGCTCGTGAACTTAAAGTGAGTTTCTCCACTTGTTCCTGCAGTGCCTTCATGATCTTAGGATGGCAATGTCCCTGCAGCGATAACAAAAAAAAAAAAAAAAAACATAAGTCTCACATCACACTGACTAAAACAAAAACAATGAATTGAAAAAGTATGAAACTTTCAACATCTTGTGGCTTTAAGCGAATCGAGGCTGTTTTGGAACTATATTACCTGATTAACTGCGGAGTAAGCAGCAAGGAAATCAATGTATCTCTTTCCTTCAGGATCCCATATAGTTGAGCCATTTGCACGAGAAAACACAACAGGAACAGGATGGTAACTGGATTTTAAATACACATACAAGAGAAATATACAGAACAAAGCTAATTAGCAGGATTTACAACATCAAGAAGAAGCTAAAGTTTAGAAATTTCAAACTGGATACGAATCAAATTGGATATGAATCATCCCAGTCAAAGGTTAGCATATTAGTTACGCTTCAATATGGATATCTTAATCAAATACCAAACACAGCTCTTAGCCTTTTATGCTATCGCATGTCAAATAATATATAACGCAATCTTTACATGTAAGCTTGTATCAAGTAATCAAATCAAGAACCGAGAGATTCACAGATGATTCTGATCGAAACAAACAAATCCCAAAGATCATAACTTTTAGTGAAACAAACAAAACCCAGAACCCCAACAGATAAAAGTCCAGTGATTTCATCGATGATGTATTCAAACCGGAGAAAAAAAAACAAAGGAAAGAGAGAGACTTTACTTGTGGGCACTAAATTCTGATTCCAGTTCGATCAAACGCTGAGAAGAAGACGGAGGAGATTTAGAGTTCGATTGCGGAACACCGCCATAGCTCCGCCGCAATCCGGCGGTAGAAACTCTTTTAGACGCAGACTGAAGCAATCGTCTCGTGGTGGATGCCATTACAGAGTCTTTCAGATATGAAAGCAAACGTTTGTTTTCTCAGAAAATGATTAGTTTCCTTTTTTTAACTTTCTCGAGATGCAAATTTTATCCGAATTTAAGAAAAGAGAGAGAGAGAGATGTTCGGTTTAGTCTCGGTTTAACGGTTTATTGGTAATTTCGTACCGTTGTGGTATGGGCCGTATGGCTTTATACTGCTTTTAACCGTTGAATTCACAAAATCTTGAAGATGTTTTTCAGTTTTTAGCTCTTACCATTTGTGATACCATTCACATTCAGACACAAACATTTCTTAAAATTTACAGTTTCCATTTACATATTAATTTGACTTAGTTCTTTTTTTTCCCACTCTTATCGATTAGGAATTTGATGTTTTACTCCAATTTTAGTTATTCTATATATTATCCAACATATGTAGTAGAGAGATAACGAACTTGGTTAGCGTTATATTAACGGAGAAACACTTTATAATTGCGTAACGTATGGGTACCACATGACAGTTGAATACAAAACTTGCCAAATGAATCAAAATTTATCTTTGTCTAAGAAGTAAGAACCTTATCCTCTTATCACTTTTAATCAAATGATGAACAAGACTACACAATTGCCATGTACTAAACTATAAATATCACATTCGGGAAACCCCGATTTTGTGAAAAAAAGAACTGTGTAAAAACCTGTTTGTATTCAGCAAACAAAGGGTGAATAAACTTGCAGGATGTGTTGGGATGTCCGGCTTATCCGAAAAAAATGATCAAACCGCAAAATCAAAACTAAACTGTGGCGGGTATCTGACAATCTAGTATGTCGTGGAACCCCACACTTATCTGATAAATGCCAGCCTGAAGTAATCAGACTGCAAGTGCTAGCAGAAACAGAAAAGCTTTTAGTGTTGCAGGATTTTAACAACCTAGTATGATGTGGGAACACAGGTTTGCCAGATCAATGTCAACCCAAAATAAGCAGACTGTGCAATCGCTAGCACAGTCAGAAAAGCTTTAAGTGTTGCGGGTTTCTGAAAACCTAGTATGCTGTGGAACCCCAGGTTTATCAAAAATATGCCAAACCATAGTGATCAGAGCACAAGCGCTAACAGAATCAGAAAATCTTTTGGTGATGCGGGTTTAAATGCTAAGATCCTGAGTGACAACCTAGAATGTGGGAATGGCAGAGTGACAAGACCCGTATAGGCTAAATTAAAAACACATCACATTCAAAAAAAACTTTTAGCACATCACATTCAAAAAAACTTTTAGTATTGCAGGTTCTAGTGCTAAATCATGTACTGACAACCTAGTATTGCTACAAGCACCATAAGATCAAGTTTAAGTTAAAAATGATATTTGAAATGAACACATAGATGATCAGAGTTCCAGGGAGATTATCTTGGGAAAGAATAAATTGGAAATGGTAACAGAGGTAAATATAACAAAGATCAAATCGGTCAAGTTTTACCTAAAGACTGTAAAATCGTAGCAGAGAATGAAATGATCAGCAAGAATGAGAAGTTTCTCTACTGATAAACCCACGGAATTTCCAATAATTAGATCGCAAGCACTAACCAGGTAAAACATCTAAGAAGCAGAAAAAATTATGGTCATTAACGAGAAGAGATCTAAAGGTCACTGTTCTTGAAGATCACTAGGCTCTAATAAGATATGGCTATTCACTGCAGAAATTTCTACAGAAACACCAAGTATGATGTGATGAGTATCATTTGGGTGTCACATATCTGATAAGAAGCTGAGATGTGGGATATGCAGAGCCGGTAACCTACCACACAACTGAAAGGAATGCTTTGGACTAGGCACAAAGCAGACCTGATTCATATATGGAGAATGAGCAAAGTTTGATTGATATAAGAACGATTGTTTTATTGCACAGAGATAAGCATTTATTGTACGAACAGCTCAGAGGAAAGGGAGAAAGAATGGTCCTGAAAGACTGTAAGATGTCTAGCACGAGAAACCAAAAGTTACCTAATGGAGACAAAGATACTGATGTCACCATATTTAAACATGAACTTGATGGAAGAAGGAGAAAATCCACTGAGAGCTAGAGAGATGGAACACACTTCCATGGAAAAGATTTTGGGGCGGAGCAAACTATTCAGGTGGACATGATAAAAGCTTGGAACAAGTTCTCTGCGGTACGCTTCTGTTCAGGTGTTCCGTTAATGAGAGCAATTCGACCACCATGGGAATTTTTGGAATCAGAAATATCTATCATAGCTCCTGATATCTGAGAGAGAATAAGGGCACACATCATGTGAAAAAGTTATATCGGAAAGAGAGAAGAAGAGACGAACGAAGCTATGGCGATCATAGAGAAATGAGGAAGGAAATCAAAAAACTTTTGAACAAACCCTTCTTATGTTATCCAAGTTGCCTCCTCCTCTGCCCATAACTTTACTCAGTGCATTTGCAGGGATTCGAACCTCCATAGTAGTAGATTGAGGCAATCTGTGAATGTACAAGATAATTATCAGAGGAAAGAGTTGAAAATCCAATAATACACAAAAAATTAACTTACAAACTTACCCTCCATATAGATTGGATGAGTAAGAAGAGTTGGATCCGTAACTGTTATTGCCCACCTGTTTGTAGAAAACTTAAGTTATAAGTATGTGCTATAACAAACATAGTAAACGAGATAATCTAGTTTGAGCAGAGAATGAGATGTTACCGGAAAACTTCCATAACCATAGAGTCCACCACTCGAAGGAAGCATACTCATGCTGCTCCCGGTTTCTGGTCTTCTATCAAAATCTATGGGAGCAACTTGCGGAACAGAAGACATGAAAGATGGAGGAAGTGCTAGACTAGTTTTACTACTACCCGAAGAGTAGAAATTATTATTTTCAGATCTCGCAGGCGGCTGATTCCTGGAACCAATCTCCCTATCTCTTAAAACATCATCTCGAAGCCTCAGAACTATCTGAATAAGAGCATCTCTCACACAGCTTACATCACCTGATATCTAATTAATATACAAAAGAGAATCATACACTATTGGAGAAATACAAGAACTGAATAAAGCAAAGCTGAGCGAATCTAAGAATCATTACCTCAACGAGCTCATCATTGGGATCAGCACACTTAGGCTGATTATTCCCTTTTGAAATGTGAATATCAGCCTTTGTCCTTTTCCTGATTTCGCTTATGATTGAGCCACTTTTCCCTATAATGCATCCTATTACCTTAGAAGATACAAGGAGTTGCATTTTAACTTTGTCCTCGTCTTCATCGTTAATTTTCTCTTGAAGTAGAAGAACAGCTTCAACAGCCATAGACTTCAAATCATCAGGAGACTCTGTAGCAGTGACAGTGATAACACAGTCATCTTCATGATTTGTCCTTGAGTCATTAACCTCAATATGAGACCCGCTTGCTTGTCTTATCCCCTTGATGGTTGATCCTCCTTTCCCGATAACACGGCCGATCTTGGAAGACGAGCACATAACTTTTACAACCAAATTTTCAGATCTGGAAGACCCGCCAAACCCATGAACCACAGGAAGAGCAGAAGTAGAAAAAACCGGCATTGGATTTGCAGCATTGTCTCCATAACCCTGAGGTAGTGTACCGATAAAAGATGAAACATTGGCTCCATGTTGGAAAATAGGATCCTGATTTGGATATAAACCGGCTCGTGGATAGACAGACAGATCTGACGGAATTATAATACTAGCGGGAACTTCTTGGACAGTTGTATCCAGAGGAATCTGTTCTCGAGGACTGAATTTGTACATGATTGCAGAAACAGCGAAAAGTGCCTTTTTCACGGATTCAGACTCACCGGATATCTGATTAATAAAACGAATAAGGAACACCGATTAGAAACAAGCAAAGAAACAGGTAATTATATGCTAACAGATTTTTCTGGAATTCAGATACTAACCAAAACAATATTGTCAAAATCCATTGCACAAGTGTGTGAAGGATCCGAAACATCTTTAGAGACAATCCTAACGTTAGCCCTAGTTCTACTTCTAATCTTCTTGATAATCGAACCAGCTTTACCAATCACACTAGAACATTGACTAGATGGAACTAAAATGCGACATTCTCTGATATCATCTCTATCTATCTTAGTGTTCTCAGCAGCAGTGGCCAAAGAAGCCACAATAGCATCATGGACTTTAAGAAGAGCATCTTGAGCAGAACACAAAGGAATGGCGTAATTCAATTCGCTATTCTCAATGTCGACAATGTCTTTCTTCTCCATAACCGAGCAAAAAATCGTTATGACTCTTTCGCTACAACCTGGGAAAGGATCAACAACTTTGATCCTAGCTCTAGTTTCTTGCCTAATCAAGTTAATAACTTTGCCACTTTTGCCTATAACACTACCAATGACTCCACTTGGACATAAGATTCTGTAAACAACAATGAGATCGTCTTTGTTATCGATCTTTTCTTCGGATTCATAAGAGAGTCGTCTCTTTTGATTCCTGTAGTTTTCATTGTTACTATCTCTAAAACGGTTATGAGACCTCTTCCCACGCTCAACCATTGTTGACTGTTAATCTCAAAAACCTGAAACAACACACACACACACCAAAAAAAATCAAACTTTGTGAGAGAAAGAAACATTAATAACAGAAGCAATGTGTTCTAAGGATTGATTGAATTATTAGGCTACAAATCGGAGAAAACCCTAAAAAACTGAAATTTGAGAATTGAGTGGTAAGAAAAAGCTGAAAGTATCAATTTTTATGATTCAGTTTGGTCAATTGGAACCAGAAAAGATGAAGTCAAGAACATACGGAGATTCTCAAAGAAGTTGAATGAACAGCGAGGCCGGCTTGGAAGAGAAGAACCCTTTTTGTCGTAATTGAGAGAGGAGAGAGAGAGAGTTGGCGAAAAAACCCTGTTTTTTTTCTTTTTTGATATTTAAACATATACTAAATAATATTTTGACTTAAATCCCCAAAAATAAAATTTTGTTATTTTCGTATCGAAGATCTCAAAACAAAAATATAACTCCAATTTTACTTTTACCATCTGAATTAATATTTAAATAATATAGCAGTAACTTTTAAATGATGTGGCAATAATTTTTATTTTTATTTGTTAAAAATTATATTTTAACTAAAAAATAACTTTTTGATATTTTTGTTTTATTATTATTATTTCATTTATAAAAAAATAGAAAATAAAAGAAAATCTTATCAATTTATATAAATTAAAGAAAGTAAATAGAAAGAAAGTTTATAAACAAATTTTAGTTCGCTTACAAATTAATAAATTACAAAAAATTTAGGTCATTTTAAATCTGTTTTGTTTACAATTTTTTCCAATAACACTTGAGTAAACTTTGTATTTTTAGAGTTTTTGTAATATTTTTTTTATTTTATAAATAAATAATAATAGTAAAAATTATATCAAATAAATTTTATTTTTGAGTTAAAATTAGTTTTTATCAAACAAAATCAAAAATTATTGCCACATGATTTAAACATCAATAATCAATTCAAATAATAAGGATAAAATTGGAATTTTATTTTTGTTTGAAAGCGTGAGTATGAAAATAAAAACGATTAATCAGTTCAAGTATTTTTTTCCAAGAAAAATAGTTTAGGTTTAAACGTCCAAAAAATAATAAACTAGGTATTTTTGGGGTTTTTCCCCGAGAGAATTGTGATTTAGCTGTTGCATAAGAGAGAGAAGACGGCGACGTTTTAAAGAGATTTGGCTCTGCGGGTTATATAATACCGAAGTAAGTCCCTAACTATTGTTTCCATTTGAAGTTTAGTCTCATTCTCTCAAAAAGAACATGGTGACCCAAAAATCTAATTTTAAGGCTCATATCTCTTAAACAATAGATTTTTAACCTTCATGTTTTTGTTTATACAAAATTTGGATTTGATTCTGCAAAGAAATATTCTGTTTTCAGACTATGGCTGAATAAATTATTATTTACATCTTTTTTTTATTTGTTACATGTTCTGTGCGCATCTTGAAAAATCAAGTTTTTGTAGTTGTTAAAGTAAATAACAAGTCAAATTCAAAATTACTTTACATTTTAATTTGAAAACGCGTAAAATGATAAAACATTTGTATTTTAATTAACACACTAACCCATAAAATGCAACATTATCATAGTTCAAAAATAAACGATAATTATAATATGTAATTTAACTAAAAACATATTTTATCAATTTAAATTATTGTAAGTAAAAACATAATTTATTGCATACATTAACAATACTAAAAAATTTAAATTGTAAACTTAAACAATATAACTCTTAACAACAAATCTTAAATTGCTAACGGTAAAAGAAAAGGATGTAAATAGAAAAAAAAAATATGTAAACTATAAAATTAATTAATATCATACCATAATCAGAAATTATACAATCAATTATTAATCTTACAAAAGAAAAAGGAATTGTAAATAATCACCTCTATAAAAACAAATCAAGTATGTCATAACAAAATAATTTATTCAATCAATCAATTACATATTGATGGTAGTATAATTTCTCTAACCACACATTCTTCTATCATCAGTAGCTAAGTACACTTGTTGCTAACTATGACAAATACATCCATAGAAGAATGTGTATTTACCCCGTACTTGCCAACAAACAAAACGGAGAAATACGCTAACTTGTCTAAGGTCTTAACCATATGGCTGAACTTCAATGTCCATATATAATAAGATCACGTCTTTGAAATACCTCACTATATTTTTTTATTTATTAATTATTTGGATTTGAATTGAAGAAATTGTATTATCATGTTTTGATTTGAACTGTGTTTTATTTTGTTGTTGTTGTTTTACTTGAATCTCGAGATCGGAGATATGAATAAGATGAAATAAGCAAAAGTTGAGACTCTCTTGTATAAACTACAAAGCAAATTTCAATTATTAATTACTTTATTTTTGTTTTGTTAAAAGCCTTGTAGGGGCTTTCTCAATAAAGTAAAATCTGAATTGCAAACGGACGTTGAGAGACATGAATGTAAAGATATTTGTATATTGAATTTTCATAATGTTAATCTTGTTTGTAATATAATTAATAAAAATTGATGTGAACCTATCAACATTGTCCACCTGGTCCTCCAAACGTAAGAGTCTCTCTAGAATCAAAATCTACATACTTGAGAAACATTACACCATAACACTTAGGACTATCCACATAATCCTCCAACTCGTTTGGATTAATATCCACAATCGTATAATCCGAAAGAACATACTTAAGCTGTTTCATAAAACAAGACCGACTCAAATCTTCTGTCGGAAATGCTCCATTCCCCATCGGTGGGCTTGTTGACGTCTTATGTTGAGACGACAAGTCACTGTTTCCTGCTAATCCACCGAAGTAAACTTCAGAAGCTCCTCCCGCCATGTGATTTTGACGTGGCCAATACCCTATCAATGTGGAACCTATCGTCAGTAGCCAATTTTTGGTCACTGGATCCTGCATTAGTATAGCTTCACGTGTTTAGTAACTTGTAATTATAGCCACTTGACAGTCGCAAAAATTTGTGGCTATAAAGAGATTTAAAAAAAAAAAACCACGAATTTTTTAAGCTACGACGCTATAGCCACGATAAGGCACATCCACGAATAGCCAAGTGGCTATAGAAATTTTTTTTATTAGTTAAAAACATTCATACTTGTTTCTTGAATTGGGGATTTAGTTTGTACCTCAGCAACAGAGAGATGGACAGTGTTATGTTTTCCTCCTGGAACATTGAATTTATCATAAACCAAACCGGGGTAGATTGATTTATGAATTTGAACATAACCTCCTGGACATAACGCATTGTAACATCCTTTTTGATTTTTATCTGACTGTAATGTATAACAATTTTGATTATGCTCATACCAAAACTAACCAAGAACATGTTTAATAGTAATCATGATGATATATCATCGATCACTTACCATCCAAAATGTGGTTAGTCTTGGACGATCGTCTGGATATAGTTTTGTATGCACCTATAGTTATGGGTCAAGAGAGAAGTTAACCTAAAATGACTATCCAAAGAGTGCCTATAAGTACAAGTGATTCAAATCGATCAATGGATAGTGAAATACTTACAGCCCAACCAAACTGGATGCTGCTCATCACGCTTCCTTGGATGTAATTAAGCCAAATCCAAGCTTTACTAAACTGATTTTGTGCCACTTGAGGCTTGTTAATATTGAACAATGCTTGTGCTCCACGCCATCTTTTTGTCGAGTTTTCAAATGTCTTAACAATTGCATACTACAAAAAAAAAATCAGTTACGTAGTCATATAGCTACTTATACTATAAGATAATCATCACACCAATACATATATGTATGGTTTTATAGCTTACATGTAGATGGGTCTCGTTAAATAATTTTGGCTTGTGCTTATGTTTCTTATTTCTCTTCTTTTCTTTACCCTTACCACCACGAGCTTGTTTCAAGATACGGCCTAAAAAAACAGAAAACAAAAATTGGTTAAAGTTAATATTATTTATTTACCAAAACAATTAATAAGAACCAACAAAGTATAACTCTTTAGAGTAGGAAATGAGGCCGTTTTATTTTATGTGTACATTATTACTAGCTAAATTAATTTTGAAGTTTGTAAGTAGTTTAAAGAACGAGTTGTAAATTTGTAATTATCTTGTAGAGGTAAAAACATATAAAAATATAAGCGTAAAACTATACCAATTATATGTTGGCCTCTATCAAATATTTACCTGACTGATTATAAGATTGTTGGGGATGAATAAGATCATTGGTGAAGTTGGTTTTTGGTATATGAATGGGTACTTGTCCCTCTGAACATTCTTCTGATCCCTTCAAATCAATCTCTTTGGGTATGTTACCATTGGAGGTAGAAAGCATTGATAAAAGCTCTCGACTTGGTCTAGTCTACATTAAACATTGAATTAGGTTATATTCTCAACACATACGTGTACTTGTGTTATAAAACTTGATTATTAGAATGGCAAATGAATGATACCTGCATACGATGATTCTTCATTAGAGGATGTTGTAATGCAGGTTGTTTGTATATAGAGACGCATTCGAATTCGGTTTCTTGATGCTGCAATTACAAATGCAACAATCTTAATATGAGGGAATTGATTAGTTTAGCATATATACAACCAAATTACTTGTTGTTAAACCTCTAACATACCGGAGTTGATTTAGCCATACAGTTAAGGTATATCAGACTAATAAAGAAGAATAATAATAACTTGAGCCAAAGAGAAGCCATTTGTTTCTTTATTCGTTCAGCCAAAAGAGAGAAAGATGTTTCTGTTTCTTACTTTCTTTCTCTCTTCTTTATTAGACTTACTGATTCCGTTTTTACTGATTCAGCAAATGGTTACAAAAGACAATACTACTGATTCCGTTCTTTTGCGTTTTTAGATTAATACAAATAAAATCAGCTCTTTCCGTTTTTTTACTGATTCAGCATTGGTGTTACAAAAAATACAGATTCCGTTTTTTAAGCCTACAAATTTATATGAAGCAAATTTAAGCCATGGGTGATAGATAGGTACTAATTAAAGGGGGAAAGTACTCCTAATTTTTTGATATTTGGACTATATAGTTCATCAAAAATTCAGTTTCTCTTTTATTACAGGATGTTTTTTTTCCATCAAAATATGGCCACATGAAACTAATAATACACAAGCATTTATCATATACGTAACATTAGGGAAATAATCTTTTTTTCTCATCAATAAAAGAAAAAATGAAGACAAATAAAAGTTATATAAAATATTTTTGACGACCATGGTATTATTCTAGATGACATTTCCTTCGAATTGTTTTTGAAATCTTGAGGTTATAATCTCACGCTTTGGCAGACAATCATCTAGTCTTAAAAGAAAAAGAAAAAAAAACAATTTTTAATAATACATCTCCTAACCACACAGATAAACATAGTTTTTTGACCTTTCCATCAGCTAAGTAATTTGTTTCTCTCTCTCTCTCTCCCCCCGCTCTTAAGCACTTAACAGTAACAGCTTGTTCACATTTGACAAGCATATATGAACACACAGAAATGTTTAGAATAAAATGTCAAAACAAATCCAAGTTAAACTATTTCTCTATTCAAATTAACACAAAAAGGAATCATCAAAGAAAAACTTGAAGATAACTTCTCCTAAAAACTTGAAGATAACTTCTCCTAAAAACTCTACTGCAAGTCATAACGAAGAATTTCCAAGTCAAAGACCAGAAAAGATAAAGACCTAATCAAATCAACACAAATGAATGCTCATAGTAAAAAAAAAAAAAAAAGGAACAGAAGAATAGTGAACAGAAGAAGAAGCACAAAGTTAAAGGCTGTACATAATAAAATCATGCGAAACGAAGAGATGAAATGGTTGGAATCGTAAAGAGTTCTTTTTTCTTTTTCTTTTTTTCAAACTGAATAAAAAAAAAGAAAACTTCGGCCATCGTTCTGTTTGTCAATAAAATATACAGAGAGGAAAATATTGAAACGGGTGTTTACCAGAAAAGACTCTAAGCAAGATAATTGTATATCTGAGGGTTGCTCTTTTCCCTCTCCAAGTATTCTCGATCGATCAAGCTTTCAATCCTCTTCTTTAGATCTGCCGGTTTTATTGGGAATTTCAGCTGCAATTATCACAAAACACAATCCAAATGGTATATTATATTTAGTCGACTCCTGAGAACCCTCATCATCATCACCAATCACAATCATCACGACTACATTACCAACGCTACTGGACAAAGTTAAGGAATTTCATGTTTTTGTGTGGTTTCTCATCCTGGTAACACCCAGTTCAAAATATAGTTCTATTTTTATCTTACTTCTAGGGGTTTTGAAATGATCTAGCAGGATGAAAGTTACCTGTTGGAAGAGCTCAGTGATTAGAAGAGTATGGCTCAAGACTTTTCTTGTCTTCATTATGCGAACAATGGCTGCATCGATCTGTAAGAGAAGGTTGTGATGGTAAAAACCATTTTGTCAAAATCTTCTCTCGTTTATGGAGTCAGGTTTTAAGAAAGATCTAAGAAAATAGTATCATAAAGAGAAACCAACCTGGTATTGTCGGTCCTGGAATACTCTTTCCGTCGTACTTGTGTTCTCCTCTACTGTCTCTTTCATCTGGATTGCATTTACCTGCACCCAGGAAACAAAAGAAAGATTTGGCCTACTACTCTTGAAAACAGTATCACAAGATTCGAGGAAACTTAATGAGAAGAGAGCAAGGAAAAAACAATGTACCTTAATACGATACAGGGGAGCTGCAAAGTCGTCATTAAATTCAAACTCATCACCATCGTCTACATCTCTTCCCTTTGGATGCTGCAAAAACATTAACATAATAAGGCTCAACCTTATGGAAAAAGGTAAATCCAAGATCTCAGCAGTTTCAGCATTAGTTGAAAGGAGATTTTGGCCAAACCTTCTGCAGGACACGGACTTTCCCACAAGCAAGCGACTGCAAAGTCCTTCTCAACTCCTTGTCCTCTATGCTAGTGGAATCTTTAATGTCTTCAAAGCTAAGTTTCATTGCATCGTTAAATAACATCAACACAACAGCCTGAGACATTAAAAGATAACCCTTTTTAAGCGATTGATTCACACTGTAGAAAATACCCTTTTTTAAGCAATTGATACACATTGTAACCTTGGGGAAGATAGGAAAGAGCTTAAAAAGGAAAAAGATAAATTTTACCTGAAACAGGGAAACAGCCAGCTCCTTTTTACCTTTGGAGAAGTCTGCCTTTAAAACACAGTGGCCTAATGAGTTCTGCCACATTAACCTCCTACCACTATATTTGCTTAAATAGAACTCTTTGAAGATATCCTACAGAAAAAACTGATAACTTAGAAAAAATCCAACCAGGAAAAGAAAATATACATAAGAACTTTTGGTAAAACCTGATAGACATTTAGTTCATGAGGAAGCTTAACATCCATAGGTGGATATGTTGGCCAGTACCTACATCAAACATGGAAAGTTAACAAGGTTTATATATATGTCATGCTATCCGGCATTGAATCCTGGATGAAATTGATACATAGTACATACCCTGTTGTTAAAACGTGGACACTCATCTCAATTCCCGATGGCAGTTTTGTTCTGGCCTGGGAAGATTGTTTGAATGACTCATTGATTTCCTTTGACAATTCAATATCCTGGAGAAAATTTCAATATAACAGAGAGTTCAAGCTTATTAGAAATACTGTACATGTACACCAGTTCATTAAAGTAGGTATGGTGCAGTATCATCCAACAATCTTGTCTAAGATTGGTTTAAGTAACAAAAATACATATACTGGGATATATCAAATGCATAGAACCGAATTAAAAAGTAAGTTAACAAAAACATAAGATCCTTTTCTTTGTTCGTTAAGTAGAAAATGAAAGGAGTACCTTGAACATCCCTTCGAGCTTGTTTGTAAACTGGCTACCACACTCAGTCTTAAGCTGTAGGTAAAATCAAGGTTGGGGTCGGCGGGTAAGAACTACCAATATATAAAGCAAATTATGAGAAAGGGAAACACCCAGAAAATAAATCAGTTTTTTAACCTTTGAGATCATGGATTTCTCAGCATCAATTGAAGCACTCTTTCCCAACAGGAGTCTCTTTGCAAGATCCTTTTTGTAGAATGCTTCGAACACATCTTTACCCTTTGATAAAGAAAAATAAATCCATCAGCAAAACTGATATCTAGATGATCACATAGCTGATTTCCAGACATGCACTGGCCTCAAGCAGTGATTTATAGTGACAAACAGAGAAGAAGATATAAGAAATTAGAGATAACCTGGATAAATCTGAACAAAACCAAGACTTTTTCAAGAGTACTCTCCAATTCTTCTTCAGAAGTACCCTTATTCCCAGCACGGAGCTTCTCGTCCAAAAACTTGGCAATAAGCTCAGCTGGCCGATTCTGCAAAATAGATCATGAGCAAAAGATCATGTTATTTGGGATGCATGCTAACGGGGAAAACATGAAACTTTTATAGATTTACAACAGTGAATCAATAATGAGCAGAAAGCTAATGTGAACCCTTTTCAAGAGGCTTCTTGATATTGAATAAAGTTTTTAATAGCACAAGACTTGCGACGCCCAAAATACTGGATAAAAATAAATCAGAGTATTTGGTATCCAAATAGATGAATACTAGCAAACAACACTACTGTAATCAGAAGCTCGTTATCAAAATTATGTTTGAAAATTGTAACAACTGCCCAAAGATGTCTCAAAATTATAGCAATACAGTGCTTAACAAAATCAGTATCGAAAATCTCTAGATTATTATAAAATTTAAATTCCTCAATTGCAGCGTTTTAATATAATGTTGACAATTCCACATTAATCATGTTATGTTTACATGAAAGTAAAATTGTTAGCAAGCAACTCAGGCAATAATCAAGAGAATCAATATTTGATACCTGTCGAAGATTAATCAGATGCTCAAATGAATCTTTGATGGTGTTGCCAAATGATTCGTTCTTGCAAAAGCTCTCTTCCCATATTATGTCAAGAGAAGCCTTGAAGTCCAATAGCGATTGTACCATATCTTTATCTTTCTCTTCATCCATAACTATCTTCTGCCCAGTTTTCCGAACATATGAACTTAACGCCTGCCTCAGAGACTCGAGTGCGTTGACCCTAGAAAACAGGGTTTGCATCCTCTGAAGGTCCTCAGTACGACGTCCATCCATTAATGTTGTAAAACCCTGGAAATATTCAGAGATAAGTAAGACTAACGACAATTTAAAATTTGCTAACATGCACGCTGCCACAAGGATAACAGGAGAGTGAAACCTTATCAAGAACAACAAGTATATGACGCTCAAGAAGTTGCCGTTCAACAGTTGCTATCAATGGTTTCCTGGTTACTGCATCTATGTATAGTATGCATCTTTCATTCTCTTCATGCAACCTTCCCTGCACCCAACACCAATAGAAACATTAAAAAGACTAATAACCTGTACTGCAGTTTATAAAAGGAGAGACTAAATGAAGTCATGCAAGGTACCTCAACATGCTTCAGGTACTCCGGAACGTCAGACTGCTGCATGTATTTCATTCCTTCAGCGGCATAAAATTCAGAAGTTCCTTCAAGGAAAGGTTTCTCAAAGCTATCCATATATATTCCCAGTGCAGTAAACATCTTCAAAAGGTGACTAAGTAGAGTCCTATTAACAGCTTCTGCTAATCTGCAGGAGCAATGTCATGGATGAAATTTTAGCACGTTCAGCTGAAGATGTTACCCAAAATATAAATGACTAACACTAGTGCTATTTTGCCTTCAAAATTTATCCAAAACTAATTTAACACTATAGTTCATAGACCATCCATCCAAAACTTGATATAATTCACTCAAAAGCCAGAAAGATTAGTGAAGGTAAAGGTGGCTTTTTGAAGAGAAATTCCTAATGTGACAAAATTAACCTCGTTATATTTTTGATAGGCCACAAAATTACCTTTCTTTTTCAATCATACTTAAGAGACCTTTAACAGTCCTCTGCTCAACTTCAGGGGCCAGAGATAGATGCTTCCGGAAAAGCTGTAGACCCATCTCCCATAATGACCGTACATTTGGGTTTTGTATCACATATTTCCTGTCCAGAGTCAAAGCTATACTACGGATCTTGAGCATCTGGTCACAGAAGTCTTGCCAGCATTTCTCAACAAGTGACAAGAAAACAGTCATATCAGTGTTCTGCCCAACCAATGATTGTAAAGCTGCAGAGATGTGTTCTTCACACTCCTTCTCAATCTGTTGGTAAAGCTTTCCGTCCAGCTTATGCAAGCAAAAGTTATCAACAGCCTTACAAAACAGTCACCATCTCATCAGCACAACATTTACACATACGAAAAGAAAGGGAGCTAGTAAATTTGCAAGTAACCTAACCTGATAAAGGCTCTCCAGATGAAAAGAAAATGGTTTTTTGAGGAATATAGCTCTGATAGCAGACTGCAAGTTTTCCCATGTAGTCTCCTCAAAGTTTTTTGGTAGAGTTGGTTTAACTTCACATACAAATATTACAAATGATACAATCAGAACCATTCAAATGATGAAAAGAAGGTAATAACAAAGATTCCGGATCTTCAATTCCTAGATCGGGCTAGACAAAGAGATTCATACTTGAAAGAAATACAAAACGCCAACAACTCATCCACATCAAAATCAACAGTCACACTCGATTCTCCACTGTAATCTAACAGCAAAAACCACACATAATTCCCATCAATCGCTAGCTTATGAAAACCCTAAAATTAAGAACCCTAACAAATCAATCCAAAGCTTCGATTACATACTAGAATTAAAGAAAACCCCAAACAAATCCTACGATTCCTCGGCAAAATTCTAAGATTATGATCAAAATCGTTAATAAGGAGAAGATAAAAAATCGAAATCGAGCGAAACCTTTGTTAAGCTTGATTACAAGCTTCTTAGTAGGTTGAGGGAGTGTAGCTTTCTTCCGAGAGAGATTAGCGGCGGCGGGAGTAGGATCTTCCTCCATAGGAAAGCCAACCTTGTCGGCGGCGTTAGGGTGTTGCGGGGAATGATGGAGGTCGTTTTTGGCCTTTTTCATCGGAGGAGAAGAGTAAGAAGAGTCGTCGGAGGCAGAAGCGGCGGAGCAAGTAGAGCGTTTGGTAGGAAGAGACATGAAAATGGGTGAAAATTTTGTGAGAGAATCACGAAGAAGAAGAAGAAGAAGAAGACATAATCCTAAATAAGAACCCTTTCTCTCTACCAAAAGCGCACTGTGCACTCTCTCGCGATATCGACCCGACCCGACAAATGAAGATTAAAATCAGAATTATTTATTATTTATACGGTCATAATTACTATATGATAAAAATATTATAACATGAAAAAATTACATTTAATTTCATTTTTATTATTTATATCCTAAAAATGATTGCCAATATATATAACATAATTATCAAATTTTAAAAGATATTTTTATTTATGTTTGACAACTTTTTATTAGTATTGATTAGGTTTAAATGTTATATATTAAAATATTATAATAAACAATATATTGAAATGTATGTGAGTTACCCATGGATTTTACGAATTCAAACGGTAGAATGCAGATATATTATTTATGCATGTGGATTTTTCGAAGCAGACAGGTTTTTTTTTAATATGATTACAAATTATACGTTTTTCTTTAAAAGGTACCGTGTTCGAACCCGGATCTGGTGAAAATGCAACAAAGGTGAGAACCACTATCTCACTTGCTCATTCTCCAGTTAAAATTTTTATTTATATCATCCGGATCATGAAATTAAAATTTTGATAGAAATCAAATTGATCACTATTCGATTCACATTTGATCTAATTCCGTCATCATGTTAATCCAAAATTTCTGGTGAAACGTTTATTATTTTAAATTTTTGTAAACTCAATAAATCGAAACTAATATAAAATTTGTATTATAGATGTTATAACAAATAAATATATCTACGGATACTCCCTTCTTCAGTCTATCACCGTATATATTGTGAATAATTTCATGTAAAGGTTCGGTGAAGACAATAATTCAGTTCCTAGACCAATTGGTCTGCAACAAACTATCTTCCATTCAACTTACCAATGTTAGATGAACGATGGGTTACAAGTTTCGTTCCACTTAAGAGGTTAAGAAATTTTAGTGTTTTTTTTTTCTCACAAACTCAGTACTTACCCAACTCTTCTAATTCTTCATCTTCCATCTTTTTTTTTTTGCAGATCGATGAAATTCAAGGAACCGCAGATCAAAGATCCACTACCCACAAGGTATCTTTACCTTGTTGCTTGCTGCTATCTGCCTTCTACTCATTGTTTGGGGAGTCTACTTCTTAACGTATGGCAAGACGTACAAAAGGAAGTAAATAAGTACTATACAGGTTTCGCCACAAGATATCGAAATGGCGTGAGAATAACTTTAGTTGTATCAAAAATTTAAGATAATAATGTAATTTGCTTTTCAATTAATTATAAATTTAAATTTTAACTAATAAAATAAAACAACTAGAGATCCAACCTCATACCAATTGATGGAGCTGCTCTATATATTAATGATAAAAGGTTTATATTAAAATTAAAAGCATGAAAATCATTAAATATATTAATAAAATATGAAACATTCTACTACTTATAAAAATAAATTCTTCCAAACATATACGCAGCATATTTAGTTTATTGATTTTCCATGGATTTTTGTAAAATAAGCCACAAATCTCTTAATAATATCAGCCAAATATTAAAAAAAATGTTTTGCCAAGTAAAAAGGAATCAAAATATAAATGAACTTATGAAATAACAAAGAACGGAAAGTGAGAGCAAATATAAAGGAAAATGCAAGCAAAACAAAAGGAAAATGTGAGCCAAGAAAAGAAAAGAAGCACTAAGCATGGATTCTAATATTTACCATTAGAACACACCAATACTTACCAATCAAACCAAACAGGCTACAGTACAATATTTTGCAAATGTGACCTTTATGTATATAAGTTCTTGGGACATTTGCAAAAATAACTTTCTTTTAGTACCATTTTGTAAAAATATCCTCTCTTGTTGTCCATTTTCAATAATACCTACTTTCTATATACAGAATGACTAAATTATAAACCTAAAACTCTAAAATCACAAAACACTACCCCCTCAAAAATATACCCTAAATATTAAATAGAGAACTCAAACCTAAAAAAAATCTTAAAAAATAATTTAGCATATTGTAATTGTGTAAAAGAGGAGAAAAATAAAAATGACAAAAAAGACAATATTTTTGCAAAAAGGTATCAAGTAAAGCATTAGTCAAAATTTCTATAAGTTTTTTTTTTTTTTGTATTCTATTCAAAACACAATAATGTATTATTTCCCCCATAATTTCTGTAGTCAAATATACTTATATTCATTTTTTTAGAACTAATATAAGAGCATCATTACATACATTACCTTAAAAAATATTTTTAAAAATAGTCAAACACAGTGCTAATTAAGTTATTGATTTCCTCTCCTTTTCTTTTTCTTGGTCAACATTGCATTCCTCGTAATCCCTATATAAATAACAGAGTCATCTCAAGTCTTTAGGAAACAAAAGTAATAAAATGTCTACAGAAATTATAATGGCTCTTATTATGAATCTCTTACCTCTTTTGTTCTCAGTAGCTCTAGTTCATTCCGATCAAAGTATATTGCCTCTCAAATCTTTCAAGGTCAATTTTAATTTATGAAACTTGAGATACACGTCATGGATTGAGCTAAGAAATCGTCTTGTTTATATTTTTTCATAAAAATCGTTTTTGTTTTGGTGTTATTAGACAAGTGGAAATGTAACATACGATTGCATCGATATTCATAAGCAACCAGGACTTGATCATCCTTTACTCAAAAACCACACGATCCAGGTTCTTAGACGTTTGAGGAAATTCATCTCCTACATACATTATTTACTTTCATAAAATGTGATTTTAAATTTGACTGTATATGCAATATTTTTTTCTTAAGATGAAACCATCAGCTTCAAGATTAGAATTAAAGAATCAAACTAGCAACAATTATGTGTATAAGAAAAAGATTGGATGTCCATATGGAACCGTTCCTGTATTAAGAAATTCAAAAGAATACATCATCAACACACAATATTTCCATCCGCTATCACGCGATCGTCCTGGAACACATGTAAGCATTCATCTCTAATCTAATAAATTTATTTTAAATTGTATTTACTTTTAAATAAATATATGTATACACACATTTCTATGTCATTGTAATTGGTACTTTGTAGATTGCTGGAGTAAGGTCAAGTAATGGTCCATTTCGTGGTATAGAAGCTTGGTCTAATGGATATGCGTTAAACATCGGCAAAGATCAAGCCTCATATAGTCAAATTTATATAGGCAGTGGATCGAATAAAGAGGTCAATTTTATCCAAGCAGGTTTTATGGTAAGTTTTTCACATTTAATTTGTCTTCAAATTGATTCATTAGGTCATCTTAAATTATAGCAAGCTAAGTACCTTTTGACAGATAAATCCAAGTGTATTTGGTGACAGACGTGTTTGGTCATATGGATTTTGGCAGGTATGCATTTCTTAAACTATGTATACAATATATATGCTGAAATCCTTAACATCAATATACTATATTATTTTTATAGGGTAAAGATGGGAAAGGATGTTACAATACCGCTTGTCCAGGGTTTGTTCAAGTATCGCATGAGGCTACCTTAGTCCAAGTCTTTGACCCGAAGCCAGGAGTGCCGGTCTGGCTCCGTTGTTCCATCCATCAAGTATTTTCCTAATTTAATATACGATATTTCCATTTTTAAAATATATATTTTCCATTAGTTAGTCTTTTTTTTCAAAATCTTGACCCAAAAAAATACATTTTGTTTTATTCCTACTTAGTACTGAAGGATTTATGAATTTGAAATTAACCATCTATATAATCAAATTAGTAAATGATGTATTTGACTATAACGGTATAAATACTTCATTGCCACTTAGTAGTGAGGATTTATGAATATTGACATTAATCATCTATAAAATCAAATTAGTGATTGATGTATTTGACTATAATGGTAAAAAATTTTCCACCAAAAAAAAATAATGGAAAACTTTAAAGTTGATTATCAATTTAGCACATATGTAAATTAATTAATGCACCTTTTTATTAACACATAAATTTTTTTTCTCTCTTCTTTTATGATACGCAAAAAGGATAAACAAACAGGAAACTGGTGGGTTACACTATTGTCAAAAGACTCAAAACCTAGCTTGGATATTGGTTATTGGCCAAAAGAATTATTTAACCTTTTAAATAATGGTGCAAATATGGTTGGAGTTGGAGGTGTCGTTCAGGCTTCTCGTTCCGGTTCAAGTCCTCCGCTAGGTACTGGTAAATTTCCGACTGTAGACCTTAGAGAATCAGCAATATTTACAAATATTGAAGCCTTAAATTCCAACTATCAGCGGCGTAAACTCGATTCTTTTCATATAGAGAAGTTGTTAGATAGTCCAAATTGTTATGGGTTAAGACTTGGTCAAGCACAACTATTCCATCGTAATCAACTCGGTTACTTTTTAAATTATGGTGGTCCGGGAGGAAAATCTTGTGGAGTTTAATATTGCAAATGTAATTGTTAAACTTGATATTAATAAAAAAATCTAATTAAATCACATGAAATTTTCATACATTTTAGTCCTTCAATTTTTGTTCTCAAGCTACTATTTAACTTGACTGCTAGAAACCTTAATTATAATTAAAAAAAGATATAGTCTAGAATTATACAAAAATGGACAATACTCAATAGATTGTACTCAAAATTAAAATATCATAAGTTATCTTTCAAAAGTTTCACAAAAAAAAAGGGGAATTCTCTTAAATACCATTATGAGTTTTATTTTCCAAAAAAACCATTAAAATGCATTTTTCCAAAAATATTACAAAATTAAATCTTACATTTTTTAAGATTCAAAACTAATTTCTAAATCCTAAACACTATCCCTAAAAACTAAAGCCTAAATATAAATAGTCAACACAAACATAAAAAAATAATAATTTTACTCTTTCAAAAACCAGATTTTTATGTTTATGGTATTTTTGAATAACTAAATTTTTTGTGGTATTTTTGAAATAAAACTGTGGTATTTGTAGAAAAAAGGTTAAAATGAGTAAATTTCTCTAAAAAAAAAATAGTTATCTTTTTAAAAAAAATGTCCCCAAAAAAAAGATTTTTAATATATTTCTTAGTAACAACGCTTTACCTTAAAAAGCTGCTAGAGTTTCTAGCTTTCAGTTTACTATATCATATCATCAGCACAAACTCAAATGAAGATCCTCTCTTCTCTCTTCTCTCTTCTCTCTTCTCTCTTCCTTCATCTTCAACACCAAATCACTCTCTCACCATAAACATATATCTCTCTCTCTCTCAATCTTTACAGATGGGAAAATTCATCACAACCACACTATCTCCACCACTCTATGCCAAATCAAAGCTCCTCTGTTTCTCACTTGTATACTTGTTCACTACACTTTTTCTCTTCCTCTACGTATCTCTCTCAAGAAACCAATGCGTCTTTCGTTATTCGCCTTTCGATCCGATCCAACCTAAGCTTTTTTCTTATCCTTCTTCTTATGGTGAACACAAATACGCTCTTCCCACTCATCGATCTTCTTGTTCTTCCCCTCTTTTCTTCTCTGGTAAATCAACAAGAATCTTCCCATTTCTTGATCTTGATTAACATTGCTATGTTCTTGATCGTGTTTTCTTCATGTGGATCAGATTACTGGACAGTGTTGAAGAAGATACAGAGTATCTTGAGCGATTCATCATCATCTTCACAGGAGAATTTGAGATACATTAATGGAAAAAGTGAGAGTTTCGGTGGAAATTTTACTACTCAAAAGAGGTTTTCTTATTACAACCATTCCAACATTGACGTTGAAGTTCCATGCGGCTTCTTCAGAGATTTTCCGGTCAGCAACTCCGGTGAGATTATCATCATTTTAGTTGGTTAACCGGTCTAACCAAGAAAATCGTATTTAAGCAAAAGTCAAAACACCGAGTAAACCGGAGAAAATCAGGATCATAACGGCATAATTATATAGTTTGATTTTTTTTTTTTTTTTTTTTTTGCCTCAAATTAGACAAAACTTTAAACATTTAATCCAAATGTAAAAATAAAAAAAAAATAAAAAAAAAATTAATCCAAATGTAAAAATCATACACGTAACGTTTGTTAAATGTTTAAATATCATACAATCATGATATTTCACTGACATCAATTCTTTATTAGTGATAAATTTTGTTTTATCTCTATATTATTTTTTGTTGTCTTCAAATTTTGTTTTATATCTATAATAATATTTTGTCTCTCTATTGTTTTGGTAGACAGAGTTGAGATGGAGAAATGTGGACTAGTAGTTGCATCAGCAATTTTTAACGACCATGACAAGATTAGACAACCAGTGGGACTTGGAGTTAAAACCTTAGAAACCGTTTGCTTCTACATGTTCATCGACGATAAAACCTTATACTCACTCTTCCACCACAACGTCATCCCAAAAAATAGTCCAAGAGACTATAGAGTTGGCGCATGGAGGATCATCAAAATATCGAAATCCGAGAGTCTATACCTTAATCCGGCTATGAACGGGGTTATACCAAAGTATCTTATACATAGATTGTTTCCAAACTCAAAGTTTAGTATATGGATCGATGCGAAGATTCAGCTCATGATCGATCCGCTACTTCTTATTCATTCAATGCTAGTAGTGCCTGAGGCCGATATAGCGATATCGAAACATCCGTTTTTTGTAAATACAATGGAGGAAGCTATGGCTACCGCGAGGTGGAAGAAATGGGGAGATGTCAATGGGCTAAGGGTGCAAATGGAGACTTATTGTGAGCATGGTTTAAGGCCTTGGAGCTCTCATAAGCTGCCATATCCCACAGGTAATAATAAGATCTTCCCTAAATCGTAACGAACAAAAGCTTTTATTATTCTATCGTTAATTAATGATAATATTGGTTGTCTTTACTCGTATATAGGTTAGTTAGGTAAGGTTCTATATAGGAAAAGATCTATTAGTTTAATCTTAAAGTACTAATTGTTAGTTCAGTTGGGCACTGATCTATATGTATGCATAATTAGATAGTAGACTCAATCATGTTATAATTTTATCGTGCAAGCTTGTGATGATAATTTTTTTAGGCAAATTAATATTAGTAATTTAGTATGATCCTAGACTTTAACAATTATTTTTTGTAATGTATATTTCAGATTAAATAACCATTATTATAATTGAGGTTTATAAATATAAAATGGTGTTGCGTAACATTTTTAAAAAATATATATATAGAGTATATTTGTGGTCTAATTTTTTTTTTTTTTTTTTTTGTATTATAAGATTAAGTAAACAACTTTAGAAAAACATATACCTTTCTTTGTCTAGAATGTTGGTGTACTCTTCTATTACTTTGCAATAAAGACTAAAGAGTCATGTCTTATGCATGAAGATTTGCTTTAGTTGGTTAGGTTCTGTTCTTTTTACCCGTGGCTTTTGAAAATTGGATTCACGGGTAATCATGAAAACCATACTTTGAATAATTGTATTCAATTCGTATATATACAATGGAATATTAATGTACTTCCTAAGTTTCTATCTTGCAAATAATTACATATTAACAACGTTGACGAGTATTTAATTTCTCTGGATATAATGGTTGACAAAACTAGTGTTGTTGCTTATTTCTAGTTGTCAATTTGTATGTTTTGGTGGACATATTCGTGTAGCAATAAATAAAATCATAGTTGTAAGCAAAGAATCACGACGTGGTCCATATAACACATCAATTACAATATGAGATAGCGAAAGAAATATTATGGTCCGTCCATGCGAAGACTGTCACGTCAATTTTATTTCCATTAATATTCATTAGATCTTATAATGTTCTTAAGAAATCTGATTTGTCATGTTAATTGTTATTTGAAACAGATGTACCAGATAGTGCGTTGATACTTAGAAGACACGGGATAAGAAGCAACCTATTCTCGTGCTTCATGTTCAACGAGTTAGAAGCGTTTAACCCGCGAGACCAATTAGCGTTTGCGTTTGTGAGGGATCACGTAAACCCTAAGGTGAAAATGAACATGTTTGAGGTGGAAGTGTTCGAGCAAGTAGTTATTGAATACAGACATAATCTCAAGAAGGTCGAGACATCTACGTACGAGGAACAAGAAGAAGAACAGAAACAAGAATCGTTGAGGAACATACAGAAGAGAAGAAAATGGTTAGATCATGAATCTTGGTCTCTCAATAGTAGTAGCTGTAATAGTTATCTCATGGATATGTGGGGGTGAATCTCACCTGTTGATTTTTCTTTTATTCAATAGTGTAATAATCTGATATATTAAGTTGGACAGTATACTTTCAAATACAAGTTTACCAAATTGTATCGTATTACATGTGTATTATTGTACAGTGGCGGATACAGAAAAGTATTTTGCCTCGGGCACAAATGATATAAAAAAAATTATATAGTAAAACATGTTAAAATAAATATTTTTAAAAATAATTTGAATGTATATTTTTATCTTTAGTGAGCCAATTTTTTTTATTTGTAAATATATATTTCTAATTTTTAATTCACTCTATAATATTGAAATTTAGATTTACTTATTTAACCATATCTCACAAAGTTAAACCCTTAAAACTTTATAATATTGAAATTTAGATTTACTTATTTAACCATATCACATAAACGTTAAACCCTTATATACTTTTTAGTGTTATTAGTTTGCTAGTTTTACTACCATTCTTTCAATTATGATATATGTATACTAAACGATATAGATATTAATTATTTTTTAAAAAATTGAACAGGAACTAGAAAAATTAAATAAAAAAAGAAACATATAATTTTATTAAATAAAATAAAATTAAATAGAATAAAGAAAATGCATGCTATATAGAAAACTAACTGACACCAAGGAGGTTCAAACTCAGGACAACACACTTTACATGGGTAACTATTTACCAAATAAGCTACAGAACATATTCATACTTACCTACTTGTTAACTTTTATAAAGTAGTATGGGGCACGTGCCCCACCCACTTATACCCTAGATCTGCCCCTGTTATTGTATGTACATACAGTAATTATGTGTTGTTTATCACATTGATCAGCTCCATTGGAAAGTCTTTTTGAGATCAGTATAAAATCTGACATCATCTGCCTAATTGTAGTCATCAATGTGAATATACAAATATTTTATCTTTGTATGTATGTATATACATGGATTGCATTTTCCAATTTTGTACTCTCCTTTTTGTTTAGTTCTTTTAATTAGTTTTCTACAAAATGAATGATGCATATAATGTAAATAATTTTTCCCGGTAAATAAATTTTATATTCCTTTTTTTTGGGGCAAAAAAGTTTAAATTCATTAAAAATAAAAATAAAAACTGATAGTTCCATCCTAATACCAAGATTATTGGTAAGATCTTAAGGGTAAGAATTACACTAGAAGCTATCTTAAGATTATTGGTAAGATAGCTTATAGTGTAATTCTTATCCTTAAGATCTTACCTTTAATGTTGCCCTAAACGTGTACACTAGAAAACATGTATAAAATAAAAGTAAAAGAAACTCAAAATTTTGCTTGACTATTTGTGTAACTGGCAACCAAATTTTATGTGTCTGTTTTTTTTTTTGTAAATATAGTTTGTCATCAAACTAAAATGACATCAATTTCAAATAATCTTTTAGTTTTTCATGCTTTACCAAAACAGTCTTGAAGACAATACAAAAAAAAACAAATTAGTCATATATTCACCAATTGATGTAGTGAAATAAGGAAAACCACGAAATCTCAAAAACAAGTAACTAAAATAACTTGTTGGAAAAAGAAACTATATGATGAAAAAAATAACTAAGTAAACTTTTGAAATTTTAAGTAATTTGAACCTCTTTATAATTTAAGAAATATTAAGTTTTTTTTCTTGGTTGTTTCACAAGGCAAAAAAAAAAGAACAATTAAACATTAACTCTATTTCTAACGGATACTTAAAGAAGGTTAAAATCGTCAACTGACATGACAATCTATAAAAACACGCTTCTTGTGTTTCACTTCTCTCTAACGTCTCGATTCTCAAAATTTTGAAATAGTGAAACTCTCATCATCCTTTCCCAGAGGAATCGAATCAACAAAAATTAGGGTTTTAAAATTCTTCAAATCCTGTTTTTAAGTTGTTTTACATAATGACGATTTCTCTCTATCTATGTTCTTCTTCTAATTTTTCTCATGCTTCGTTGATACAGTTCCAATCTGAATCCATGGGTTTCGATTTTAGGTTGATGATCTTCTTAAGATAGTTTAGTTTCTACCAGATCCATGAATTAGGTTGGTGTTAGTTTGTTTGTTTTTTTATATTTTGAAAATTTACTTGATCGGGTGTATATGCTCTGATTTGGAATCTAGGGTTTTAATTTTGGGATTTTGATTCCGTTTTTGTTAGTTTTACTCGATCGGTTTATATACTCTAGGAGTTGTGGTTCTGACATCTTCCAGTTAGGTTAATCGTGTACTTGTTTATTGGATTTTAATTTGGGGATCTAAGTGTTTTTTAATCTTCTGAAATTTTTTTGACATCAAACTTTCTAGTATTTGTTGTAATTGACGACTTTAGATGCTTTTATCATGACTCTGATTCTGAATTTTTGTTTTTTATTTATTGTGATGGTTTTGATCATCAAAAAAGAAATACTCATATTTGTTCCACGATGAGCGCCAATTGTTTGTACCAGCTTACATTCAGCAATTATAATGTTTGAAATTTTGAAGGTAAACGGAAATAGTAATTTATTAACGATAAACAAGATCAAAGGTTACAGAAAAAGTTAATCTTGCTTATAGCAGTTATAGACTATCCGCCGAATCGAGGACAAAGCCATCCAAGCACACAAGAAGAGCGCTTGCGGTATTCAATTCAATCGGCCGCTCAGTTTTGGTAATTTCTTGTAGTCTACTACCGGTAATGACTACTGATTTTGTGTGCAAGGTGATGGTTATAAGTCCAATTATCCCCAAATTCCACCTTTAGATATTTTTTTCTTTTTTAATATGCCATTATTATTATTTTTTGCTTCTAGCCTTAAAATTTTCAGGATTTCTTTTTTTTTTTTTAATAACACCTAGATCGATCCACGTTCCAAACTTGTTGATCTCTGTTTTGAGGCCAATGTCCAACAGAACTTTCGTTTTTTGGTTTTAATAGTTGACGTAGACTTGCATGAAACGTAGACTTGTTCAATAATTATTACAAACAAAAATAAAAAGTGGATAATTCTCTAGATTACCACATTTATAAATGAAAGATATCGAAACTATAATATTAAATTTAAAATGATTCACATTATTAACTAGTTATTCTAGGATTATATAAGTTTCGACCATTTAGAAGTATCGATCTGTAAATTCCGCAGTTTCACATATTTGGTCCGAAAACTAATTTTTTTAATTTATAAAAACTCTAATTGTAAATATTAAAGGAATAAAACAAGATGTGTTGGAAAAAAAAAATACAATTTATAGATCATTAAGCTAAGCAAAGGTATGATCATAAAGAGCGTTGACAAATGAATCTCACTAGTCTTCTTCAAAAGCAGTGACGGGGAAAGTACGTGACAGACCCGTAGGATTAGCAAAAGTGATTTTAGTCGGATCTTGATCATTAACAAAGATCTCAGAGATGGTAACCCAAATCAAAATCTCTTTGCTCTTGATTCCCGTGAGCTGACGCATCCGACGGTTCTCAACGAACGCAGTGACTTCAGAGTCGTACGACACGTTTCTCCCGATGGCTTTGAACCGATGCTGGACCTTGTTCTTGATCTTGATCCAGACATAACCGGTTGATTTGTTGTGACCGATCTCTGTCATGTCGTCTAGTGGTAGAAGTCCTTTTGGTAGATTCATCGTCGATAAGATCTCGTTGGCTTTTTGTTTGCAGATTGATCCGCCATTGCAGATCTCTGCTCCTTCTCTTTGATCTTTTTTGGTTTCTTGAGACGACATTTTCGATTTTGCTTCGATGAGTTTTTGTGGTTTTTGAGGACTTTTTTGGGTGGCATTATATATAGCGGTGGGAATTTTGGAGATGAAATGACGTAATTGGGCTCCGTTAAAGGAAAGGGTAACGCGTGAAGCTGAGGGTAATATGGGTATTTTCGTAGAAAACTGAGTAGGTTAAGGAAACTCAATGTGCGTACTGCGTACTGCGTAGGTGGGACGCATGCACTTCATGTTCGTGGAATTATTTAGTAGCCAAAGAAAAATACATTAAACTTGAATCTACAGTAATTAAATAGATGACATAAAAAAAATCTACATAACTACAATATAAACACAATCATACACTGACAACACGAGAATAAACTTTCAGCTACATAAAAACAGAAGAACTCTTAATATAGGAGTGATTCCAGTTAAATTTTATATTCTTTTCAAAAGGGAGAAGTTTTTATTCTTCTTTTTGGATCCAAATAAAAACCAATTCTGGGTCCGTCACTGCATTCGAGTAAACAACGCAGTGAACAAAAACTATACCCTTCGTTAACATTTAATACCAAAGGCTGTGTGCAGAGACGATCACAACCAAAACAGATCTCTCGAGTGTTCCCACTGTTTCGAAGAACTGAAACCGAGTTATCATTTATTTCAATGGAGATGGGCTTCATGAAGATTTCTTCCCCCAATAAACAACTTATATGAACTGTGACACTGCAATAGTTATCGCATTTATAGAACCACTTCTTTGCATCTAACCTTGTTTCACATATTTCGCACCAGTATTGACTGTTTGATGTATCGTCTTCCCCGTAGCAAAGAGTGAGTAGATGCCGATCGTGCTTGTAATACATAACACTTGGCAAAGAAGCGCATTTAAGTCCCAAAAACCACTTGCACTCCATACACTCTAGGAAAAAAGTTGAACAGTCTTCAGATTTACACCCCATGCATTCACCTTGGGTAAGATTGAAGAAAAGGGCATGTGGATGGCTGCCATGGATAACAGGATCAGGAAGGGAGGCGCATCTGATGTCTAACTGGAACTTGCAGTCTTTTTCGCTGCATGCGTACATATAACCACAACTTGTATGGTCACAACCATTGCATTTGAACATGGCTTCATAAGAAGTTCTAGGTCCCATTCCCCATATCTGTCGCACGTACTCAATTTGCTCTGGAGAAATTAGATGAAGGATAAGAGGGTGTCTGTGTAGAGGATGATAAATTTTGCGGGGACGCGTTGCACATGCTTCATGGAGAAAGAAGTCGCACTGTATACAACTATAGACATCCTCAGATATCGTAGTTGGAAGGGTGCATGCTTGACAGAACCTGTTTCCATCACAAACGTCGTTGTTCCTGTGATGTTTTAGGTAATGATCATGGCTGAAATGTTGTATCGTTTCGTCGTCGATCCTCACAAATGACTCGATATCGTTGTCTTCATCAGGATCTTCAGCCACACCTTCAAGATCTTTTCCATCCCACACTCTTCCTTCCACTGCACATTTGGAATGGACTGCATAGTCACAACCTTTTTGGCAAGAAAACTGGCCGTACGTAACATTGATGGGATGGCGACAAACCCCGCAAAGGAACAAACCGGAAGGGAGGGAGGAAGAGAGAGATAGACGGTGTTGATGACGTGTAATCTTTATGACACGGGGTAAGTAGATACATGTCCTATGGATCATGTAGTTACAAAGGTGACAAGTGTAGACGAGATCATGGTTATTGTCGAGAGACGAACCACAAGCATCACATGGGGAAGTGATTCGTCTAGGGAAAATTGTGAGAGGGTGCTCATGACATTTCAGGTTCGAGATGGTAAGATGTGGTGGGTTTCTAGTACAAGTGAGGTTTAAGCTGTAGTTGCAGATACGACAATGATAGTAAATCTCCTGAAGCTGCTTCTGACAACATTTGCATCTCAAATCTGATATAGATGCATCATTATCGGATTCAGATGTCTCCGGTTCTGACTCGGAATCAGAGGGTTCTTGTAGCCATGAAGAAGGTAGATCTCTATAAGGAAGAAGATCAGAAAAAGAATGGTCTGGGGAGGAAAAGGTGAACTTGAGAGGGTGGAGAGGGTGAAAAGGATGTCTGATCTCCGACAGGTACAAGTGGCAACCATCGTGGAAATCATCACCGCAAGTATCACAATGGTAACAGCTCATACCGCTACTCATATTATTACATACGGAGCAAAAAGCGTAGCCACCAGGTTTCTTTTCAAGGGTGTGAGGCTCAGTTAGATCTGACCTACGACATCTCGGTTGAAAATAACAATTCTTGTGGAACTCGACTTTGCATGTATCGCAACGGATATGATACTCTGATCGATACTTTTCGATTCCGCACATGGAGCATTGTCTCATCGGACCATATATCTTAGAAAGGAAGTGCACCGGCTGATCCTTAGGCTGATCTTGATCCCACAGACAACAAACGAGTTTAGCACGAGAACTAAACTTTATTAGTTTCTCTTCCATTTGTTTGTTTGTTTTTTTTTTTTTTTTTCTTGAAGATGAATTTTCAGATATGGATTTTTCTTTAGCTTCTTTAGCTTTTTATGTTGATCATAAAGATTCATAGAACCAACATTTTTTTTTTTTCATTTTCTTGAAGACCAACGGATGCTAGCTACTTGTTTATTATTGTGGATTTAAAAAACCAACAAATTATTGTTCATTATCTTTTTTTTTTTTTAACATTAGTCAACGACCAAGGATGCTACCTAGCTAGTACCAGCTAATTTTTATTGTTTTTAAAGACCAATAAATTGTTTTCTATTTTCTTTATGAATTATTCAAAAACCAACGGCTCAGCTTGTTTATTTTATATACAACTAGGTGTTTGTCCTGTGTATGATTAAATTTTGTGGGAATCCAATTAAGTAGTTTTTAGGATTTCAAAGAAGTTAACATGATATAAAATCTTATTTTTTGAATAATTTTAGATTTTTCGTTTTCCTTCTTTAATTTAGGTTTAAACTAAAATTCAAAATTCTGGGTAGTAAATAACAATAACAATGGATAAACAAGATTCGTGGTCTACTTATGAAACTTAATTATCACAATTTGAGCATTGTACTAAGATATGATCAATTTTTGGATCGATTAGTTGAGTTCGATTTAAATAACATCAGTAGTTCTAAATTGAATACTTTATTTTTTTGGATAAAATTTTGATCATTCCGGACAATTGAATTTGTTCATTGGTGAAAAATTTTATTTGTTGGGAACATAAATACTTCAATGTTTTTATTTGTTAGAATAAAAAGACATCATCTAAAATATATTTGGTCTAAAAAAACTTCATATTTGAACTGTTGGTAAATTTAAAACCGCAAATTAGCGGTCATTAACAAACATTACAAAATCATTAGATGATATTAGAAAACGAGGTATTTCAGGGTTTTTTCCTTATACATTATAGTCAAAGACCAAATTGATTTTTTTAAAAGGGAACGAACAAAGACAAAGGGATGATGCTACGTGCTACCTAGTACCTTCTACCTACTTGTTTTATTGTTTTAGAAGACCAAGGAATCATAGACCAAAGACGTCACCAGGACAATGGTGTTTGTCTCGTGTTAGGCGTGAACTTTGGTTGCTCACACAGTAATCTTGGAGATGGATGCGGTTTGGAACAAAGACACACTCAATTGCCTCGTACAGCTAATGATTTTGGCAAAATGTGCCTTTAAGAGCTGATTTTAGTATATTAATTAGTAAACATTTGACTAGAGCGTTTTTTATTTGTAAGGATTTTAGTATATTAATTGGTTATAGTTTATTTATAATAATCAGTGATAGCAATACTTTTTTAGTTTTGAGAAATACTTTTAAATAACAAAATTTTCAGATTTTGTTTTCAAAGATACAATATTAGCTTTATGTAATTATGTTTCTAAAAATACCACCAAAAGTTTTGGTTTTCCAAATACATACATCACAAACACAACATTTTATTTTCAAGGGTTTAGATTTTTTTTTTTTTTTTTACACAATTTTAGATTTAGGGTATAATTTTTTAGGAATTTGGTTTAGTATTTAGGATTTAAAGGTTTAGTTTTATTTTTTTTCCTCAAAATTTTAGTTTTAGTTTTTGGCATTTTTAGCAAAAAAAAAGCTTTATTTTAGAGAAGTAGAATTAATAATAGTCTTTTTTTATATAAAAAACATTTTAATGGTATTTATGAGAAATGTCCTTTAGTTTTTCTTATTTTTTGGTATAATTTTTACTTTATTGTTTTACAAAATAAAATGAATGTTCTGTTATAAATTAAGCTGAGTTATTGGGATTTGGGAGGTTGAATTTAAAAGAGTTCATAGATTCAAAAGTTTTGAGACTTTAAAATTCTCAAAGATTTTAAACCTGTGATCGACAAGAGTTGACTGAGTTGACCCAGTGATCCGACGAACTCTCTGGTAGTCTGGTTCGATGTGCAGTTACAATTCACCCTAACAACAACATTTAATTTGTTTTTTCTCACAAAAGAAACTTTAGATGGTTACATGTTAGAGTTTGATAACCTTAAGTTCAATTACTAACGAAGACAAACTCACTTTTGTGGAATATGTATATTTTACCTGCAGATATACATGCTCTATGAATGAAGTCTGAGTTTTGAAACTCAATTTGATGAAAAGTACAAATGATCACCATCCCAAATCACATTTAAATCGTCAATCTCGGCGTTGTCTGCATTGGTGATCTTTGAGAAGCTGCAACCTCCAAACTTTTCACTTGCAAGTCTTAGAAGCTCTTCTATGGATGATGGTAAGAGTATCAACTTCCCATTCTTGCGCTGTGACATCATGTGGATGGTAACTCTCTTCTCCTCTCTTTTACATGGCTTGATGGTTTGGTTGCTTGAGCTGCAATACATATCTTCTTTCGGTTCACAATTTGATCTTTCCTCTTTAGCTCTCTCTAACTTTTGTTCTTGAAGTATCTTCTTAACCAAGTCAGTATCTCCCTTATGAATTGCATCCATTAGAGCATTGTCGGAAATCGGATTCGTAACATCTAAACCATACCCATCTTTTCTTGAATCTCTCCACTCTTCCCATCCCATTATTTTGGAATCTCTGTTTTCTTGACCACTATTCGAATCTTCAATTGCTATTGCCTGTTGTCCTCTAAGTTTCTGCATGTTTTTACAACCAAAACATCAGTTTAATTTTTTTAATGAACTACACAAACATTTACAAGAAGCATATATGGTTTTCAAACTCACATACCATGAATAGATTGTTCATTATAATCCTTCCATCTTCAGCATGAGCGTGCATCGCGCTCATCAGCGACGTTCTGCTTATCCGAAGAATTTGAGACAGCTCGGTTGTTCTTACCGTGAATGGTTGTGGTCTATAGCATAAAACACCAATCTCTCCAAAAGAATCTCCAATAACTGCCTTCCCTTGAATCTGATCATGTCCATCAACATATACTGTAAAGTCCTGCACAATTACACAATGTTACAAAGGTTCCTACACATTTAGTTACATTTTCACGAATAATTGATATTATTCACTCACCACTGCTCCTGAGACAAGAATGTAAAGATCCGTAGGAGCTTCGTTTTGTAGGATTATATCTTCTTTAGGTGGGAAATACTCAGCATCTATATCTGAAACCTTGAACATAAAAAAGGTACATAGAGTTGGTCACCTCTTCGATATCGAATTATTAGGAAAATTTAAAGAGTACATAAAAATGTTACCAGTTGAAAGAGGAAGTTACGCGAAACTCCTTGAAATAGATAAATGTTTTGAACAATGGGGAAGAAGAGGTAGTTTGCAATGCTAGACCGGATTGCTTTTGGTAGATTGTTCAAGGTCTCTTGTTGTTTCAATCCTTCTGTCTTGAACTTTAAGCAAATGTGTGATAACATCTGGTCTTGTATGTCATGTGGGAGTTGATTTCTTGATGCAAACTCTGATGCAGCTCTAACTGTATCCCTCTGTTAAACACAAACTTACAAACTTGAGTGTATACTTCACATTATTAGCCAATCTTTTATCCAAAATGAACATAGCAAAGATCAAACTTACAAAGATTCTGGTTCGGCTAGTCCAATGAACGACGAGGTTGGTCATATTTCCAATGAGGTAAGCCGTCAAGCCGAGGTTGAACAGCATGAAGAAAATGTCGAAAAGCATTTCTCTAGGATTCTCAGGATGCAAATCTCCATATCCAGTGGTCGTTAATGTCGTGATTGACCAGTAAAGCGCGGTCACGTATCTAGTCCAGAGACTTGCTTCTTTGAAATTTGGATACACAGCTCCAATCCATGTCTTTCTTGGATTTGGATATCTATCTGCAATCAGGTAGTTGAAACATCCAGCACAATGTACAGCGAACAAAGTGACCTGAGATCAACAAGCACGTGTAAGTCACTAGCTTTAATATGGTGTCCATTTTAAAGACACATAGGGTCTACTCTAATTTATACCCCCAATAATATTCATGTAACTTAGAAGCTATAATCTTATATAGAACTCATTGGAATAAATGACCTCAATGGATAGTCCTAAACTTTTTTGTCAATGAGATTATTACTTTTGCTTTGTTTTGGAACTAACCGAGATGAGTTTTGTGCATCGTATCCAGAAATAGTTGAAACGTATATCTTTCTCAAGCCTGAAATAAAGAGATGAATAATTTAGTACGTTCTTAATTAAACTTTAAGAAGAGTGTGGTCTCTTAGTTAGCTTTCGTGTTAAACAAACCTTGCAAAGAGCGAGCTAACTCTTCGGAGACGCCATAACCTGAGCATGCTGAGAATTCTGAATCCTAGTTCGCTTCCGTTGTAGTTAAACAAGAGGCTCAATGGCTGAAATGGTGCGGTGGAACACACATCAAAAGCAAACCATGTCGAAAGGTACCTGAAAATGTTACAATCATGTTTTGAGATTCTGATTCAATTAAAAGGTTTCAAAATAACATTTTGTTGTACTCACCTTATTGCTATTTTCTTAGGATTGTCAACTAGGAGATAGGAGTGGCTATCGAGATAAGCGACGAAGAAGGTGAGAATAATATCAATGGCAAAGAAGCCATTAACAATGTTGTCGATGATGAAAATCGCGTCTTTTTTGTATGTGATGAAAGCAAACTGAAATGGGCAAATCCAGGCTGAGTAAATAACTAGCAAGACTAGCCACAACTCCCATGCTCTGTTTCAACAAAACAGAGGATTAGAAAAACAGAGTATTCCCAAAACAGAGTAGTTAAAGAGTCTAGAGATAAGAAAATTACCTATATCGTGGATTAAAAGGAGAGATTATGTGTTTACGGAGCTTAGTAGATTGGTTAATTCTTGCTCCAAGAGATGGTAAGAGATCAGCAGAGAGGAAACTACTCTGTTTGATTGTGTCAATATTGTATTCATCGACGCAGAATCTTTCGAAGAAGCTTCGGGTACGAGAGATCGACATCTTTTTGATGATCTTTAGGGACAAAGAAACAGTTATGGCTTTCTTCTTGGCAAGGTAGTTATAAATAGTGATGAAGCTTGTGACAAAGTGACACGGGGAAACTTGTCTTTTCTTCTTCTGTTGGGACCTTTATGGCAACTTGCTCTGACCCATTTGTTATCTTTTTTCTTTTGATGGGTGTGAGAAAAATAATAAATTTGGCAGGGGAAAGGTTAACGGCTTTTACACAGACTCAGTGCGCCATTAACACTGAAAAAATACCAATATGGTTTCGACTGCAAAGAAGCAAACAATGGTGAAGAAAAAAGGCGTAAAACGCGGAACAGAGGAGTAGTGAGTGTGTAGAATTCAAAGATCTTGAGACATGAGGCAGAACTTGAGTGGCAAACATTGAGCTTTCGCGGTGGAAATCATCATGTTTTCTTTTCTCTTTTTTTGACAGGAAATAGAAGATTCTAAAGAGGAAGAAGAAGAAGAAGAAGAAGAAAGAAGAAGAGCAAACGCAATCTTGTATTTTTACTTGATGAGATACATGAAAATGGTGTGTTGTTGATGTCCACTCTCTTAGGCATTTTGAAGATGGGAGTGGTAGATATATAGACACAACACAAACGCATATAGAAAAGGAAGTTGAGGTACGTTTGGTGTTTGGTGACTTGTGTTAATGGAAGGACAAATATGGCCATGAAAATTATGGTGTGTTCATTTCAGGAATCCAGGAATGATGGGCCAAGCAAAATTAAAGAAAATAAAATGGCATTTGACAGAATATTTAAGGGGCCAAGGGTATAATTTTTTTTTTTCTTACAAATTTTATTTTATTTTCTCATCTCGTATTCTTAAAGTATATGTCTATCTCTCTTTATTCTAGTCCTCAATACCAATCATAAGTTTACTGTTTTCATTTTGGATTTGAATTTGTTAAATAGCCATATAGTTGGAAATTTACTTGCAAAGACATATGGTATAGCATATACTATATAGTACTCCATTCAAATTAGTGATTCTTACATAAAATTCCATTTTCTAAAGAAAATTTTACGCATATGCAAGTTTTGTTAAAATCTATATTTACGATTTTTTTTTTGTTAAATCCATATGTCATAACAAATACTAAACTTTTAAAACAAATATAACCGACTAAACCCTAATATAATGAGTCAAATGCATATTTAAACTGTATTTTGTAAGGTTAAAGAATGTTAAATACGTAAAATTTTATATTTCAGACAAAACGGTCAAACCCATATGCCATGATGGAAAATGGTTTCTTCAAATTATATATCTTTAATATTTTGTGCATGGGGAGGAACTTAGATTATATAACATTATGTAGAAGCTAACGAGAACCAATATCATGGTTCCACGTGAAGAAACCGAATCTAGCTAGCGAACAACTTTGACGATCACTAAAAAGAACACAGACACAATCCCTCTTCTCACTCGGTCGGATACACTCGCTGGCTCGCACGCATTTATGTCTTTGTTGTGTTTTGACTTTGGTCTATACGTAGTGCTTTAAGAGATAGAAGACACACCAATAAGAGAACTTCACGTGGTGGGTTTCTCATGTGTGTCCGTGACTCTTGATTACTCGTACTTCTTTCGGTGGCCCTTTTCTCGACCATGTTACGATCCGGCTTACTAAATTCCTCATATTTGTTTTACAATATGTTAATTTCTCAACAACTAAGAGAAAAATATCATACTTTAAATGTAGAATTTTATGAGTTTTAGCCGAAATGCAAATTTTAAAATTTTAAAATGATATGTTACTAATAGGAGGAAATGTATTTAAAAAGGATTAATCCGATAAACTGCAAATGAACACAAAAATAAGATGCTAAACTTACCAAAATTTACTATTAATGTTAATTTCTTAGTTGAAACAAAGTTTATACATATACCTAAATAGTTTAAACAAAAATATTAGGCTATAAAATATATTTTTTTTTTTACATTTAGTGCGTGCGAATGCAAATGCATGTGATAACCTCTTGTAATGGGTTGTACATAGCTAGGAACGGTTTTTTTTTTGACAAAAAGAAAAAGAAAAGAATAAACACTTTTTCTACAATAGGAACGAGAGCTGAGGGAAATAAAATCATTGATATATGAATAAAGTTACAAAGGGTCCTTATGAAAAAAAAATCATGGTTTATAATAAAAACGCATTCGTACACGAATATATAAATTTCTTTTGGCAATTCTAATTATTTAACTAAGCTTTTATTTTCGTTCGCTAGAATAGAATGCCAAGTATAAATTCTTTAAAACTTTCCGCCAAATTTGTATTTTTTTAAATCATTCCCAATAATTTCTTTTCATTTCTGCGTCGATTTGAGCCATAGGAATGCATCTTTCATGATTCCTAGTTGATATTTTGTTTGGTGCCTTGCTGAGGTCCTAATTTGAGTTAACGTTATTACCACTAGCCATATCAAATATATATATATATATATATATATATATATATATATATATATATATATATTGTCGTAGAAAGAACTAATAAAACATAAGAGATTTCGTATAGAAAATAATAATAATTAATCATATCTCATGCATGATTAGCTTTTACCAAAATAATTCTATTTTAGATTTTCCGATTTAACTCGTAGTTTTATTTAATTTTTGAGAAATACTTAAAATGGAAAGAGATATTACGATAGGAAAATATTTTGGAACGAAAATGAATAAAATGTGGCCAAAATATAGCAAGGGCCAATGGAGAATTGAAGCTGCCTTAAGAGTAAGAGACAATCTTGAAAGAGATATGAAACATCAATTTTGTTTTAACTAACAAGTAGCCTTAAGAATGAGCTTTACATGTATAATGGAAGGGTCTGAGGTTTATTTACGTATATATACACATCACATCACTACATCAGTACATGCAAAATTTTAGTATATATATTTTTGTTTTAAGCTACGGTTATCCAAAAATTTCGAATAAAAACGAATTACTATAGAAATGTGTATGATTGATATGTGCCTTTGTCTTATAAAAGCGACCGAGAAATTGTTAAACAGAGTTAGTTTGCTACTTGCTGTCTTCCTAGTGCAAGTGGGGTTGTTCATGTTAACGGCTTAAACTGAGGTTGGTTAAGTTGTCTCATGCTAAGAAGTGGTGTAGGGTCTAAAAACTTGTTTCAGTTAGTTATTAAGATTTTTCTGTGGGGCAACAAAGTCTTGGTACTCATGGGCATCCGGCGATAACCGAAAAACCGATTTTTCGGTTATTGATACCGAGTATGTGATCAGGAAGAGAGAACCGATCGCTGAAATTGGCGGAGTTGAGCCAAAGCCAATTTGTTGATGGTTGTAAATGTCATATTAAATTTTAGGAGGAGATGTTTTGGATTGGTCTTTCTAGTACTGAACCATGCCGGTCTATTCCACTACAAATTATTAATTTTCTGGTTAGATATGTTATCTAGTTTTTTCTTGGGATTTAGTACCCCACATTATATACATTGCACATTATTAACAGGTTCAATAATGCGAGATTACCAGATAGAGATTTTTTCCTGTTAAATCTACCATAAAATTTTAAAAAAGAAAAGTCAACTATTTGTATAAAAAATCCTTCTCATGATCATTAGACTAGCTACTAAAAAGGAAATTGAGACTTTTATTTGAAATTTAGAGTGTTTTTTTATCTATGTAAAGAAAAATTTTCATAATTTCAACGGGGCTACATGAGAAACGAGTCATAGACACTGCATCGGCGATTTTGTTTCATGTAATGTCGGCATGATTCATGAGATTTTTTAAAAGAGAATTATATATGTATGTGTCATGTTTCCAACAAACATATATATATATATTTCCATGGGCTATGTTCATGAGACATAAGATAATCTAGCATATGGTAGGTCGTCGATCGACCAGCGTATATGAAACTTTCTAAAAGTATTGAGGTTCATAGCCATACATTCAAATCTTCATGTTTGAAAAATGCGTTAAATACAATGAATCAGATGAAAAAACTCAAACAATAATACCATACCATACAACAACACACATGTATGAATTAGATCATTATACCATACAATGCAAATTCATCACATGTATCTAAAATCCAAATTTTTTTTTTGTTTTTGTAAAAAAAAAAGGTTTGGTCAAGTGAGAATCCTATTGAGACAACTAAAATCCAATGTTGAAAGCATGGTTTTTGTATAATTTTCTTCCTTTTTCATTTGAGTGTTTCAGAAATTCATCACTTCAATTCAAGAGTTCGTTAATGAAGTGTTTTCTGAAGTACAATTTGCATGTGATACCTAAATTACTATAGAGATATAACCTAAGAGTTATGACATGTACCCAAATAATTTCTTCGATCAAACATGGCATTTATAGTTTGGCCTAAACACATAGGTTTTGAAACATGTGATGAATTTATTCAATAATGTTTGAAGGATGTGTATGTGTGTGTGTGTCTAACGCGATTAGGTTTATGTAGTTAATGACGAGTAGGGTCTAAAATCGTAATGAAGATCCTCGTGATTGTCCTACAACGTGGGAAACTTCTTTTTGTTATACATAAAGCACAAAATATTAAATCAATCACTAATATTTTGTTTTTTTTGTTGGGTAGGTATATTAATATATAGCCTGTGCCCTGTGAATTAACAACGGTTTAAGCCCTTTTCAAACTCTTCTTTTTCTATGAACCACACGACAAAAAGTTATGTTATTTTGCTCTTTAATTTTCTTCCCCATAATTAGGTGCTTTCATTCCTTTCCGACAAAAGAATTAAAAGAGCATTATATTTTTTGAAATTATGGTACTATATCACCAAAATATTAATTATTAACGAAATGTTATTATTATCACCAAAATATACATATATTTATATGCACTTGGCATTTGAAAATTGTTAAAGTTTTCTTAAATTATAATCGTATTCGTTAAACCATAATTTATATTTAAACCCTGACTTTTTTTTTAATAATCATAGCGACTTTAATTATTTTAACTCTTTGCATTTTATCGTTTCAATCATTGTAGCTACACCTTCATCATTTTCAGCAACATCTTCAGTTAATCTGTACATGTCTCATGTTTTTTGCCATTAGTTTTCATACGCCGTATTTTAAGCGACACAAACATCGCTTTATTTCTTTGTCTCTTTTACTATAATTAGCCGCTGGTTTTAAAATTTCTGAAAGAATTAGTGTTAATCTTTTTCGTTAACGACACTTGAAAGAACATGGCTTTATGGCTATAGTAAATTGAAGATTTCATTAGGTAAAAAAGAACCATTTTGTTATCCTTCTCTCGATTTTGGGTTTAGTATTAGATACGTTTACCTAAAAGAGAAGGGTAGTTTGTGAAGAAATAAAAAATGTATGGCAGCTTGATTGACTAATCTGGTGGTGTTTCGAAATTTTGAAGTCCTTATAGTTTTTCCAAGAGTCAAAGTATATTTTTGACCCGTACGTGAGACCTATAGATAATATTCCTTACGACAGAATCATTGTGTGAAAATAAAAACAACTGAAAAATATATATAGCAAAATCATTAATAAATCAATCCCTTAAACATCATAAATGTTAGCTAATGAATTCTATAGTTTGGTTCTGCCCAGTCCCCAATAATGGTATATATGTAAACCATAAGCTAAATTTAGAGTAAACTATTAACACTTCTGATTTGTAATTTTTTTATAATTCACCTCGGTAATAAATTCAACAGTTAAATTACATGACAAATGTTCTGAAAATTATTAGGATATTTCCTTTGAAATGGTAAAAAAAAAGTAGGCATATCAGTAAAATTATTGTAATTGGTGCATGCATGTATGATTTTGACTTTCTTAAGACTTTAGTCTTTAATTTAACATTTAAACCATAACCGAATGAACAAGAAATATTACATGGATGAATGTAACAGATGATTGATACGTAGAAAATGAAGATCACGCTTAATCAAAGACATCAAACTCTGCTTTTTTGACTTACTAACCAGTGTGACTTGACGTATTCACGTTGATTAGGTCGAATATAAAACATAAGATAAAATTATATATTAATTCGACGATCATAGTGGGGATATGTTTGTTGTTTTAAAGTTGGTCTCTTTATACCAAAGTTCTTTACGCCATGGTTATGGAAAATTTAACTATGCTTATAAAGTGATCTTACGATTAAAAAATTAAATGTCTAGAACGTAAAAGGTGAAAAGAAGTTACATGCATGGAGTATAAAAGATAAAACCTTATAGTATCATTTAAAAAAAAGTTGAAATGTGTTCGTATATGGTAAGGTGCTTTTTTGAAAAGAGAAAATCAGATTCACCATAAGGAAAACAAGATTCCACGATTGATAATCAAGCAACCCATGAAAAGTTATCTTTTGGAATTTTGTTGAAGAATTTATTCACTTTTTTTTTTTGTAGTTTTAATCTTTATATAAATAGTTTACTACTAATATAAAATTTCAGACTGAATGACTATATATACCATTAATAAATTGTATATATACTTAATATACTGTATAGTCTATTAATATTTACTAAAAAGCCCAACTAATTTAAACACAGTTGTAATAAAATTTGAGGAAGCCGATGGTTGCGATTTCATGCGCTATTAGTATATGTAATCTCATTGTTCTTTTTTAGATAAAACATATAACCACCAATTTTAAAAAGATATTTTGATTTTTTTTTTTAATAATCCAAATTAGTTTACATAATTTCATAATGCCTATAATACAAACTAAGCTACATTTTCGGTTCTGTCGTTTTTGTGAGGGAATGATTGATATTGAAGCAACTTTCATTTAAAAAATAAAAATAATTAATGGTTCTCTTTAAGATTCACACCTATCGTTCTGTCTTCTAGTCAAAGAAAAAAAACACTACTATAAAATAAAATAAGCGAGAGAGAGAGCAAAAAAGAACAAATGCAAAATTGTACAATTTATTCCTTACTAAAACTTATTATAGCCCCCTCCTTATATTTTTGTCCAATTTATTTCGACATCGACATTTCTAGCTAGCCCTTATGATCATCATCAGTATGATAGAAATGAAAAAAAAACTCATCACTGTGATTTATTTGTTCCCTCGTGGCTTGTGGTGATAGTTACGAACACCGAGTCTCACGAGACTTCCATGTGAGCTATAGTGGCTATGGATATGGTCAACTCGACCATTTACTAAATTTGAGACCAAAGACAAAGATAGATGAGTTCTTCAAAGTCTCCTCAAGACTAAAAACAGTAAAACCCTAATGATTTTCTTAAACCCTTTTGGTAGTTTGGACTTTTTTAGAGAATACAGAATTTTAAAGTCTCTTTCTATATTTTTAGCAAAAAAGTCTCTTTGTAATTTTCTCTAAGATAAATTGTTTTCAAAAAAAGTACTGCAAAATCAGAATATGTACTGCATCCATATCTCATATCTACGCGAAGAATTCGAATAAGCATTGTTTATGGCTCTCTTTCAAACGTTGTCACATTATACACAACAAATATATGAAAATACCGCATTACAAAAGTTAAATATTTTTAACAAGAATTGACCATGTATAAAACTCTATATATGAATCTTTTACAATGTGTGATTGATGTACATGTACGGGCCAAATTGTCTTTGAAGTTTCATAGGAAATTAGTACTTTGATTATGTCGAATATAATTATCTATATTGCTAGTGATAATTTAGTGTTGTTACATCAAATATTCTAATTTAGTAAAGAAAACAACATGTGTGTACGATATATATTGATCATGTTTTTGAAAGAAAAAAAAAGCAATGAGATGCCTTCAAAGCAAATCTTCTAGTCATTATAATAATATTATCTAATAACAATCTTGATCAAACAATGTATGTATTTATCATTTACAGCCAAAAGTAAAAGAATTTGTACTTTGATATAGACTCCATACAAATTGTAGAAAGAGAGGATATAGAATATAAATGTTCCAATTTATTTGGTGGAGGACCAAATGTGGACCAAAAAAAACAACTTAGCCAATCGCATCTTAAGGCAATCCAGAAGAAACTACATGGCCATGCATGCAACTACTATAATGTCTCAAATTCATTTGGTCCAATTTATCTTCAATTCCTTTAAAACTAGATATACACAATGATGAACTCGGGAATTCACTCCATAAATTAATAATATTAACAACATGATATTTTATTAATTTATAGAATTATCGATTTATCGAAAATCACTTTGAAACCTGTTGATTTACCGAGGTTTTAATTTATGGAGATTATATTGTATATCGAATTCTATATAATGTGGCATGACCATAAGAATAGTTGTTCATTTAGTTAACAATGTGTGAACTTTTTAAAACCTTGGTGTAAGTATAGACTTATAGTTAACACTCTAAAAAGACCTTTCTTTACAATCATTTCGACCATATTGCCTAGTCGAATGCAAAGGTGATTCTTACGTGATTCTTCTCTTATATGGGAAATCAAAAATTTATGGTGTTATACTTATAAACAAATCACTGCTGATTAGTCAGTGTCAACAAGCATAGAGGTCATAAGGTAAACAAAATTTGATGATATGTTAGTGTATAGATCAAAATTCCTTTTAAGTGGTTGATAAGAGAGACTATAAATTTTAAATCTCCGAGTCATCATTCCAATATAAGTGTTCTTAAGATTAGTTGCTCTCTTTCATGTCCTAATCTTCGTCTATAAGATTCAAATCCAAACTATGCACTGAACGTTTTAGTCACATCACTTACAAATATGTTCATTTCTCCATTGAACAAGTTTTTAACCAAAACTTACAGAAAAATGTTAAGGATTTACAATCATATACTATAATTCCTACATATTATTTAGTATACAATGAAAAAAAAACATCTAGACCAAAACTACAATGGTTAATTCATCAATTGTTAATCATTAACGACTACAATATATTGAGTTACCACATATACTTGGCTAACTTCAACCATAATATGTATGTCGTAATATCGTCGATGTGTTCATGTTCAAACTCGCATTTGCATATTACATGCTATTGATATATATATATATATATATGCAGTTTTGTGCTTCTTATAGTTTATAAATTACACATTTTCATAACTTGGTATATATAACCTTCAGTTTTACCCTTTTTTGTTCTATGTTTTCATTTTTTCAATAAATACAAGTATATGAACACCATTGGGCTAAAGTAAATCCTCTTAAATGGGCTAGATAAAGCCCATCAACTGCCATTATACAACTACGATCATTCGATCAAGTAGGGCTAATTTAATTTCTTCTTTTATTCGATCTATGTATTATTTCCTCCATGTTTTGCTATGAATTCCTTTTAAAGGGCTAATAAAAAGCCTCTTAAAGAGGTTACTATGTCAAAGCCCATCAAGCTACCTCGGACTCGAACCAGGTGGAAACTTAATACGATGGCGTTTCAGATTAAATGACGAAATTAACCCTTTGACCGTTCAAGGAAAAAGTCTTTGGGAACATTATAAAATTGGAGAAGCGAGACGACGCGTCGGCTGAGAGGTAAGAGGAAGAGACCAGACTCCAAAAAAGACGCAATAGAGAAGAAGAAGAGCGTCAGGTTTCTTCTCTCTTCTCCGGCGAGTCTTATGTCTTCTCTTCCTCTTCGCTCCGACGGAAACATGGAATCCCCTTCCATCTCCGCCGCCGTTCCACTCCAGGCACCAGAAGACCCCACTCCGGTTGTTTCTCAACCGCAATCGTCGCAATCGCCGACACGTGAAGTTGATTCGTTACCAGTTACTGGATCTTCCGATGATGTTGCTGCATCGGAGATACCTTCTTTATCTCCGTCGGATGATGATTTCGACGCCGAGGATCGCGATCAGGATCACGGCGACAACCCGGTTGAGACCGACGTTGCTGTTGTTGTTCCAATTGATGAGTTGAAGCAGAAGATCATTAGACAGGCAAGTGATTTTGTTTAGCAGCATTGATTGAAAAATTTTGAAAACCTTAAGAGCATGATTAAGGTTTGGGTTTATTGCTATGTTCGTTTGTGAGGTTAATTGCTGAACTTAGCGTTGTTCGATTTGTTGCAGGTTGAGTACTACTTTAGTGACGAGAATTTGCCTACTGACAAGTTTCTTCTGAATGCTATGAAGAGAAACAAAAAAGGCTTTGGTGAGTATATTTCTATTTCACTTGGAAATAGGCGTTAGACCCTTGATTTTGTGCTAGTTTCTGAGGCCAACATTGAGGAATTGCTATTATAGTTATGAACTTTCTGATATTTGAAAACTTGTGTCATTGATAGTATGAAACTTTGTGATCATTGCGTACTGAATATAGTAATTGCAACTGATACACGAAAGTGGGTGCTTTTCTGTACTAAACTTAATTTTGCAGAACCATGCTAAGTAGTATTTTAGTTGGCTAAAGTAATTTTTGCTGAGGTTAGCTTCATGATTATATAGTTATTGAACTGTTAAGAACAATTTCAATGGCTTTCTTTTCATTGTGCAGTTCCTATTTCTACCATTGCTACGTTTCATAAAATGAAGAAACTTACTCGAGACCATGGTGTGATAGCATCAGCCTTAAAGGAGTCATCATTTCTTGTAAGTCTTTAGTTACACCTTACAAGTGGTATGAATGGAAGTTATTGGAGTACTTATATACCATTAGAAAAGTAAAATCAAATACAGAGGTTGAATATCTGTTTGGTCAACCTGCAGGTTGTTAGCTCTGATGGGAAGAAGGTGAAGCGGCTGAGTCCTCTTCCTGAGATCAGGGATCCCAAGGTACCGATTGCCTCAAACGTGACTCTTATTTTTCAGTCTGACTACCGTGTTGCATTTTTGCTTCGTTAGTGGCTTATTCGTTCTGATTTGTGTTCCATAGATTTTCACTGTTTTGGTAGAAAATTTGCCTGAGGATCATTCAGATGAGAATATTCGGGAAATATTCGGTAAAGCTGGAAGGTATGCCATGTCTTTATCTATCTTTTTATCTAATCACCCCTTTTCTCCAATTATATCTATCCTTCATACTAATCAACATTTCTCTGCTATTACAGCATAAAAAGTATATCCATATGTGATCCGAATGCTGCTGAAGAATCAGAGAAGGGTTGTAAGAAGGAAAAATTTATCAGAACCAGGGTAAGAAACTTTGTGGAGAACTTAATTATTTGTAATCACAAGAACTATTTTTTTCTTTTTCACATAAGTAATTTGCTTCTTCTTCTTTTTGCTATAGTTACATGCCTTTGTGGAATATGAAACGGTAGAGGCAGCTGAAAATGCGGTGAGTGTTAAAAAAAACTTTGCCCCATTATATTTTCTCTTTTCTAAGGAATGGGTGTGGTTAGCAACTTTAACTATTGGGTGCAGGCAGCTACATTGAATAATGAGCAAGACTGGAGAAATGGCTTGCGAGTTAAGCTTCTTGAACAAGCAGTAAGTAATCTCTTGAAGAATCTATAAAACTTAAATACATATGGAAACAGATTATAACTTTTATTAATTGAGTAATTATTCATCATAGGGAAAGTTTGCACAGAGAAAACCAGCTAGGAGGGAAGTCGATAAAGAAAAAGATACTACTGGCCGAGTCCATGATCAAATTGGAGAAGAGAAGAACAAAAAGACACGTGAACATCAGTATCATCGTCACCATCATTCTGATAATCCTGCTGATGATGTAAGTTCCACCTTAATACTATTATCATTTGATCTCACCTTTGACAACTTATTGCAAAGCAAGATTTGGTATTAACACTATGAGGGGATGTGCCATTAAATCAGGACCTAAGACAGCTGACTATAATTATGTATCGTCCTTTTAACCATTTTCAGGAATGCGGCAATCATCACAAGGATAAAAATGGAAACAAAGGAAGAGGTGGAGGACAAGGAAGGCGACAGAATCATCAAGGCGGCAACGGTTTTGGTATTATTCTAAGAGAAAGTCCATTTCTTTCTACTTCCTATAAAAGGAGAGCAAAATTCAATTATAAAACCAACTTCTTTTGTATTATTTGCCACAGGATATGGAACAACCCCACCAGCGTCATCTTCCCATTATAATCATCATCCCATTGAGGTCTCAAAGCGTCCACCTGGCCCGAGAATGCCTGATGGGACAAGGGGGTTCACGATGGGTCGTGGGAAAGCGATTCCTCCTCCCACATCTGCTCAAACCAGTCATGAAGTTTGATCGGTTTCTCATCTGTGCTTATATGATTGTGTGGGTTTTGTTACACATTAAAAAAATGTGAAACATGTATGTAGTTATTAGAATTAAGATGTTGTTTTGTTGGATTTGGTTTTACGTTTGGCATATTTAAGTCCTCCAAATCTTCACTTTGGTAGTTAGTTGTGTTGTAAGTTTTGGTGAATGAAAAAAAATGATCCATTTGATAAACTTGCATTATTTTTTTGTTTCCTTTAATTTGCTAAATCTTGTTACTCAAACATGTAGAAAAGAGTAATCCAGTTGTCAGTAATACTAAAAAAGAGATGAGTACTACTTATGTTCAATTACTGCTTACCCGCATTCGCTTCGCGCTTCTCTCTGTCTCTACATTGTTGTTATCTCCAGACTCTTCCATGTGTTCACTCTCATTAACAAGTCCTTGAAGAGGTGTATACCGCATATTACCTTCTTCCGCTTCAGAAACATGTGGAAGAGTAGTACTCTTTGGATTACCAAGTGGCTTCTCCGGTGCTGAACAGTCTTCTAAGAGTCGTATACCCCATTCTTTTAACTCAAACGTAGATCTCCAACCTCCACTACCTATACGAATGCTCATATCGACGTGATCATAGTTCCGTTGAGCGCCTAGAGGAGCATTACCTTCGATTAGAGGGATACGACAGTCCAATACAATTAACAGTTGACTACCCTTCTGACTCTTTGTGAAAAGTGTATAGATATGGAAATCAGAGCCAACGCGAAAGCTCTCCCCTGATCTGTCTTTGAACTCACACTTCACCTCAATCTTTTTTCCATGTATAACATTAGTTACCACCACGCCAACCCTAAATCTGAAGAATGGTTGGGAGAGAGAGACGTCAAGCAGAGGAATGGTCAGAGAGGACCTTCCACTAATACGGTAAGTGAAATATGACGGCACTTCTTTATCTTCCCATGGGAATAACATGTAGTTGAAAATAACTGATTGTTGGTAAAGGACAGTTTCTGGAACCAACTTGAAGCAGTCTCTGAAATCTACTCTAGGAAGAGAAGAGGACACTGTGCCAACATTGTCTGCTTCCATCTCCACCACTCCACTTAAATCAACTGTGGTCAAGGCCTCACAATTTTTGAAGTCAGCTTTGTTAAGATGTTTGAGCTTAGAAATGTTTAGGGATACACGTTTTAGCATGGTGCAACCTCCCATTGTTAGCTCAATAAGGTTAGAGAATTTCTCAATCCACCAAGGAACCTCTTCAATCCCTGTTCTCTCTAGTTCGAGACCAGTGATGTTGGTTGAGATATCAGGAAAGCTCCTTAACTTAGAGCATCCATTGAAAGAAAGGTACTCGAGTGATTCGAGGTTGATTCCAGTAGGCAGAGTCTCAAGGTTTATGCAGTTTTTAATGTGCAGCAGCTCCAGTTGATTGAGATTCTGAAATGAGGAAGGAAGCTCTACCAAACTTGGGATATTCCTTAGATCCAAGGTCGTCAAAGTTGGAGACAGCATTGCTAGGAAGGGCGTCAGCGGCTAAACCAAATAAAACAATTTTTAAAGATGTTATACAAAATCACCAACATTATTACTTTTTTACTTTCACATAACTAGTACGTATTAATAATACGGTATTATGAAGTTTCAAGGAGAGAAAAAGAGATATCTTTTTAAGTAATCTCATCTTGCAATAGTTTTGAAGTAATTTGGAACTATCCCATTCACCTAATATGCTCTCTAGTGCAAATCTTGCTCCTAAAGCTAAATCAATTTTCACTAAGAAAATTTTTTTTAGTATATTCTTATATATTTACGTAAAAGAGTTACTAAATTTTCTTATATCATGCTAGCTATAATTAATTTTATATGCTAGCTATGATTAATTTTTATATGCCTTATAATTAATTTTAAATGCCTTACTATTCAATCATATTAATTTTCGAACTTTTAAATAGTAACCCCAATTTTTTTAATCTATGAATATTATATCATTTACTATATCCAAATCTAGTACTATATATAACACATGACATTTTCATAAAAAGTGACTTTTAAGTTAAGAGGTTAAAGAAAACGTAAAGTCTAGAACTATACATACCTTGACTCCATCCCATTGTTTCCCATCCTTCTCTTCTTTTGATATGCAAAAACAATCAAGATTCTCGAGATGTACATTAGAAGGGATTACTTCAATGTTTGTTCCCGCCAGACTAAGATTTGAGATGTTGGTTGAGATTTCGGGAAAAGTCCTCAACTTCGAGCAGTAATTGAAGCTGAGGAGGTCGAGAGATTTGAGGTTGAAGCCAGTTGGAAGAGTTTTCAAACTTTTGCAAAACTCCATATTCAATCTCAACAGTTTATCGAGATTTCGTATAGAGGAAGGAAGCTCCACCAAACTCTTGCAATTCCCAAGATTAAGTATCTCGAGATTAGTAGCCTTGGAAAGATTTGGAATTTCTTCTAAGTTGACTGATCCCTCCATATCTATTTCCTTTAGACATGTAAGTGGCTGTATGCAAACAACAATTAAACACATAGCTTAGTAGATATTACACATTCGCGTTATTGTTATATCCAAAACATAGAATAAGCATTTTGAACCGCAACTCATCGAATAATAACATAAGAAGGTAATCGAATAACTTACGAGTGCGGCGCCTTCCCACAACTTATATAGCTTGCTATTCGGCATTTTGAGCTTGACGAGGTGTTTAGGATGAAAATTAGAAGGCATACAACTCATTGGGAAATTGGACCAGGACAATAGTTTGAGCCTAGGGGGCAAATAGTCAAAACTTTCAGGCAAGTGCAATATGCCTTCTTTTAGAAAGTTTTTCGGATCAAATTTTAAGAAACGGAGATTAGGCATCCCTTTGAACGCTCTCTCATGTATAAGCAACTCATCAATCTTACTTGTATCCAAAGATATACCTAAAACCTTTTGAGTATCCTGAAAAAATATAATATTAATGAGACATGACAAAACCATACTGAGTTATGAGACCATAATTAAAAAGAACAAAGAAAAAAAAAAGAACTTACAATGCCTTCACTGAGTATATCACAAATCTCATTTGTATCCACCAAGAATTCTCGTTTTTCAGGCTCGTCAATGGACTGCGTGCGAACAATTTTTCTGCCCATTTCTTGTAGCAAACGGTGCATCTCCACATGACCCCATCTGATATGAATGATGGACTTATCAACCAGGTTTTGCAGTGCAACATCAACATCCATGAACTTATCTACGAGCAAAGACTTGATAGTTGTGACTTCCATATGATTGAAAAGACATGCGATATGACGAAATATCGGTTGATCATCTTCACTACCTAACCCATCATAGCTGATTCTTAGTATTTTCTCAAGTTTATCATCTAAACTCTTCTCAAGCCTTAGCAGCATGCCCATCCAGTAATCCGTATCCCTCCCTCTCAAATACGAACCCAAAACATTAAGACCCAAAGGAAGACTACCCGCATGTCTTGCAACTTGAACTACAAGCTTCTCAAAACCTTGAGGTGGAGATTTTTTCCTGAAAGCAGATTGACATAACATCGCGAGAGCTCGCTCTTCAGTTGGGAGATTAACTTCATATATATGATCAAGAGCCGTTAAGAAATGCTTATTATTTGTAACAACAATGATTCTGCTCCCAGTTCCAAACCATTGAGTTTGACCAGCCAAAGAATCTAAGATCACTTGGTCATCCACATCATCAATGATCATAAGAACTTTCTGGTGTTGAAGCCTCTCTCCTAATACACCTAGATGATCTATCTTTATGTCCTTCATCCTCAGAACTTCTGAGAGGAAACTCTCTTGTAAATGTAACTTCATGTTGTGGTCGTCCGGATTGGCTCTACTATACATTTTTTTACTCTTATACACAAAAGATCTGTCTATGAATTTGCTAACTTGGAAATTCCGAGAAAGTTGGTTAAACAGAGCTCTTGCGATAGTAGTCTTACCAATCCCCGAGGAACCCCATATACCAACCATCTTCACTTCCTTAGTTTCCAGTTTCAACAATTCACTCATATTAGCAATATGTTCCTCGATGCCCTCAAAGTCCTCAAAATCCTTTGATGAAGTTAGTAGCAGTTTACGCAAAACATCATTTGCTATTTCTTCAATCATTTTTGCTTCGTCATCCCTAATAAGATGAAAAAGATGATTTAACAAATATGAAATACCAATATGTATTTCAAGATGTATCATCTAATGAAAATAATATAAATAAAAAAAGTCATACCATCTTGCAGAATCAAATCCAAGCATGTTAGCTACATTAGTCAATGCTTTCTTCCATTGACTTTTCACTTCCTCTGTATGTCTCTTGCAAGTCTTCTCAAAGAAATCTCCAAATTTACCAATTTGGTACCTCACTTGGGAAGGATCCAAACGGTAGAAAACTGGTATGATTATCTTATCATTGCAGTTCACGATCTCAAGCAACTCGTTAAGACACCAACTTGAAGAAGCATATTTTTCAGAGAAAATGACCACCGCGATCCTCGAGTTCTTGATGGCTTGTAAAAGATCAGGCCAGAGAGAGTGGCTTCTCTCGATCTCATCGTCTCTGAAACAAGTGATCAGCTTACGGTTGAGCTCCTTGAGAAAGTGGCTACGGAAAGTAACGCGTACGTCTTCCCCTCTGAAGCTCAAGAAAGCATCATAAAGCCAGTTACTGCGAGAAGTAGATGAAGAAGAAGCCATAGATAAGACTTTGGAGATTGAGATTGTAAGAAGGAGATGAGAGAAGTAGTAAGGTACTTAACATAGAGTAGTGAACAGTTAATTTGACTTAATCGCAGCCGCACAATTATAAATGTTTTTTTTACGTATATGTATTATTTATTGAAGAAAACATATTGGGTTGCTTTCATTCCAAGTCTTCGCTTTAGTCAGTTTCACTATTGAAGTATGTTAAAAGAAACATTTTCACTATAATCAAGAAATTTAAGGATAGAGAATAACATTAGATGGTTGAAGACTTGAAGTATGCCATTCTTGCATTGTGCCTTGCTAAAACCGTAGGAATAAAGTTTTTGCGAACTGATGTTTTGGTTTCCAAGAGTTCTCTTTTACTACTACACTGTTTCAAGTTCTAATATTATAATGATGATGATGATGATGATGCAATCAATAAAGATTTCTTTATGATCAAATGATATGAACTTTGCCATCGCTGATCATCACTTTGTTATCATCTTGCAGTTTCTGCATAAAATCAACAATAGAATACTGAGTTATGAAGAAATTGTATACTAAGCAAAAGAATGAGAAAGCTTTTTTTTACTGATTGATTTACCTCTAGGAGAGCCATAATCTCATCTGCAGAGTAACGAGAAGCGCCAACTCCATTGTTGTTGACAACAGTCTCTATATCTGCAATAGAAATGTCGTCGAGCCTGTGTGTCCTCATGTGCTGCCCAAACACTCGTTCAAACACCTCAATCCTTGCTGCAGAGACTGTGCCACTGAATTGCTCTACTGAAGGTTCGTCCACTTCCATTGGATCTGCAGTTTCTCTAAATGGACCAGCAAAAAGAAAAAAGAAGAAAGTATTAGAAGATGAGAAAGCTGTGATACGAGTTTCCAAGGAGGAGATCAAATTAGTTACCTGTCGACATTCGCAGCATCATTCTCTGCTGCATCTTCAATATTACTGCGTTGATTGCCTCTACGGCCACTTGGTGTTCTTTCTTGTTCTCTTTGACGTTCTTCTTGCTCACGTTCATCCATCTCTGTTAATTCTTGATGGTATATAGCAAAGTTCATAAGCTTCAAGGCAGCCTCTGCATCGGGTTTAGTTACCTTTCAAAATAAAGTTATTTCGGTTTTAGTAACCTTTCAAAATAAAGTTATTACTTTAGAGTGAATTTGAGGAGAACATATTCACGACCAGGGAGGGATAAAAAAAAGATTTGAGTTAGTTTGATACCTCTCTGCGCAACTTCATTTTGGCATGAGCCGTAGCAAGACGGATTATTGTCTCTAGAGTTCTGGCAGTTATCGGAAGTGTACCTCCAGTCTGCAGAAATGTCGATGGTTGTGTCAAATACAAGTTCTCAAGACAAAAACAGAACACTCAGGGTCCAAGTTTATGTTGTGAAATGAATTACCTTAGTATCGGAACCTGCATTTCTGAGATCTGCATAAGCTTCTGCAATACGTTCCGATGCCTGCAAATTCAATAACAAAAGAGCGGTTTTAGTGGAAAAGATAATCAGATACATAAAATTTATATATTTGAGTTCAGTGTCTCACTTCATCAGTGAGCTTTGGCGTAATACGGTGCTTGGCATAATGAATGTACTTCTTCAAGAATTTAATGTTTAGGGTTTTCTCAAATTGGCCTTTTTTCTTCTTCCCATGTAGAGTTTGGTTAAATTTAACAAATATTTCTTTCTCACCATCCTCCTCGCTCGTGTTTGGCAAGCTCCCATCTGGCCCTGCCTCACCTATGATCACTCAAAAGTCATAATATGTATCAATACGTGGGTTGTGAAATGTTTAGTAAACCATAGAAGCATATTTTGTAGGCTACCTCTATCAGTTTTGTAACGATGCATGCGCAAGACATGTTCTGATATCAGGCGGTCGACACCAGCATCCATTTGATCCAACACAATAAACAGTAGATCAAAACGAGAAAGCAGCGAGTCTGGAAGCCCAATGTTCTTTGTTGGTGTCAGTGATCTGTCATACTGCAGGAGCAAGAGTAGGATATTAGAACAAGGGATACTAGTCAGTAGGGTCAGCAGATTAGGACAAGTTCTGTGTGAACTTACAGTTCCATATATGGGATTTGCAGCAGCAACCACACTGCATCTAGCATTCAGTGATGCATGGATACCCGCTTTTGCAATGGTTACAGTTTGTTGCTCCATCACTTCATGTATAGCAACTCGGTCCTGATCGTTCATCTTATCAAACTCATCAATGCACACAATACCTTTATCAGCGAGGACCATTGCACCAGCTTCTAGTCTTCGCTCCCCTGATGAAAATGAGAAGTTGATGTCTATGAGAAATAGCACTATGACCTTTAACAAATATTGATTTCAGCATTTGAAAAAAAAATGTCAAAATGAATTTGTGTGCTTTTTACCTGTTTCTTGGTCAGAAGTCACAGCAGCAGTTAACCCAACACCGGAAGAACCACGACCTGTTGTTGATATAGCCAATGGTGCAATATTCATTATCGCTCTCAGAAGTTGAGATTTAGCAACAGATGGATCACCCACCATCATCATGTTGATGTCTCTGAAAGCACAAACAAAAAATGTAAGTGAAGAAAAAAAAAATCAGTTAGACAAAAAGTATTAAATGAATGGAAGCTGAAATCTGATTTCAAGAAAGACTTACCCTCTCAAGTGGGTTCCATTCTTGAGGTTCTTTTCAACACCGCCAAGCATCAGTAAAACTACTGCTTTCTTTATCCAAGTGTGTCCGTAAATAGAAGGTGCTAAGGAACGAGCCAGGAGATCAAATACATCATCTCTGGCTGCAATCTTTTTAATGTACCGTAGGTCTCGCGGTTCGTATACAGGTGCATTTGCTTCTTTGTTGAGCAGAGCGATATTATTGGCTATGAGGATAGTTCTACACAAAAGGAGCTTGGTCAACGTTATCAAGGTGAAAATAACACTTTGAACTTAGGGATGTGTGAGAAAACCCACCTAAAGACTCCATTTACACTACCCTTGCTTTTCCCTGGAAGAGCTTTGTAAATGCCGAAAATAGCCACTCGATCTCCTGGCTTGCATGAGTCAACAAGGTCATCCTCAGCTATGACATCCACGCTTCGTGGAAGCTGACCTGGAGCAGCATTTTCAGGCACTTCTTGAATTGACAAGGTCTGATGATCTTTATATTTGCACAGCCCATATTCAGTCACCAATAAGTTGCCCTTATCATCCTGAAAACACAAACTCTTTATTCAGTAACAGGCAAATGTTCCAGACATGAAGGTAGATTAACAAAAACAAGAAAAGAAACATGTAATTACCCTTGTGGGATAGACAGACCCAGTGGGTAAACCCGCATGAGATGTTATGTCTCGATAATCTCGATTGGTAAATTCACCAGTTGATGGACAAAAGTGTACGCTTTTAACAACCTTAGGCCTCACAAGAGAGCCTGAAGAGATATACATGTGTCAAACTTGAAGATAAACACGAAAACAGCATGAAGTAGGCAGAAGAAAAGAATAAAATGCTTACATTTGGTGACAATGCCCTCGACACAGACTAAAGATCCGATAAACTCAGAGAGAAGGTCTCTAGGAGTGACAACACGAGAGACGAAAACACCGTCAAATCCAACAAGGACTTGCTCTCCTTCCTTCAAGAATTTAGGGTCAATACTTCGGGTAGCTTCAGTAGCTGCCTCACAAAATGACTGCATGTACTCATTTGGATTCCTCAGTATCCTATCCCAAACAAAAACCAATAAACTTAAATTCTGACTCTGATGCTTAAACAAAACTCCAGTTCATCATCCATTCTTCATAAGACTATAATATCTAAAAAAGCACAAACCTTTAAAATCCCCAAATTCACAAAACCCTAAAACATCCAATAAATTGACAAACTAATTCGAAAATTCATAACCTTTCTACAAAAAAAACCGATTAAAAACTACGCAAATTCAGGAAGATGAAGAACCTAGAGGAAGATTCGCGGAAGTGACTATGAATGTCGGAGATATCAACAATGAGACGGTGGTGATTCTGATGTATCAACGCCTTGATTTCTTCGATGTACATCTACACAATTCATCAATTCCCAATTACATCTAGAAAAGAACAGAAAGCTCGAGATATGTCTGGTGAGAGAACAGGAAGTGATAGAGAAATCGACTTACGCTTTCGAGGAACTGGATAAAATCTCGCTTGTGGCGAAGCCTCGTCTCCTCTGGTACATCCATTTCTTAACAAAATCTGGGTTCTTCGTAAAACCTTCTTCTCCTTCGTCTTCTTCTTAAGAAAAAATAAAACCTGATTTAGTGAGTTTCGATTTCGAGAGTCATAAAGGTAGAGTCTTGTTATGGCGGGATACTGCGAGATGACCTGTTCCCTTTTTGGCGGGAAGAGTGTGTTACTTTGGGCCGCTATTTATTGGGCTTTTGGTCTTTCAAATTTGGGCTTTCCTCGACGCGCTTATGATATTTCCTCGAGGCGATAACACCAAACCAAAGTGTACCAAATCTATTCATCAACTAGATTCGGTTTACTTTTGCTACTGTCTTCTTTTCTCAGACCAGTAAACCGGAATATATAAAACATTGTAAGAAAACCAAACTAAACCGTCGTGGTTTGGTGATATTTACAAATGTAACCCATCATCGTCTGTAAAATTCTAACTTTTCTCAATGAATTTAATTTCTTTGAACATAAACACTCAGACAAGTATTGTTGAGAATCCCCTAATTGGATTATTCTGACACTAACACCATTGCTACAAGATTCTCAGTTTTTTTTTTTATAAATTACTCAAATATGGAACGAACTAAGATACAAACATTCCGCGGGACAAGAGAGAACAAGCAAAATCTGAAATCTCAGCAACAATAAGGAAACGGGGAATGAAAAATACGATTCGGAAATGGCCAGAGGAAGAGCTCGAACTTGTGAGCCAAGCATCTGAAAGTGGTGGTGATGGATGATGATGGGGCAGAGAATCTAAAAGGTATGAAGAATCAGGGTTTGAAGGCAGAGAAGGCGACGACTGAGTTGTGTCCACCGAACCCGAACGAGTTTGATATGGCTGCAACCAAAACAGAAAGATATGATTACTAAGAGAAACCATTGTGAGTTTTTAATCCAATGAGAAGGTGGTCATGTCGTCACTTACCAACATCAACTTCGTGTTGCTTCTTCTCGTTTGGGACCGTGTCAAAGTCCACAGCTTGTTCTGGGTTCTACAGTAAGAAACGGAGTGTAAGAGTCAAAAACAAATCCCAAGTTCAAATCTTGCTAACAGTTCAAACTGAAAGCGGAATCAACGAAGCCTTTTCTTGAATTCTTGTTATATTATCATGTTGAACTTGTAAATGATCTTATTTTAGAAAAGGCTGATTATACATACAAATTGGTTGATGGAAGGATGCAGCCATCCAGTGTTGATAGCCTTCACGGTGGCAATGGCTTCTAGACCTCCAGCTGCACCGAGGCAGTGACCTATCATTGACTGTAGCAAAAACTGTTAACTACAGGAAATGCAAAGTAAACAAATACACAAAATCGAGGAGAAAAAGAACACTCAATCGCGGTAGCATTGGGGACGAACCTTGGTGGCGTTGATTTTGATCCCTGAAGTGCTCTTGAATACCTTTTTAATGGCATTGATCTCAGCAAGATCACCAGCAAGAGTGGAAGTTGCATGGGCGTTAATGTAATTTACCTGAAAAACGTGGAATGAATATAGGTAGGGAAGTAACAGGAATTTAGTGGAAACCCTTTGTTGCAGATAGCCATAAAACTTCGGAAGTTTGAATAGTTTGTGCTTTTTACCTCCTCAGGTGATACACCAGCATCTTCAAGGCATCTCTCAATGCATGAAGAGACACCAAGTCCATCAGCTCTTGGATCAGTCATATGGTGAGCATCACAATTAACAGCACCTCCAAGATATTCGGCTACAATAGGAGCACCACGATTCATTGCGTGTTCCAAGCTTTCCATCACCTATTAAAGCATACAACAATAGTATCATTGGGTCTTTCCAAACAGTTTGTCACATGTATGAAACACACCAACTTTGTAGAGTTGTAAAATTCAAGTGCAATGATACTTCTCCAGCTAATCGACTACCGGAAAGAAAGTTTCATCATTTAGAAGTAGGAACCATTTGGCAACATAACAGAGCATCAAATCCTTTAGGCCAACACAGGCTTGTATATACAAACACCCATACACACAGAGCCAGCCAACTGTATGCAAAATCCATAATTTCAAAAGTAAGAGTAGGAACTTCAGAAACATACCAGAACACCAGCTCCTTCACCCATAACAAAGCCATCTCTTGCTTTATCCCATGGCCTTGAAGCAGTTTGAGGGTCATCATTTCTCTGTGACAATGCCCTACAAGCAACAAAACCTCCCAACCCAATAGGAATAATAGCAGCCTCGGTTCCACCAGCAATCATCATATCAGCTTCACCACGACGAATGTGGTTCGCAGCAGCGTAAAAGCAGTAGTTAGAAGTAGCACAAGCAGTTGAGATCGAGTAGTTTGGACCCATAAGACCAAGATCAATCGCCAACAAAGCAGAACCCATGTTTGTTATAGCATAAGGTATAAAAAATGGACTAATCCTCCTGTGACCCTTCTCAATCAGATTCTGAACACCTTCTGAAAACACAGTTAAACCTCCCATACCAGTCCCAACTAGTACTCCAGCTTTCCTCTTATCAATCTGCAAAATACCACAAACCCGTGACGTAAACAACAAAGAGATGGGCATATCTAGTGAACAGCTTAGAGAAAAAACAAGGCAATGGAGATCTCAAACTCATAATTGGAGTTGAAAGAACTAAACTTTCAAGAAAATGCTCAATCTTATCTGAAATTTTAACTCTTTTATGCGCCTAATTTGATCGAAATTCGTCAATTCCACTCCAAATCTAACTTCAAATTGATCGAAAAATTGAAACTTTAATGATTACCGTGTTAAGCTTATCACCACCAAGATTAGCACTTTCAAGAGCTTTCTTGCCAGCAACAATGCAATACTTCAAACAATCATCAAGCCTACGCTCATTCTTGCCATCAATATAACCTTCAGAGCTAAACCCACGGATCTGACCACCAAATCGAGTGGGGAACTTGGACGCATCGAAACGGTCAATCAAACTGATCCCACTCTCACCAGAGAGCAATTTCTCGTAGTAAGCATCAACATCGTTGCCAAAAACAGAGACGAGACCCATACCAGTAATCACGACTCGTTTCTTCGGATCTGTCTCGCGTTTGGGAGCGGAAACAGTGGATGCTGATGCGGAGATGAATGAGCGTTGTCTTCTAACGGGTCTCGCATTGGCAATCTGATGTGATTGTCGATTCGAAGGTAAGCGAAGTGGGTTCGGCGGAGAAGCACGGAGGGATGAAGATTGAAGAGCTTGCATGGTGGATCCAGAGAGAGAGAGAGAGAGAGAGAGAGAGAGAGAGAGAGAGAGAGAGAGGGAGAGAGAATGAGAGAGGCGATAAGTACGATGTTGTGAAAATGGTGTGTGATGTGTGTTTTGCGAAAGCGCTTCAGCTCGTCAGATTTCAGGACACTCTTATAAAAAAGGAAAATACACAAAACACAGAAATATTTTACAAGTAAAAACATTTTGAGACAAAAATAATATATATTTAGTTTTTAAGTCCCTGAATGTTTACAGATATTTCACTTTTAGCTTACAGTTTTACTAATATACAATTTGGTCCTCTAAATAGTAGTAGGGATTGGGTATACCCAATTTTTCGTTTTGTATTCATCTATGGAAAAGAAAAATTGTAATTGTGCAGCTTCCGAGTTGGATAAATGGTATTACAATTTTAGTAATAACCGATTTGAATCGAAATTTGAATCATATTTGATTATGTGGGATTTGATCGGATTTTACTATATGACCGAAACCGCTTCAAACTGGATTTTTGGATTCCAATTTTAGATCTAAAATTTATAGTCATTTTAATACTTGATATGCTAGCATATAAAACTTAATTACGTTGCACTTAGATTCGGCATCAATTCAGCTCGTGTGTTTTTTTATACTAAATTATTGTCTAATTTTTTTAATATTCAACGTAAATTTAACTTAATATAAAACCACTTAAAAACTAAATAATATATATTACAATTTAGTTTCAAATTTAGTTTTTATATATAAAAAAAAAAAAAAAAAAAAAAAACAGGAACTCTCGTGCTCGATATAAAAGAAGGCAAGCCACTTGCCAAAAAGGTTCTTCCCTCAAACTTATCTAAATGCTTACAAGTGTTCGTTCACTTTTAGCCTCGTAGTTATATACTTCCCCTACCCAAGATGCAGTAGCTAGACTCCGTCAAATTTGAGCATGAACTTTTCAAGAAAATAATTGTCATCTTTCGATTCAAGGAAAATGTTATTTCTTGTAAAGTTGAGAAAACATCTAACACAAACAAACCTAAAACGGTAACAAGTGACCAGAGATTTAGGGATGATTACTCGAAAATTGAATTAAATGGGGGGGAATAGGTAAGGTGGGTGAGCCAGTATTCACGTGGGGACATTGAACATGAATAGCCAAGACAAAACAAATGAAAGTTGCAAGTAGAAGAGCTGGTATAAGTTGTTCACCACCCAAGTTCTATATATTCTTCTTTACCAAAAATCTAACACTTGCTATAAAGTCTATATCGTTTCATCATTCAATGTTACTTGTTTCAATGATTATGTACAATTGTCACTATCCACACACATAAATAGGTTTACGTACGATTCCAATATGTTGCTTCAAACGTAACTTTTGACATAGAGTTTTTATTTTTTATTTTACATGTGATATATAGTTTGTTTCGGTCTGAAATCAAAATTTCAGTATATAATTTATTTTTTTCTTATTAAGATTATTTTATAATTCGGTTCTGATTCGAATTCGAGAATTTTGTTTGAAAGTGAAAACGGCCATAGAGATTAGAGATTAAGGACTCTTCGCGGATTTTCGGAAATTTTGAACGAATTGACTAATTATTTCGCAACTAATTTTTTGTTAGTTGTCAACATTTGTATATCATACAAGAAAAAGATTGACAAAATAATAGGTTTGTTATGTTTGATGAAGAAGAAACAAAGACTAGTCGTCCGTGTGATGTACTCCCCAATTATATAAGCCTACTAATTGTTCGTTTCGTCAATGTCTACCATTTGGAAACCTTTAAAAAACATGTCATATGTTCTAACACCATAATATTTTCTATTCATTTGGCCGATGGATGCATATTGGCGATTGACAAACAACATCTTTGTTTATAACATTTTGATGAACAAACATGTCTTTAACATGTTTTTACTTTTACGTTTGATAAAAAAAAACTATATAGGGATGATCATATCACTTGTGAGATTTATCTTAAGAATTTGGGCATAGTGTGTATATATATAGGAGACGAACAAAAAAAGAATAAGTGATCGAGAAGAGATATACATATTTAGACGTTCTAGAGACTTGTAAACACTATATTGGCTTTGTTGACCAATTCAACAACATTCGTTTGTTAGTAATTCAATACTGCGTTACAGTGCTGGCAAATAAGACTTTGACTTTATGGCTTATATATCTATGGACATATGACTATTGATAATTTAAAGATTCTATTTAGTTGGAATCATCACCCACATGATTAGTGTAACGTACAAATTACCATCTATATAGTTAGTTTGAAACTTTAATATTAAATTCGATTTTGGAAAATCTAGATGTAAGTTCTTATAATATTAAAAATTTATGAACTTTAATCTTTTTATTTCCCCTAAGTAAGCTTTTTCAATTTGAAGTTTATCATCAAAAGTACGAAAATTCCTTTTTAATGGCTAGATCGTTGAGTTTACTAAGACTAGCTAACTTATTATAATTTAAAATTTTAGTTTGGATTTTTTTTTTGTCTTCTATATTTTAGTTTATAAATAGTGAAGACAAACTAAAATTTATAAACTAAAATATAGAAGATAAAAAAAAAAAGGATTAGTTTGTCTTCACTACAAATTTGGTAAAAAAATAAATAGTTCACTTCAAATTTGTATTCACTTCTTTTTTTTTCAATATTTCACTTCACTTCAACGCTTCAAATCAGATAGATAGATTTTTAGTAAAACACATTTGTAACTCTCATCACGTTTAAAGAAATATCTAGCAAACTTATATCTTCTCTAAATATAAGATTTAATAGCAAAATTCACAAACTCTAAGAAATTATCAATTGACAACATTATGATATATACAGAGAAAAAAACATAGTAATTGATAGAAAAGGCCCTTTGGAAAATAACCAAAAAAAAGCCCAAAAAGTAAATTAACGAGTCATACCCTCACGTGAAAAACACGTGTTAGTTTTCTTCTTTCTTCTGAAACGGTGAAACCTAATTATCAAGTTTCTTCATCCTCGTTGACACCAAGATGATGATAAAAATTTACAACTTTGAGTCATTAATTACACTTAACAGAATCTAAAAAACTCAGAAACTCAGAAAAATAAGAAATTTTTCATATATTGAATCAAATAAAAAAACAAAATCAAAATTTACATTAAAAACTACAACAACAACAACAAAAACAGAGTTCATCACCCAAAATTAAAAGAATCAAAAAACTAAACTTTTTTGTTTAGAATCTACAACCGCAACAGAGAAAAAAGAAAGCAAGCTTAGATACCAAAAACATAGCTTCAATGATAGACATGATTCTATATCTCAAATTTTCCAAAAACGACATCTTCTTGAAACTCAATCTCTTCCATTTTATCCCTCCAAGTCCTAAAAACTTCAACCTCGTCCTCTCTTTCGTCGTCTTCCATATCGAAAACTTCTTCCCTTTCATCCCCATCATTTTCATTATATTATTTGAGTTGAGCTCTTGCTGCTACTGCTCCCCAATACCCAATTGGAAAAAAGAAGAATTAGGGTTTATGTATTTTGTTTTGTTTATGGTTATGGTTATGATCAGAGTGTGTTCTTTTTATACGATGTAGAATAAAGGGCAGTTTGGTAATTTTTAAGTCAATAGATTCGAAGCGCGTTTTAAAAATTGATCAACGTAGGTGTTCTGACGTGGGTTGAAGCTCTGTTTTGTCCTAAGCATTTTCGAGGATTTTTCCATTTTTTAATATAATTTTCATATCTTCACTAAAAATAATATATATACACAGTTGTTTTTCTAGAGAATATGTTATTTTTAATCTCAAATTGATTTATAGATAAGTTTATTCATATACTTTGTTGGCGTGAGATTTTTTTTTTTTATTTATCTGGAAAAAAACGACAGATTGTTTATTATTTCAGCTAATGCCTAATTGTTTTTTTCCAAATATATACTTTTACCAAGTTTTTATTTTTCTGATAAACTTTTTGTAATAAATTAAGATAATATTAGAACAATTGAAGCCCACTAAGGAATGTGTAAGGCCCACTACAGTTAATGAAACAAACACTTGAGACACCTACCAATGAAATGAGTAGAATTAGAAATCAAGAAGATGTCCTTCGAGCCAAATCCAAAACCCGCACAGTACTCTAATTTGGTGCTAGTTTATAAAATGTCCAAGTAACTTCGTATTTTTTTTATACTTCTCAACAGCATTTACTAATTAAGAGTGTTTAAAGAACTTGTGCAAGAGTTTCCTAATTAATACATTTGTGGTATCACTATTGATAAAAGTTAAAAAGAGGAGATGAAAATAAAAACAAAATGACTTTTGACGTAAAAACAAACGTCGGGATGAGTAAGATGACATATAACTTAATGCTTTTGTGACTTACTTGACACAATACACTAATTTGTGCATCTATAGATGGAAAAAGGAAGAAGAAAGTATACATAATGACTCTTTTGATTTTTGTCCTACTACACATCACAACAAAGTTAAGAGAAAATAATGAGAATTAGTATATTTGATAAATTATCATATATTTATGATCAAATACGAAACCATCTTTTGTAAGTATTAATCAATATATTTTACCAAGTTCTTAGAACACGATATATACATTTAGTCGTCTTTTCAAAATATTTGACAAATGTATATATTTTTATCTACTAAAACATAAAACAATAGTCTGGAGGAGACTTTTTCATTGCTCATGTTACGAGTAAGTTATGTTATTGGTTGATTTACAATTTTTTACTATCTATCTATCACACATTATGTTTTAAATTAATTAATTTGTTGAAACTAGTTACTTAGGAGATGACATGCATGCATACGTACGTTATAACAAATTAACATCTACTTATATAAGAATGGGAGTATGACATATTTAGATTTATATATATGACCTATCTTAAATTATGTTATAGTACACGTACGAAGTCGAGAGCAGGAAGATCGATAAAAAAAAAACACAAGTTTTGTTCTAAAGTGATTTACTTTTGTTTTATCTTTACTACGTATCGAGTCAAGCTTAATTAAGAGTTCTGTCACGGTAACGCATTAAAGTTTAGTAAGTCACTACTACTGCCTAGATATATATTATGTTAGTCGTCATTTATTATTTCAGTATTTTTCAATTCTTTATGATTTTTTTTAATCTTAAAAATTATCAAACAAAACAAAATTAACACTCTTCTTCATTTCAACAGAGAGAATTTTGTCCTTTCTCTAAAGGTTGGCGAATATATACATCCATAACTTTGGCACTTAGAAGGTGGACTTTGAATTCAGCTCGTTGAAAAAAATTAGCAAACACATTATACTATGGACTATGGTAAACTCGACTTTCTTAATCGGGACATTTGTGGTATTACTAATTGCAGAGACAAAGATGAAGAAAAGGTAAAATCAAAAGACCTTTGTGGATAACAACACATCAACACAAAAAGACATAGATAACTTATGCGTTTGGGTTACACTATAATTTTTTTTTTAAATGTCATAAATATTTTTAGATTTTGATTACAAATAATGCAACATAATCTCAACATAATTTCGTAAAATGTATTATATGTTTTGTTTTATATACATCAAAAACTTACATCATTTAACTACAATGTATCTTTACGTCAATCCACATGTAATTTCTGTTTAGATCATTTTTCACTTTAATATATGCATTATATATATATATATATAGATATATATATATATATATATATATATATATATAGATATATATATATATCTACTAGCTAGTTACATAAAGTAATTTAATTTATCTAATTAGATGAAATGAAATAATTTTTGTTTCTTATAATAAATCTTGAACAACTTGCAAAAGTACTGCGTGTGTGTTATATATAACCCACTTGCACACAACACAACTATAAATAGAGGAGAACTTTGCAGAAACCAAATTAAAAGAGAGAGACCTAGACATAACATTTTCCTTACAAAGATCTTGTCCTATTTGAGAGAGGAAATCAAGAAATGGATGGGAAATATGTACGCGGATTCGATGTTATGATGGAAGAAGAACAAAGAAATCAAGAGCTGAAGGTAAGTCTTTGTTTCAAAATATACATATTTTTCTTTCTTTTTTGTCTACAAAATATAAAGATTTTTAATTTCTTGTCTAGGATGTTGAGACGAGGATGAAAGAGTTTATTGGAGAAAAGACGCTTGCCCAACTAAAGTTGAGGGAATTGATTGCGTTGGAGAAAAAGCTTGAGACTCTACAGCCTAATGTAAGTAGCTCTCTCATATTAACAATCTTTCAAATTTAATTATCTTTGTATGTTTATAAAAATCTAATCATTATTTTTTTATTTTTGTATAATTTGGATTTTGTAGAGGATCGTGGGAAGGCCCCAAGATGTTAGGATTCTGAAAAATTATATAAACTATAGGCTTGGAGAAATGGAGACTAAGATTTACAACCCTAAAGACGAATTTGATGTTGTAATGGAAGCAAAAGAAGCTGGGCATATTAAGGGTTTAAAGATGAGGTTGAAAGTGTTCATTGATGAAGAGGAGTCTGAAAATATAAGCGATGAGAGATTGATCGAGTTCCGTATAAAGCTTGAAGCTCTTCAGCCTAAGGTTAGTAGAGTTTCAACACACTTTTTTTTTGTGTTTGGTCGTCTTGCAAATTGTTTTCTAACTTTTTTTTTCTTGTTTTCTTGTTTTTCTAGGAGAAGGTAGATGTTCGTTTGAAAGTCATGAAAGACGAAGTGAGAGACATAATCTTGATGAAAGAAATTGTGAAGATACTGATCGGGAAGAGGCCGGATCGTCGTTCCGGTTCCAGTAGTAGACCAAAGTTCATCAATAATTACTGTGTTTAGAAATTGGTATCATACAAATTCATATATATATAATCATGGATATCATATACGATCACCTAATTATCTCCTGTTTCTCCCTTCAAACTATTTATATAGAATAATTTGGGATGTTTTATTTTGTTATGTCAATGGAAGAAACTCATGTTGTTAATTACTTTCTATATTAATCGGATTCTTATAATTAATAAAATTATCTATTTTCTAAAATCTATTGCATAAATTTAGTCTAAATGAATTTATTGTAATGAAAGTTATAAAACCATATGAGATTTTGCCTAAAGGTTACAAATTATAAGACATGCATGGTAGTGTACATGTCTTTAAATGCGTTAAACGTGAGTAATTATGCATTTACAGAAAAGTTGATGATGCGTTTGTATATATCATTATCACACATCATAGTGCATTTTGTTTATGAAGTTCTTGTTTGAAAATTTGAGTCGCTAGTTTGTTCCAATGGATATAAAAAGAATAATATACGTACAAAAGAGTTTGGTAATAAAAATAAAGTGATTTACATCAAAAAGACAAATAGATTAGGTAATAATACATGGCATGCAAAGACTTTTGTCGAAGAACAACACCAACATGGAAATACATTATTTACTGTTTTTACGAATTTCACATACACATCTATAAATGGAAGAAAGGATCGGATAAACAAGAACAAAGAAAAAGAGCGAGGAGAAATTAGACATTGAATTATGAACTCAGTGGTCCATTTCTATTTCGTTTGTATACATTATGAATTTGTGACAATGAAAAAATACTTTATTTTTTTTATTTTTCACACAAGTGTATGTTTTGATTACAATTCTGATAGGCTATAGTTTTTTTAACTGTATAATACGCAACTCCATCAAAGTAAACAATTTTGTCCACATCAAATGCAGCCTCATGGGTTCAAACTCTAGAGAGTGATGATCTACACACTTGCAACACCAAAACGAACTAGTTAAAGTTGCACCATGCTGGTAAAGGTTGACCAAATAATGAGAGGTCAACCTTCTTTCAGTGCAACATGTTAGTGGTTTCTGTTAGAGTAAGTAGATAAACTCAACCCTTATATTGTTAACAACTTAACATGATTATGAAGTTTTAAAGGCAACTAGTTACTCTCGCAAAAGTTTTTGAAGTTTCTGATAGTTTTATCCATGTTTGTAGTATAAGAGTTCTCTAGCCGTTAGTTTCGTGCTTAATTCACATTACTGGCCAGTTACCGCAGCGGAGATATGATATGATGCACCGTTTTTTATTTTTCTAGCAATTGTAAAGTTTTAAGGCTTTGAGCTAATGCTGTTTTGTTTCTCTCTATTACACCACCTAGCGACGTCGTTTCCTCAATCACAAAGAGGCTTTTTATTTAAGTTTAATAATGTGAATGGCTCCAAAGAAGAGGCCTTTTAATAAACAAGCCAATTCAAAACTGATGAACGAAGTCAAAATAGTCCCACATCGGTTCAGTTGGAAAGAACAAGCTTTGTTTATATAATCTCCACAGTCGAAGTATTCATTGTCCCTTCGGGGGCATCTGATAAAATTGGAACGATACAGAGAAGATTAGCATGGCCCCTGCGCAAGGATGACACGCACAAATTGAGAAATGGTCCAATTTTTTTTTTGTTCTTGTTGCAGATTGCGGTTTGACATGTTCGGTTCGCATAAGTCAAAAGGGGAACTAAAGCAAAGACATTAACAGAGTCACATAACCTTAGGATGAAGCTTACCTTGATTTTGCAGCAAAGACGAGACTTTTGTGTTTACGCCTGCTTCTGAATGGTCTCTTGAGTCTTGAGGAGAAGAACGTATTATGAGTATTATGAGTATTTTACTCAGCTCATATTAGCTTTATACTTTAGCTTACATTAGCATAGTATATAATACACTTGTAATACTCATTTTACACTTTAAGGAGAATAAAACATATTTTTACGATTCAATCACTCTCTCGTCTCTCTCTTTAGCTCGTCTTCTTCATCATGAGTTTGTTAAACTGTGAATCTTGATATGGTATCAGAGCAACACCGATCCGATCATGAGCATCTTTTCGATTGATATCGTTCTCCTTCAAATCATCTCATTCTTTTTCGATTTTTTGTTGTTTCATCGTATTCGCGATTCTTCAATTTGTGTTCGTGAGTGATTTCTGAGATTTTTTCTTCTTTCTTTGACCTAATTGCTTTCGATTCTCTTTTATCTCTTTCAATTCGGAGCAATCTCTTTTTCAATGGCGACCATGCCTCGTCCTCCAGCAACGAATGGGCAAAATCAAAATCCAAATCGAACAACAGATCTTTATGCGAGTCCGTATTCTTTACTTAGCACGGATCATGCTGGATTACAAATTGTCACAGATCGGCTTGATACTGGAGCTGAATTTCATTCTTGGAAGCGTTCTGTTCGGATGGCGTTAAATGTGCGCAACAAATTATGATTTATCGATGGTACGGTTCTAAAACCCTCTTTAGATCATCCGGATTCGGATTCTTGGTCTAGATGCAATGATATAGTATCAACTTGGTTGATTGGTTCTGTTTCGAAGAAGATAGGCCAAAGTTTATTGTATATGCCTACTGCGGAAGCTATATGGAAGAATCTTATTTCCCGTTTCAAACAAGATGATGCACCTCGTGTGTATGAGATTGAGCAGCGTTTGGGAAGTATTCAACAAGGTTCAATGAGTGTTAGTGCTTACTATACCGAGCTTGTAACTCTGTGGGAAGAGTACAAGAATTACATTGAGCTACCAGTTTGTACATGTGGCCAATGTGAATGTAATGCTGCAGTTTTATGGGAACAATTACAACTTCGCAGTAGAGTAACCAAGTTCTTGATGGGTCTCAATGATAGTTATGAGCAGACTAGGCGTCATATTCTTATGCTCAAGCCAATTCCGAGTATTGAGGAAGCTTATCATCTAGTTGCTCAAGATGAACGACAGAAAATTGTCAAACCAAGTATCAGAACTGATAATGCTGCTTTTCAAGCTACAGAAGCTTTTGATGGTAATACATCTTATGTGACAGATCCATATGAGTATGTGGCAGCATATAATACATATCGACCAAGAAACAATCGACCTATGTGTACTCATTGTGGGAAGATGGGTCACACAATTCAGACTTGCTTCAAAGTTCATGGCTATCCACCTGGTTTTAAAGCACCAAATGCAGGGAATACAGGACAGTCTGGAAGTAGACCAATCTATGATCCTCGAGGTTCTATAACTGCTGGTACACGTCCACAGTACTCACAAGTCAGGCCAACAGGGAATTTTAATCCACATCAGAGAACTGTTGCGAATGTGTTTACTGAGACACCAACTTCTGTACAGCATCAGAGTTATATCTATCCTGGAACTTCATCTTCTACTTCTGTTCCTTATTATCCTCCTCCTGCCATGAATGCCATCAATTTGGATGTTAGTCAATTGACACCAGAGCAAGCTCAGGTTCTTATTAATCAACTCAATTCACATGCTCAGATTTCATCAGTTCCAGAGCCACCAGTTACTTCTAGTCAACCTTCCATCACTGAACAGGGTATCATGGCTGTTCAATCTTCATCTGGTAAAGTCTCTACTATCTCTACTAATCTTCGTTTTGAAAATCAAACACTTACATATCAACATCATTGCCTTTCATCTTTACAAAATGCATTGCCTAATGGTTCTTGGATAATTGATAGTGGTGCCACAAGTCATGTCTGTTGTGATTTGACAAAATTTAAAGAAACTTATTTAGTCTCAGGAATTACAGTGGCATTACCAAATGGTGTTAAACTTGATATTAGTCATACAGGAACTATTCATCTCTCTGATTCTTTGATCTTATATAATGTTTTGTATGTTCCAACTTTCCACTTCAATCTTATTAGTGTTAGTACTCTTTTGCGTGATAATCATTGCTCAGCTCACTTCTATCCTGATTCTTGTTTCTTGCAGGAGTCTTCTCAGGGATGGATGATTGGGAGTGGTGATCTTTTTCGCAATCTATACATTCTTAACACTCACTCTCTATCCACACCTGCTAAGCCTCCTGTCGTCACCAATCTGTGTGCTTCAATATCTACTGATTGCAATCTGTGGCATATGAGATTAGGTCACCCGTCTTCTGGTCTATTACAAAGTTTATCTGGTACACTTTCTTTGTCTAAATCAAATATAGAAAAGCATGATCATTGTCAAGTATGTCCATTAGCTAAGCAGAAACGTTTGTCTTTTCCTTTTAATAATAATGTGTCTTCCTTACCATTTGAATTGATTCACTTGGATGTTTGGGGACCATTTTCTGTAGAGTCTATAGATGGTTACAAGTATTTTTTAACAATAGTAGATGATTGTACTAGGGTTACTTGGGTCTATATGCTAAGAAATAAAAGTGAAGTTTCAAAAGTTTTTCCAGTTTTTCTCTCTTTAATTTCTACTCAGTTTAATACAAAAATAAAATCTATCAGAAGTGATAATGCACCAGAATTGGCTTTCACTAATTTACTTCAAGAACATTTGTTATAATGCACCAGAAGTGATAATGCACCAGAAGTGATAATGCATTATTCACTATTATTCTTGTGCTTATACTCCTCAACAGAATTCTATTGTGGAGAGAAAGCATCAACATTTGTTAAATGTTGCAAGAGCTTTACTTTTTCAATCTCATATACCTCTAGTATATTGGAGTGACTGTGTTTTAACTGCTGCATTTCTCATAAATAGACTTCCATCTGTTTTGCTGAATCATATCTCACCTTATGAAAAATTAATGAAGAAAACGCCTAACTACTTGAATTTAAAAACATTTGGTTGCTTATGCTATGCTAGTACTTTACAAGTTGACCGTAATAAGTTTACCCCGAGAGCACAACCTTGTGTTTTCTTAGGATATCCTTCTGGTTACAAAGGGTATAAGGTCTTAGATCTTAATACTAACTCAATTTCTATAACTAGGAATGTAATCTTTCATGAAAATGTTTTTCCATTTCTAGATAAAGAAAAATATCAACCTGATTTCTTTTCACATACTATTTTACCAACTTTACCTGTTTCAGTTCCTTTACATGATGATGCTGCATTTGATTTACATTCCCCTACTTCATCTGTGTTAGAACTGAATAATAATAATCACCCTCCTGCTTTATCATCTTCTAACCTGCCAACTCATGATAACAATGTGGTAATGCCTAGGGTAGATAGGTCTGTAACTTCTGATGCTAATATAATTTCTAAACCTAGTGGGAGATCAAAACGACAGACTAAGGCACCTAGTTACTTATCTGATTACCATTGTGCATTAGCATTACAAACACCTACTTTACCACCTAATCATACTACACCATATCCTCTTTCATCAGTACTTGACTATAGTAGATTCAAACCACATTATTGTTCCTATATCTTATCTTATTCAATGGAGACTGAACCGAAAACCTTTAAGCAAGCCATGGTATCTGAAAAGTGGAAGGGTGCACTCAATGAGGAACTTCTGGCTATGGAATTGAACAAGACCTGGAGTGTTACTTCTCTTCCACCTGGTAAAAATGTTGTTGGCTGCAAATGGGTCTTCACCATCAAGTATAATTCAGATGGAACAGTGGAGCGATATAAAGCAAGGTTAGTGGCAAAAGGTTATACGCAACAAGAAGGAGTGGATTACAATGAAACATTTTCTCCGGTTGCAAAGCTGACAAGTGTGAAGTTAATGTTGGGGTTAGCTGCCAAGGAAGGTTGGGAATTATCCCAAATGGATGTCTCCAATGCATTTCTACACAGTACATTGGATGAGGAAATCTATATGAGTCTCCCACAAGGATATACTCCAGGTACCATGACTGCTCTTCCTCCTAATCCTGTGTGTAGATTACACAAATCCATCTATGGCTTAAAACAGGCTTCTCGCCAATGGAACCAACTCTTCACCAAAGTTTTACTTGATGATGGATTTATACAATCTAAATCAGACACTACACTATTCTTGAAGTTCACAGCCACCAGTTTTATAGCTGTCCTAGTCTATGTAGATGACATAGCTATTGCTAGTAATAATGCTGTTGATTTGGCTGACCTGAAGAGAGTATTATCAGCTGCATTCAAGATTAAGGACTTAGGTCCAATGAGATTTTTTCTTGGCTTGGAGATTGCCAGAACTTCAAAGGGTATTTCTGTGTGTCAACGCAAGTATACTTTAGACTTACTAGAGGATGCTGGATTACTTGCTTGTAAACCAGCAGTGGTTCCAATGGATCCATATGTTACAATTACCAAAGATACTGGGGTGCCATTGGATTCTGCAACACCATACAGAGAGCTGATTGGCAGATTGTTGTATCTGACAATAACAAGACCTGATATTACATATGCTGTAAATCAGTTGAGTCAGTTTCTACAGTTTCCGACTGATGCACATATGCATGCTGCTATACGGATTCTCAAGTACTTGAAAGGAAGTCCAGGACAAGGTCTTTATTATTCAGCTGAGAATGATATTTGTTTGAATGCTTTTGCTGATGCTGATTGGGGAAGGTGCTTGGATTCAAGAAGATCTGTGTCTGGTATATGTGTCTATCTTGGCAAGTCATTAATAAGTTGGAAATCAAAGAAACAACAAGTGGCTAGTCGGAGTAGTACAGAATCAGAATACCGAAGCTTAGCGGATGTCACAAGAGAGGTTATATGGATACAACAGCTTCTAAAGGATTTCAGAGTTGGAATTTCTAAGATAGCCAAGATCTTCTGTGATAACAAGTCAGCAGTTTACATCGCCAACAATCCTGTATTTCATGAAAGAACAAAGCATATCGACATTGACTGTCATACCATAAGAGATCAGATCAAGTTGGGTAACCTCAAGACTGTACATCTTACAAGTGACAACCAATTGGCAGATATACTGACTAAGCCTCTACACCCTAAACCATTTCATTCTATTCTTAGTCGTATGTCTTTATCAAACCTTTATAATCCTTCACTAGATTCGGATTAACAGGTTTGCGGGGGCATATTATGAGTATTATGAGTATTTTACTCAGCTCATATTAGCTTTATACTTTAGCTTACATTAGCATAGTATATAATACACTTGTAATACTCATTTTACACTTTAAGGAGAATAAAACATATTTTTACGATTCAATCACTCTCTCGTCTCTCTCTTTAGCTCGTCTTCTTCATCATGAGTTTGTTAAACTGTGAATCTTGATAGAACGTTAATGTGCTTGCTTTTAATTAGTGAGGAGTAAGTTTTAGTTTTTTTTTTTCCTTTTTCTTTTAATGAAACCTTGAAACCAAATTATAGGATTGAAGTAGAGGATGATTATTATTATTTTTTATTCTTTTTTGAAGAAGAGGATGATTAAGTTCGTTTGACTAAAACAAGATGATGATCATAAATATCAACTTAATTTGATTTAATTATACGGAAGAAGTTATGCGCGTCTAAGAAAATTATTCAATGTTTTTAATCAAATTATTAGATAATCATAATGCAGAAAATTATTCTCTTCTTAAACAGAATTACATGTGATAGGTAAAGCATATATAACATGTTCTACGTAATGACTAAATTAAAGGAACAAATTAAAGAGGGTTTCGATGAGCCTTCCAACGTCAGATTAGCCGCATCCATGCATAATCTCAACCTATATTAATTAGTATATGTAAAAATGTTTATATATTTAAATTTAATGACTATATATTTAATATATTTAATGACTATAATAGACAAAATCATTCTAAACCCTAATATACTTAGAACAAACTAAACCTTAGTAGTATCCTTAAGTATTGTATTTTTTTTGTTCAACACCCTTCATTATTGTATTAATTAGCATATATTTTAACTAAGTATTTAAAATATGTAAAGATTTTGAAGTCATACTAAAATATTTGATATTTTTTATTCAATACAAATCAAGATAATACAAAAAAATATTCAAATTGTTCAAGGATTCATGTTAGACTTGAATACAAATACATAAACATTTTTAAGAAATAATAATATGTCTTGTAATACATTAAAATACTTTCATATAATGCAACACGCACTATAAGATAAGGAAATCATCTATCCTCATAAAGAAGAATATCTTGAAATGAAAAATAGTCTGGAGTTTCTTCTCATTCCACGCGTGTTCATCATTCTTTTCTTAAAATCTAAGTATGTTGTTTTTAATTAAATTTAACGATATATTTGAGATTAAATTAAATTTGATCCAACTGTAAACTTGGAAAACTCTATGAAATTTTTCAGAACATAATTGCATACTAAATATTTTTAAAAAAACTTATTTTATTATGAAAATTTGATTAAAAAGACAAACAGATGAAAGACACAAGTTTTTTCAACTAGAATTAACCAAACTTATTACATAGCTTGAAATTCATTTATTTTTATGCGAGAAAAGATTTCTTAATTCTTATTATTTTTATTCTTTGGAAGCGTAGACGACGAAGCCTCCAACTCGGCGCGTTTCCTCTTTAAATCAACTTGGAGATTCTCCAGATTTTTCTTAAAAACAAGTAAATCCTCCAAATTTAGATCTGAAATCGGCTTCCGATTGTAGTTTCTGATGTTGTGTTCTTGCATCTTCCTCAGATCCTGGAATTGACATTAGAAAATTAATGTTTGGTAGAGATAAAACACATTAAAAATATACAAAGGCATTAAATAATAGTGTTTATGCAATAAATAAAACTCCAAAATGGATGACATGATATATTTGGGTTCAACATCTAATCCAAAGGGTTGAGTTAAAAATAATTGTCCAATTGTATGTTAAATTTGGATTCTATATAATAAAATGCAGTCTAAATAAAAACATAGTTATAAAGAAAATTAAATATGGGACACATACCTTCTCATAGGCTTTGTCCCGTTCCAGTTCTTTCATAATACCATCAAGTATGACTTGATCCATGAGAATCCTAGTCTGCCTGGCAAGTGTATCAGCCTTCTTCAAAGTATCATAGTCAACCTTTCTACTATCCATTTCTCAATTTCCTTACCAGCAAAAAAAAAAAAAAAAGAGCTTTGTGCTTAGAGAGAGATTTTGTTGTTGTTGTGGTTCTTCTTGTTAGTGCTTGTACACCATTTTATAGATGGATTGAATCAAATTGGTTCAACACATAAAGAAATGTTTATCTATTTGGTATTACTCTTTTCACTATTTTTGATTTTATATTTTACTTATTACTATTTTTAGATAATTACTCGCTCGCGACGATATATATGTATATATATAATACCAAAATTAATATGTTAATTTTCAAATTCATATTTGTTTCTTAATCTATTGGATATATATATAGTGCCCTTATATTTCATTCTATATACAAAAAAGTATCTAAAAATGATTGCTCACGCGCGGCACATATGTTCGTTAATCTCGAGAAAAAATAATTATTTTTCAAACTAAATTACAATGAAAATCCAGTAAAACTTACTATATGAATTTTCCCAAAAGTAAAACATTCAGTCTTTGAATTTTTTTCTTCCAAATTATACAAAATTCTAGTAAAAGCCTAAGATAGACACTGAAGTTTTTTAACCGACGGACCTCATAAAACTTGATAAAATCTAAAAAACAAAATTGAAGAAAAATGATATTTGTAAGTGTTATTAAACATCCAAATTAATTAATAATGCATAGATTACTCTATAATGTAAAATCAGAGCATGTAATCTATATATCTCTTCTTAGATGACCTTCTAAACCGCTTTTAATAACAATTTTTATCTATATTATGTAGTTAAAATCGGTCAGAAATCACAATCATTTGCAGTAATAAACTCTTGTGCTTGAATACACCTTAATCAATCATCCCATGTGTTTTCTTAATGAGCATTTTAAATCTAGAACTTAGCAGTTAGCAATGATACGAATGATTCACATAGTAATTTATATGATTCTCCATAAAAAAAAATAGTCAAACACGAAGAACACTTACAACTCCTAAGTAAAATTAAAGTTGATATAATTTACAATTTTCGCATTTACATTGTCCCGACAGTTTGGCCGAGTGGTCTAAGGCGCCAGATTTAGGCTCTGGTCCGAAAGGGCGTGGGTTCAAATCCCACAGCTGTCATTTCTTTTTAATTTTTATATATTTGACTTCTTTTGTCTGTTTTTATTTAAAAATCAATATAACACTTTTCAGATTTTAAAATATTTTTGACCCAAACCAATCACCTTCATTGTTAATTGGGTCAACTTGAAGTAAGCATGACCTGGAAATCTTTGAAAATATTATTCTTAAATGGGTTAACCCCAAGTAAGAACAGTGCATGCATTCTGAAAAAAAAAATTTGATTTCTTTCTTTTATTAATATTGGAAAAAATTAAAATATAAATGGGTCAAGATCAGGTAAACATAGTCATGTAGTGTATATTAGTATCCATAAACAGGTTGTCCAAATCAACTAATATATCATATTCATATATAGCCAGATTCCTTAATTGAGTCATTAGTCAATAGTCAATACATAATCCTTAATTATCATTTTTGAAAATAATTCTTTTTTATTCTGAATTACCTTTTTTTTTCCTCTACCCATTCTTCCAATGTAAAGCCAGAAATCTAATACTGTTAAACAGTTGTGAATTGTGATCATAAGATTAATATTTTTCTTGAATAAACAAAATTTTGACATAAAATTTGGTTTTCACTTTATATATTTTGGCTTGGCCAAAAAGACAAATACAAATGTTTGGCAGATTCTTTATATAAAGCAAAAACCCAACTTGTTTATAACAAAACAAATCCCATCAAGATAGCGTATGAGCTTTTGATTCCTCTAGTCAGAACTTTAAAGACGTGTTAATGAATTTAATTAGTCGACCTAAGACTATAATATATATAAATATAAATGATTATAATTGTTTTTTAAAATATTTAGTACTTCATAGTCTTACTCTAGTACTATGTTGAGTACAATCATTTCAAACTTCTTTCACTTTCAACGATTGCTACTCTTTGATCAAAAACAAAAAGGTATTTATTTTTATTTGCCAAACTCGATTATATAATAATATCAAGAAATGTTTTTAACAATGTAACTATATATAATGTGAGTTTTCATATGTATTATTAGTTATTCTATAAGATATCATATCATATAATTTGTTCAAATGACTAGAACTATAATGTTTTCATTGTAGTAACATATTCTATATATCTCAATATATAAGATATTTTAAACTTTTTTTATGGTTCCACTTTATTAAATTTTCTCAAATTCTATGCAAAATTAATATTAATTTAATTGCTTATAACTATTTAATTTTTGTAGTTATTTTTTTTTATTAGGTTGAATTTTTTATATGAAAAAAACATTCATTATTTCTTAATTTTTGTGTTCTTAGCTAACCAGTCTTATAAAATGGAAGAGAGTATATAATATGAATAGAACGTTTTGTGGCTGAATAAAGTGATCTTAGCCTTGTGAAAATTACTTTGTGTTATATCATTCGTTCCATAACTAATATAAGATTTTTTTTCAGCAGTATGCAATATTCAGTTTTTATCATAGAGAGCTAACAATAGTAAGTAGTACTAGTAAGTAGTCACTATGTATATCTATCTTGGTCCCATGATGTTTTATTTTTTTAACTAATTTACAATATACATTGTGAGATTAAATGAATATGATATATAAATACAAACACACACACACACACACACATATATAAAGATATAAAAGAATGTGTATGAGTATGAGTGGGAATACATTATATGCAACTTGACCGAATTATCAAATGATGTGATTTTATGAAACTTATATTGCGTCTTGGCCTTTTCACATCCGTGACATGTGAACACAAATGGTTATATAAACATATGACATTATCTCATAACATTTTCTCACCAGTTTCAACTCATTCTAAACTATGAAGTCACTTTCAGAGACCATTTTGATATCATCTCTCATCTTCTTCTTCTTCTTTGGCTTTGGACTTGCGAAACAGAGCTTTGAACCAGAGATTGAAGCTTTAAGATCCTTCAAGAATGGTATTTCAAGCGACCCTTTGGGAGTATTGTCGGATTGGACTACCACAAGACACTGCAATTGGACCGGAATCACCTGCGACAGTACCGGTCATGTTGTCTCGGTTTCCTTGCTGGAGAAGCAACTTGAAGGTGTTCTGTCTCCAGCCATAGCAAATCTCACCTATCTCCAGGTTCTTGATCTCACTTCAAATCAATTTACCGGCCAAATACCGGGTGAAATCGGGAAGTTAACCGAGCTTAACCAGCTTATTCTTTACTTAAACAATTTCTCTGGTTCGGTTCCTTCTGAGATTTGGGAGCTTAAGAATATTGTGTATCTTGATCTTAGAAACAATTTGTTGTCTGGTCATGTTTCTGAAGCAATCTGCAAAACCAGTTCTTTAGTATTGATAGGGTTTGATTACAATAACTTAACCGGGAAAATACCAGAATGCTTAGGAGATTTGGTCCATCTCCAGATGTTTGTAGCAGGTGGTAACCGGTTAAGTGGTTCAATTCCGGTATCAATTGGTACTCTGGCTAATCTGACCGATTTAGACCTGAGTGGTAACTTGTTAACCGGAAAAATACCGAGAGATTTTGGAAATCTCTCGAATTTACAGTCTCTCGTTTTAACTGGAAACTTGTTGGTAGGAGAAATACCGGCTGAGATCGGAAACTGCTCGAGCTTGATCCAACTCGAGCTGTACGATAACCAGTTAACCGGGAAAATTCCAGCTGAATTAGGGAATTTGGTTCAGCTGCAAGCACTCCGGATATACAAGAACAAACTTACTTCTTCAATTCCATCCTCTTTGTTTCGGTTAACTCAGTTAACCCATTTGGGTTTATCAGAAAACCAATTGGTTGGACCAATACCGGAAGCAATCGGTTATCTCAAGTCACTTGAAGTCCTAACGCTTCATTCCAACAACTTTACAGGGGAGTTTCCACAGTCCATCACAAACATGAGGAACTTGACAGTGATAACTATGGGGTTCAACTCTATTTCCGGTGAGCTCCCGGCGGATCTAGGGCTTCTTACAAACCTTAGAAACCTTTCAGCGCACGACAATCTACTCACCGGACCAATACCTTCTAGCATAAGTAACTGCACCGGTCTTAAACTCCTGGACCTGTCTCACAACCAGATGATTGGCAAGATCCCGCGGGGTTTCGGAAGGATGAATCTTACGTTTATTTCTATCGGGAGGAATCGTTTTACAGGTGAAATTCCAGACGATATCTTCAACTGTTCAAACGTGGAAACTCTTAGTGTGGCAGACAACAACTTAACAGGAACTCTCAAGCCATTGATTGGGAAGCTTCAGAAACTCAAGATTTTGCAAGTTTCATATAACTCTCTCACTGGAACCATTCCTCGAGAGATAGGGAATCTCAAAGAGTTGAATATCTTGTACCTTCACCATAATGGTTTTACAGGGAGGATCCCGAGAGAGATGTCGAATCTCACTCTCCTCCAGGGTCTAAGGCTGCATTCAAATTATCTTGAAGGTCCAATTCCTGAAGAAATCTTTGATATGAAGCAACTCTCAGTTCTTGATCTATCCAACAACAAATTCTCCGGTCCAATTCCTGTTTTGTTCTCGAGGCTTGAATCACTTACCCTCTTAGATCTTCATCGAAACAAGTTCAACGGATCTATCCCTGCAAGCCTGAAGTCGCTTTCGCTTCTCAACACATTCGATATCTCTGACAATCTTCTCACCGGAACCATCCCTGGGGAGTTGTTAACTTCTATGAAAAACATGCAGCTTTATCTCAACTTCTCAAACAACTTCTTGACTGGAACCATCCCAAACGAGCTTGGGAAGCTTGAAATGGTTCAAGAAATCGACTTTTCGAACAATCTCTTTTCCGGGTCTATTCCAAGATATTTACAAGCCTGCAGAAACATCTTCTCGCTGGATTTTTCGAGGAACAATCTCTCGGGTCAGATCCCAGATGAAGTCTTTCAACAAGGAGGCATGGATATGCTCATAAGCTTGAACCTTTCAAGGAATAGTCTCTCTGGTGGCATCCCTCAAAGCTTTGGGAACATGACACATTTGGTCTCCTTGGATCTCTCTAGTAACAATCTCACAGGTGAAATTCCAGAGAGTCTTGCCAATCTTTCGACTCTGAAACATCTCAAACTAGCTTCAAACCACCTCAAAGGCCATGTTCCTGAATCCGGTGTGTTCAAAAACATCAACGCGTCTGATTTGATGGGAAACACAGATCTCTGTGGCAGCAAGAAGCCTCTTAAGACATGTATGATCAAGAAGAAGTCTAGCCATTTCACGAAGAGAACTGCGATCATCGTGATTGTTCTTGGATCAGCCGCAGCTCTTCTTCTTGTTCTGCTTCTTGTTCTGTTTCTCACCTGTCGCAAGAAAAAGGAAAAAAAGATTGAAAACTCATCAGAGTCCTCACTACATGATTTGGATTCAGCTCTGAAGCTGAAAAGATTCGATCCGAAAGAGTTAGAACAAGCAACAGATTCATTCAACAGTGCCAACATCATTGGTTCAAGCAGCTTAAGTACAGTGTACAAAGGTCAGCTAGAAGATGGGACAGTGATTGCAGTAAAAGTATTGAACCTGAAGCAATTCTCTGCAGAGTCTGATAAATGGTTCTACACAGAAGCTAAAACATTGAGCCAACTAAAGCATCGAAACCTGGTGAAAATCTTAGGGTTTGCTTGGGAAAGCGGCAAAATGAAAGCTTTAGTGCTACCATTTATGGAGAATGGAAGCTTGGAGAACACGATTCACGACTCTTCTGCACCGATTGGCTCGTTATCCGAAAGAATCGATCTCTGTGTTCATATTGCCAGCGGAATCGATTATCTTCATTCTGGCTATGGTTTTCCAATCGTTCATTGTGATCTGAAGCCAGCGAATGTACTCCTCGACTCTGATCGTGTTGCTCACGTAAGTGATTTCGGAACTGCTCGGATTCTAGGGCTACGCGAAGATGGAAGCACCACAGCTTCAACGTTAGCTTTCCAAGGCACAATTGGATACTTAGCTCCAGGTAAAATACTAAAAACCCCTAAATTTCAAAACCCTAATTTCCCCATGGACTTACGTAACATACACTCTTATTTCTCATGAACAGAGTTTGCTTATATGAGGAAAGTGACCACAAAAGCTGATGTATTTAGCTTCGGGATCATAATGATGGAGCTAATGACAAAACAGAGACCAACTTCATTGAATGAAGAAAAATCACAAGGCATGACGTTGCGTCAACTTGTGGAGAAATCGATTGAAGATGGAACAGAAGGGATAATTAGGGTTCTTGATTCTGAACTCGGGGACGATATTGTTACTCGGAAACAGGAAGAGGCCGTCGAAGACTTGTTGAAGCTTTGTTTGTTCTGTACAAGCTCCAGACCTGAAGATCGACCTGATATGAATGAGATTCTTACACATCTGATGAAACTTAGAGGCAAAGCCAATTCGTTTCAAGAAGATCGAGAAGTTTAGTAGCAAAACTTTTCGAATATGTCAAACTATGTTTCTAAAGTTGAATAAACGTTCTAATTTTGTTTTTGTAATGTGTTTTATAATAGGAAATGAACAAAAAAAACTATATGAGAGTAAGTTTGAAGAATATATACCTATATATCAAACAACTTTTGGTTAAAGTTAAATGCACTATTCACAATAGCCAACATGCAAATTCCGAACAAAAAATACCCTTAACTCGAACAAACTACAATTGTTCTCGTTATGTTTGCTCCTCTAACTCAACAATTGATAATCAGATGAGTTTAATGTTTTCAAAAGTTAAGACAAAACAATTACCAACTCTAATTAATGCAAAGTAATCGTACTCTTTTATATGTGTGTATACACGTACATGTGTGATAGCGAGAGCAAGAAAAAAAGCTTGTGAACTAAGAAAGAGATGATGAAGAGTATGAATGTTTTTTTTTCCCATCAAATTGTATAAGCAAAGAAAAGATTTATCAGATCATATATGAAATCATTAGAATTATTCCTTGCAATCATTAGAATTATATCTAAAATTAAGAGGAATATAAAAAGAGACTTAAATATAAAATTAATCTTGGATTTTTTTTTTAATAGTGTTATTCAAACATTTAGTTTAAGTTGTTCATAAAAACTAACACATTGCCCAAGGTATTTAATAGTTTGAAAATTATTTTTAAAATAACAAATTAAATTACATAAGAAAATTATTATCAAATTTGAACAATAAAAAATAAATAAATTCGTCTAACACACTGCCCCACAGATAATCAAAGTTTGTAATAGCGGACGTTTCTATCAAACATGGAAATGGGTGAGCGCCTACGCTTCTGACAAAGATTTGTTCCGCAAAGATTTTTCAAAGACCATGACTAAACTGTCCAATTATCAAATCTTGATAGGCGATCTTGGCTAGGTAAGGTTTGAATGCCCAAAGGTCCAGTGATTTTTTTCCTTTACCACTGTCTCATGTATTGGTTTACAAGATTTTTTTTATGAAGACTCCAACATGAATTGTCAAAGAAAGATTAGGGAAACATTAACACTATGGAAATAATATATGTTCCTCAGCATCATATCCAGCTTATTCGAAACTAACATATATTTTTTATCACGCAAATTTCACTTTTTCCCTCAAAGTTTGAGCTAGGTTAGTTATAGGATTATTTGGTCTAAAAGTAACAACTAGTCCAATTTTGAGTTCTTTTCCAATCAATTCGGAAATCAGAAAGTTTACTCTCCCAACGGGTCTGGTCCGTACTGAAAATACGCTGTTTGAGAATGATTTTTAGTTTTACTTTTTTTATAAAAAATTGGTGGCCGAAAATGATAGGGAACATTTGGCTTTATTAATCCAAAGACCAGCCTAGCTGTGAAACTAATTTAGCACTTGGTTGATGACCAACGCATTAGAAAATTGAAAAACCATCCCAAACCTCCTATTTTTCTTCTTTTCTAATTCAATTTCTATATTATCATATGATAATGATGCAACTTTCCATATATATAGAAATAGAAAGAGATAGACTAGATACGTTATCTCTTATGTCAGTGATACCAAGGGATTCAAAAAAGTGGAAATGGCATTTGTGAATCGCCACTCCTTAGATGAAATCAGATCTAAAGAGATATGTATGTATATTATATTTAAATAAGTTATGTATATTGACTTTGTAACTATTATAATAAATAAAAGTGTAAAATATTTATTGATATTTAGTAAATTTATTTTCTTTATATTTTTTGAGAATTTTTGAGAAATAAATTAAAATTAATTAACATAACTGATTATTATATATGAACTCGTTCAATATTTATTTTTACATATTGTGTACATAATAATCTAGATATAAGAACTACAATCTCTGTTGGGTTTTTTTTTTTTTTTTTAATTATCAACAATCTCTGTTGGTTTAAATGTGTGATGTTTGAAGTTCTTTTTGTTATTATTGATATTTTGATTGCAATGGCATTTTAGGTTTAATGGATATTTTTCCTAAATATTTCCCGACTTACATTTTACGAGACGATGATTTCTCAAGTAATGTGTGTTAAAATTGTTTTGATGCATTGGGAACATTACTTGGGTCAAAGTGTTGGAAAGAGGATGTGAGTCCCTGGCACTTGGATCAGAACAACTTCTAAACTGAAAAAAAAAAAACATAGGTTTGCAATGTTTAGGCTCGTCGTTGTTTCCATGCTTAACTGTTTGGACTGGAATCAGAAAATTGTTTCTTACACATAAATGTTTAAAAAGGTAACGAACTCTGGTTGATTAGCTTTGTCGTGGACTATTTAAAGAGATTTGCAATTCGACCAAAATTTTATATAGCATGCATTTTCAAAAAAATATACATTTCTGTTATATAAACATTCACTTCGATTTCGTATGGCAATAGAGAGCAAAGAAGTTGACAGATATGTTGGTTTCTGCATATGTTGAACGAACGTCCTCCGAAGCTGAATGTGCACACGAAGATGATCCACAAAGAAAAACACTTCTTTCTGCCTGTAAATGATAGAAAGAAATCAACAGAGCCTTAGTTAGATTTTCTTTTTTAAGCGTAAATCGTAACGAGAATGATTTAAGGACTCACGGTTTTTTAGCGATGAATCTGAAGGAGAACGAATGAGAAGCAATAGAGAGGAAGAGCGATGGCGATCCCAGCTATGAAGTTAGATAAGAGACGTTTGTTGTCTTTTGTGGGTACAAAAACCGTCTTGAGTGTGTTGGTTAGTTCAAAGAGACGGTGAGATACCTGGGGAGCAAGAACACATAGAGATGTTTCAGAACGTTTGGTAATAGAAAAGAAAGGGAGAGAAGAAGTTAAGGTTTCTTACGAGGACGTATATCGCAGTTGTGAGCATGAAATTCAGCATAGGGTATCCCGGAATGATAGAGAGAAGCCATTTTGGTTGCCCATCAGGCATGTTTGATCTGAAAAATTGGTGTCTTTAATTCAACAAAAGATGTGATAGGCTTTCAGAAAAACAAGATTTTAAGTCACAGAAAACAAACCTTAGCCATATATGAAACTGGGAAATGTAAGTTTCTAAAGTGATCTTGCCGAGCCATCTGCACCGGGAAATGTAAAGAGAATTGTTACATGGAAATCAGGCAAGCATACTAAACCAGGCTTTAGCTTATATATATTTGACTCACGCGAAGAGAGTCAATGAGACACTCCGTAGCTGGTGGGTGAAATTCCGAAGGCATATGTAAACACTAAAACCCAAAAACCAAATGGTGAGTCATGTTACAGTTTCGGCAAGTGAAAACACGAAAGACGAAAACACGAAAGGGAGATTGTATGCACACACGTGATTGGGATCCAAGATGTGTATGGATGATACATGTTGTAACTGGTCTTGTCCAGCTTATAGATACATTCATACCACACATAGCCAACCTATAAAATGTGAACAAATAGGAATAATCTTCTATTACTTTCTATAAATGAGTGGTGCAATCAACAAACTAAAAAAAGATAACTGAAATGACTTACAAGCACCGCAATAGTAGCAATAGTGGTTTTTATGGATAGTCTTTTCTTTGTTTCACACTCCTCTAACTTCTCCATCCATCTCTCTACCTAGAGAATGATCCCAAGTTTTGAAGTTTTATCACATTAACACTACATCAACAGAAACAAAATTGAATATGTTCTTCTGTTAAAGAGCTTACAGTTGGGTGATAATAGGCATAAATCATCCCGATAATCCATATGTAGCGGTCAAGGCCTGATCGGAAGTGCCATTCATGCAGTCGATGAAGATCAGGCTTTGCAGGATCATTGTAACCTGCAGTTATTCACAAGCGATATCCAAATATTATGGCCCCATCAAATTTCATTATGACTTGTGTCAGTTCATATAGAGAGTATGATCAGATCCAGAGAATTTAACTACCTAATAAGAATGTTAATGGACCCCAGAATATTTCAAAAGCTCCAGGAATTTCCCACATCAAAAAGACAACGAGGAAGCATGAAAATATCTTCAAAGCCATCACAGATCCTATATCATTGTACTTGCTGCAGATACCCAGAGCTCCATACACCATTAAAGTGAAGAGAGTGTGCATTGGGCAGATGTAATACAGCATATAGTCATTGTTGAGAACGATACAACAAAATGCTACAAAGAAGTTCAGCCTCCACATCATCTGTAAAAAAAAAAAATTAGATGAAAGTAAAAGCACAATAACAAGAATTTATCGTCGAATGAGTGGTATCACCTGTGCAAAACGTGCAACAGAGAAATCCTTTCTGACATAGTAGTACGAGAAGTTTCCAAAACCAGTCATCCACACATAAGCAGCAATAAAGATACGGATGGCATTGTATATCTCAGTTGCAGCAAAGTAGTGATACATTAAGAACAAAACCTGATAAAAAGTAGGACATGAGAAAACTATATCGAAAGCAGCTACAAATTATAGTAACCTATGAAAAACAGCACAATGATAATATTTTCAATTACTAAGAGAAACTTGCCTGCATCCATCCTTTCCACTCTTCAGTTTGGTGGCGATTAAGGTAAAGAATGGATTTCCCAGATATAGGTGACTTGTCATTGTGCTTTCTGAGAGATGTCATGGCTGATACTATAATGAGAAGAACGTAGAGAAAAAGGAAAAGGTCGCGGTTGTAATTCTGTCAAATAAAACCCAAGTCCCATGAGCAAAACAAATATATAAAGAATACATACTTCAAGGAGTTGAGATACAGAGCGACTGAAAAGTCTGAAATACAAGGGTACCTTAGTAGAATCTCCAAGCAATTCTGTGCGGTCACAGATATAGAAATAGATTAAAATTGCTCCAAACTCCGACCTAGGTATGATTATGAATGTTAATATAAGATAACGAACAATGAGATTATCACCATTTCTTGAGGTAACTTTCACTTACATTGCTCTCAGCGTTGCACGGTGTTCCAGCAAAAACGAATCTTCCATACTCAAAAACCTGTGATTCGATAAAATCAAAACACCTTAGCATGAGGATCTTGAAGAATTGTAATAAACAAACTAGGATACTTGAGAGCTGGTAACACCGACCAACCTAATTATGTTTGTTCTGATGGATGAATTATGAAACTTTAACGATGTTGATCGGGCAAGACCTCCCTCCAACAAATCAGCTTTGTCATCATCCTTCTCTGCTACATCTCCCAATTCAACCAGATTATTATCTGAGTGCCTGCATAACAAGAATGCAACTCTTCTTTCAAGGCTCTCATTTGGGAAGAAACGAAGCACGATAGAGGAACTCTGCTACATTCACTATTGAGAGTATCATCACATTGCAAAAAAAACTTACGGTTTTAAGGGAACCCAAGATTTCCTGTACTCAAGTAGCTCGGAGTATATCCAACCAACAAAAATTGGTATTACTCCAAGCAGAAAAGATACCTACAAAAGTTTCACAAACAAAGTTAAAATCTTGTAGATTGTTGTCAGTATCCAGCAAACTCTAAATGATTCAAAGCTAATAGAACGTCACAAAGAAAGACTCAGTTTTTCATGTATTTGCTATTGCTAGACTTCTTGATCAGCCACTAACAGGAATACTACTTGACTTGCTACTATCAAGGAAGCTGCTTTCACAAAGATCACAGTCACAAATCCTTCAATTCCAAATACCCAACTCTATAAATTCTAGATAGCAATACGACACCTAAATCAAATAACACTAAAAAGATTCAATCTTTCCATATAAATAAATAAACCCCTTTAGCAATGAATCGAAATTGAACCTGGCCTGGCGTAATTGGTCCCGGATCCACCATTTTTAGCAATTTCTCTGTTAAAAACTTCCGAGAGATAGTGATCTCTCTAGGAGACGATCATAATAAATAATATCAGCAGAGATAGATACAGAGAAAGAGAGATGTGGAAAGTGTTTGCTTGAAGAAGAGATAAGAAGAGGTTCGGAGAGCCGTCGTTTTCAATCGCCGGCGACTGAGTTTTTTCTTTCCGAGCAGATTCGATTAGTCTCTCTGGTTAGAGACAGTGACTCCTCCGCAATATTATTTCCGTCTCCACTCAAATTAGTAAAGTTTTTTTAATAATAATAAAAAAAAAAAAATTATTGTAGAGAGTTCAATATTTACCAAAACGGATCAATTTATTTCCTTAAAACCTACCTAAGCTTGATTTGGTACAATACAATACTACAATTTAGTCTAATTACGATAGTAACAACATAACCATCCGGTAACACAGTCCGTTTCAACCCCCTATTCTCGAACGGAACATCAAAATCAATTCTAATAATTTGTTGCATGTTTTTTTTTTTATATATATTCAAACTATGATGAATGAATAATAGTCTCCTTTAGTCAATAAAAGAAAAGAAAGAATAGTCGTCTATTAACTGAATTTATAAAATATTCAAATTTTTAACCTAAACCGTAATTAATATTTATTTTGATCATTTCAATTAACTGTTAATTTTTAGTTTTGATGTTTTAATCAGAATTTTACGATTTGTTGCTTCAATTTTTTTTAATAGATGATAGTTGACTGAAATCATCAAAATCAATGTTGGTTTTGGTTTAATATTTATATGTTTAGATTGTAGATTTGAATTTTTTATCAATGTTTCAAGTATGAAAAGAAACTCATCATCTTATCCGGTCTGATTCCGACCTTTTTCCCATTTTCAGACATATATGTAATTTTGGTTTTTAGTGTGATTTGGATCTTGAAGGAAGCGAGATTACGCCTAGCTAGTTCCATGTCTCTAAAATATCACTAACTAGAACATAAGAGGGGCATGTTTATTGGTAAGAACTCTTTTTAACAAAAATTTATTATAGCTAAAAACTTACCAATAAACATGGTCTAAGCAAGTTGGGCATTCACTGTCTTTAATTTTATTTTGGATCTTTAATTTTGACTATGTCATATTTGGATCTTCACCAATTTTGGGACTAATTCGAACCCACACTTTGCATGATGAGTCTCTGTGGGATTATCTAATATTAACCTTTTTGAACTTGACCAACAAATTAATTATTTTAACTTCTTCAAGTGACAACTATAACAACAACTTCGATCGAATCCATTTCGGGAGTAGAGAAACTTCAAAAAGAAACAATAAAACTCCAAATCTTGAAAACTAGATGAAAATTATGTTTGATTTTGGTGGGTTTGAAATTTTTGTGGAAATTGTACACGACCTACTCGTCTTCGATGCTACCGAAATGTGTAAAAAAAAAAAACAAATAATTTATTATTATATTATCCCATCTGACAATATATGGAAAATGATCGTGGAACGAATTTTATTTAAACAATTGTGGTTAGTGGATCCAACATGTCCTGACCTCAAGATGTACTTGTCAAGCAACTAACTTGTCACATCCCTTACATGATACTCCAAGATGGATAATAATGTGTTCCTTTGTATTAACAAGTATATATCTTAAATTGTATTATATCTATCTCATTAATATGTACGATCAAACTCATTACTCGTTAGTTTGGTTCCTTAATTCTTACGCATAATCAATTAGCGTATATATTTTAGGTGGGGTTTGTGATCAAATATATATATAGTTAAGTTCAATCTAATCTTCGAGTCTAAATTTTGATTCGAAATACCAAAAAAAAAAATTATTTGCATTGCTTTAGTATTCAAGTAGATTTTAGATATGATGTTATGTCGTCCTTTTCCTCATTAGCTAATATATAAAGCAAGTAGTGAAAACGAGAGACCCATGAAGGATCTTTGCTTCTATATTCATGTAACAAAATTACTTCATAGAAGAAGAAAAATATTTTAATAAGTCGAAAGGAGTACTCCATATTTATGCTTACTACAGTATATCCAATATATATCCTATAGCTAGTTACAAAAACATAGCTAGTTACATGCAAAAATAAATAACACTAGCTATCACTTATTTATGCATCCGAATTGTTTCTATACATATATATATATATATATATATATATATTCTTATTTATATCGTCAATGCTCTTGCTTGAAGAAAACAGAAGGAAACATCTCTTTCAAGAGCTCGAACTGATCACTCTCCTGCTGATGAAATCCTTGTTGTTGTTGTTGTTGTTGTTGTTGATGATAATTAGGGTTCACGTTCACACTAGCGTATGGCACACGGAAGAGATCATCATTTGAGAAGCTTCTTGGAGTATTGATGATGAGGTCGGAGAATATCGGAGTCGACGATGGGTTATAATCAGTTGCGGTGGTTCCGGAGAACATTGCCGTGCGGCGATTGGTCGGGATAGGGTGGTTGTGCTGACTCTCGTAAGTTGTGATCACGACCGTTGGATCTTGGTAAGATCTCTCCACTCTCTTCTTCACGTTGCACTTCTGCGTCGTGCATCTATAGTAACTCCTGTTCACGTAATTGACATTATAGTATACATTGTGTTTTGCATGTGACGACTTGTAATGTCAGTTACAAAATTGTATTTTTAAAATTTCTTCCTTTGTCATATATAAACAAAATTAATAAGACTTTTCAAACAATGTCAGAATCCAAAACATAATGAGTGTAAATAGAGGAAATTGACCAATGTTTCTTGTGGATGTCGATCTTGAAATGATAAAAAATGAATAGAAGAAAAATTAAATTGAATGAAAATATATTTATGTTAGTCTGAAAAATCATCATAAAAGTTTAAGAAAACTTCAATCTTTATAAACATTATAATTTTTTAGAAAAATAAACAAGTAAATATAAAATCCAAGATTACAAGAAATGCTTAGGCCTTAGATGGAATCTTCATAAGAAAAATAAACAAACAAAATTAAGTTGGTCTAGTTTTTTTTTTCCTTCAAATATAATAAACTAAAAACGTAAAAAGAAAGTAGTTTGATTGAAAAATGATAATCAAGAATTCAAAAGCCAAAAAACTTACTCAAAACTAGACATTTTGTAATACTTGTCTATATTTTTTAGTATGTAATAACAAACTAATTAAACCCTTTATTTAGAAATTAGTTTGAGTGAAAAACAATGATCAAGAATTCAAAAACCAAAAAACTTACACAAAACTAGACATTTTGTAATACTTATCTATATTTTTTAGTATGTAATAATAAACTAATTAAACCCTTTATTTATTTTATGATATAAAGTATATATTATAGTGCGCGATATAAATTAAAATTACCTAGGATAAGGACTGTTTTTGACTGCTTTTTGGCCGTACTTTCTCCAACGATAGCCGTCTTCGAGGTGATCAACTTCGGTCTTAGTCATGAACGAGACTCGTGGCTCTTTTTTCTTCTCCTCTTTCTTCTTCGTCTTAACTCTGAAAACCATATAATAAAAATCCTTAATTAGGGCCTGGACCATATATCTCTTGTTTATGGCACCGTACCGTACATTTGACTTTGATTCATTGGAACTACATTTAATAATGCTTAAGGCATCAAATGATTGTGTTATGACTTAACGTGATAAATGGGACACGTTGTTTTGTTTAAGTGGTTTCTTTTAGGGATAAGATTTATGCATCAATAATTATGTTATAGGTACGAAAAAATGAATATACAATCTTTCAGACACATAGCAGAATAGAGTCCCAATGAATCAGTACTATTAGATTATGTATTACGGAAAAATATGAATGAAATAATTTTAGTTGTCATTCTTTCAATTATTATGATATCAAACTTTAATTCTACCTATACATATTAATAATAAAAAAATATTAACAACTGCAATATGTATATTCTCATCAAAATTTAAATCTCGATGGTGTTGTCAAAGATGTCATTTGATGATATGCAAACTCTATATTTTTTGTTTCGTGTAAAAGAAATTGAAATCAATATTAAAGTGAAAAACTTGATTTCAAGAAAATCATTTTCAAGAAAACGATTCTTGATTTAGACCTGAAAGTGGGAAAAAAAAACAAGAAATGTATTTTATTAATTTTTCACCTAATTAAGATTTTATGTTAGTAATAAAAACAAATAAACTAGCTAAGTTTGATCATGATTCATGTGAATACTAAATATGTCTATCTTTATTTTTTTCGAAACTTATGTGAAACTTACACTTTCTGCGAAGGTTGATCATCTTCTCCTCCATCGCCAGCTTCTCTTTTCTTCATGATCTTGCCGGAATCGTCGCCGGGATGATGATCAGCCTCACTTGAAGAAGGAGATGGTGAAACCCTAACTTCACTCTTAATGGTTGTTGCACAACCACCACCACCGACAACTTCTTGACTCTTATGGCAACTATTATAGTTAAAAGCATTATACAAACCGTTGTCTTGATCGATCGAAGGATTAAAAAACTCGGAAGAAGATGGAGAAAGCTCGAAGCCCAAATCAAACGCTCCTTGAGGACTCAAGTTCTTCGAAGGTAGATCAAAACCAAGTTGTGATGATGAGACGATCATGTTTGCATTATAACTAGATGGACCAGAAACGTAAGAGAGGTTCATCATGTTTTGGTTATTGATGTTGTTGTAATGATTATACGATGAAGTGTAGTGATAGTTGTTAAGATCTTTGATTTCATTAGACATGATGAAGAACAAAGAGAGGAATCATAAACCAAAAAGGAAAGAAAAAAAAATGACAAAGAGAGGAGCGTGAAGAAGAAGAAGAAGAAGCTTACGTTAATGAAATTTTTTAGTCGGTCTACATTTGGGTGTTAAGACTTTTGGGTCGTCTCTTATTTATGCCTTTTGAAAAATATATATTATTTAATACGTCTTGCTGAATAAAATATAGTAGTAAATAGCGTTTTTATATATATTTTTCTTGTTTGGCTTAGATATGTACAAAATCTAAAGGTTGAATGGAAAAGAAGAGTATTGAAGTGTGAATGATTCAAAAAGAGGTTTGAATGACTTTTATATATGTATTTAAAGTAATGATAACTTTTATAAAGTTTGAGTTGACGAAAAAGCATTTTACCACCTCAATTCGAGAGTTACAAATGTGGCCTCGAGTGAGGAAACATATACTTCTTTCTTTGTCATTTTGTTTCTGAAAACGCTTTAGTGTGTGAACATGAACACACAAGAAAAAGCCATTTTACCATAATTAAAACATCTTTCAAGCCTCTCTATTCATTTTCTGACCAAACAAAAAGAAAAAATATCTTTTTTTCTTTTACAAATTTGGGTTCTTTTTTAGTATGCTACTCTTTTGAGGGTCTTCAAACTAAGACATGAAAAGTTAATATTTTTATGAATCTGTTTAGGGTTCTTTTAGTGTCATATTTATATGAATATGTTTAGTGTCATATTTTTTATTTTTAAGGTCTTAAAGTAGATTCGACCAAAAAAAAGAGTAGTTAATATTTATCAATTTTTCTTTTTTTTTGTTTGTTAAACCGCAATGTTCCGGTTATCGGTTAACCAACCTTTGGTTCTATCAAATTTAAAATTATTTTTCTGTATGAAAAAAAAGATTGAATCCGAAGCACAAAAGAACAAGTCTCCTTAAATTTACCATTTGTGGAATAAGGTAGAGAACAAAGCTTGCATGTTGTGTAGGAAGGCTCATGAGTAGATGACTAAATGGTTAACCGGTAACCGGAAATAGTGAGTCTCCCGGTCATATTGGTGTGAAATGTGAAGGAAGAAGAGCCAAGTCAAAAAAGTCAAACAAGATTATGGGGTTGTAAGGATGACACGTGTTATTTTATTGGCACCGGCGTTTGACCGTAACCGACACATGACCTGGCACGTGCTGGAATATTGGATTTTATGTAATTCCCTAAACCCTAATAAATATCATCAAAGACGTTTTTAGGTTTTTAATTTTTAATATTTCAAGTCAAAGGACTCAATTGCGACAACAACATACGTATCCGTATAGTTTCGACGTAGAACCAATTTATACGGAATAATCACATTAGTATTTTTTTGGATTTTCATATCTATATATACGTATAGGTTTTGGATTTATTTGTTGTATTTAAAAATCTGATTATGATCGAAATACTGACGATTTAAAAACGTCATCACGACTCATGCTGCATATATTAATCTCTTTTTCAGTTTTCACATTAGAACTTTCCTCATCAAGCATAAAAAAAACATTTTTAAATAATAAAACTAATTAAACATGAAATATATGTTATTATATAGCCATATGTATCTATTATAGGTATAGAGATCTTTATTAATACTTTTAATATTTAATACTATTTCTATTTGTCAACACGACAAAATAATTTTATTTCGAGAAAAAAAAAGTGGAAACTGAAGCCATATATATATTTCATAAGAAAAAAAAAAGAGACATGATTCCTAACCGAAAATGACAACGAGAAGTGAACATAAATTGACTTTACATATTGTGTGGTCAAAATAAAACTTTACTATTTCCTTTTTATAGATTTTTAACTATTTTAAAATAGTGTATGTATACCTTAAAATATAAAAAGCTTCATGTATGTATAGCTATTCTTGATCATGTCTCAAAAAATTACAATATCGTCACTCCATTATTTTTTCCAAGAAAAGTGACTAATGATGAAAAAACATTTTCGAGACAAAATTAAACTATACTACAATAGTTGATTCTCGAGATGGCCCAAAGGAAGCAACTCAGTCATGATTCTCTAACTCAAAGAACCAAAAACTTCAATAATTATACTAGTTACAGTGTCTAATCTCGCATCTTCGAATCCAAGAGGGTAAGTTTATCATATTTGAAGTTTTGTAAATCACCAAAGTTAGCTGTCAACAGTATGAGGGATGAAAATAAAATAAAGAAACAAAAATTATGTGTTCGCAGTTGAAATTTACGACCAGTTTCGCGGAATATGTACGGATGCACCAAACTTCTTCAAGATTTTTTGTTGTTGTTGTTGAGTACGATTTTTTCATTCACCATCTTGGTTTGAATAGTTGTCATGATTGAGATAGCATGATATTTTAATGTTTGAAACTGTTATTAAAGTCTAGTAAATGCTAACATAAATGATTGTGATTCTATAAGATATATGAGAACTTGCGAATGAGATTGTTGACCTACGCGGCTAACGCCATAGTTGAACTGGTTTCTTGATAGGTATGTGACAAGTAACTACATACATAGTTAAAAAAAAAAAAAAATACTCTTAATTATGTTATATAATTTTAAATTAAACTTAATAGATTCATATTCATGTTCATTCATGTAAATACAAAATCGTTGAACTTACATCCGTGACTCCGAAATTCGAATTTTATAATGGGATACATCTACTCACAAACCGCTAGCTATAGTACCGAAAAATAATTTAAATCAAAGAAAAAATATCATATATCACATATATGTATGTTTGATTTTTTCAGTTCTTTCTTTCATTATTTTATAATGATTTTAATTGTTAATTTTTATATTTGGACTTTTGTGGCCCTAAATAAAAAAAACGTCATGTTAAATTGGTTAAAAATACAGATTAACGGATTATTAGCAAGGAGCCAAATTAGGGAGCTAATGGTGAAAGGTTTGATCAGAATGATCGCTACTCACTCGTGCCACCAACGCCCTAAACATAGTTGACTCTTTCAAACTTTTGGTGCTTGAGTTTCATCTGTTTTAAAAATCTTTTGATGTATTGTATAACATTTAATCATCAAGGCTTTTGTATCCGATATAAACTCTTTAAAATGCTGCTTTGAGATTTTAGATTTTCTGAATTCGAAGTCCTTATTGTAGAAACCCTCAATAGTGTCATCTAAACTTCCTTGCTCTTTGGGCTTCTAGCCTCCAGGAATCACACTGGATCTCGTATATTCCTTAATTGGCCTTCCCATGCAAGTGCTGACTCATTGAGGGCCACAACTCTATGGGCTTTAATATATGCCCATTAGTTAGTTTGGTGTATATTTTATAGAGAGCAATATTCAAACCTAGAGAAGAAGATTGAGGACTTTGTGCCTGTGATTTTGTTTAGGTTGAGAGGATGTTTGAGAATGATAGGGCGAAGCCTGAGTACGTGACAGCTAAAATAGCGGTATGGTGGGACATGAAGGGCTGTCCTGTTCCTGAGGGTTAATGGGTTATGATGCTACTCGGGTCCGTCCGAGCATAGAAGTGGCGTTCAAGAAACTAGGCTTCTCTGGTCCTATCTCTTCCACTGGAGTCACTGTTGCACAAACCAAACCCGGTTTGTCTCAATTGCTAATTAACAGATATGTCTGAATTTAGTTGTGGTGTAAAGTTGAACAACTATGATCATCAAGTCCCTTTTTGACTGAAACAGAAAGCACATGCTCACTCATGTATTCGAATATGGTGGAGTGGCGAGATCATAATCCACCTCCAGCTACAATGATGCTCATATCCGATCAGTGGCGAGAATTCTTCTCTTGGGATCTAGCCCGTCTACAACAGCATACCAAATACAACCTTTATCTGGCTTATCCATTTAGGGTTCCCGTAGCTTTCGGCACTGCTAACTTGTGGAGAGTGGATCTGGAAAGAGTTACTTGAGCCCAAGAGCAGTGTTCAGGACATGTGCACCACTAGTGAATCATCACCTGCCACGTTTTATTGCAAATCTTGCCGTTTCAAGAACCAAAGCGTATTGCGTTTCAGGAAGCATCTCTCGAGTAGAAAGCATGCAGTGCAAGTAAGCCTCTCTCTCCCTCTCTCTCTGCTTGCATTAAATACATTGTCTTTAACTATTTGAGAGTATTTCCCACTCGCAGGAGGTTATAAACCCTATCCGTCAAGAACTTAACTATATAACGAAGACGTGGGGAAAGAACTACTCGGCCAAGCCTGAATACGCGACAGCTCAAATAGCTGTGTGGTGGGACATGATGGACTGTCCAATTCCTGAGGGTTATGATGCTCGCAATGTCCGTCCGAGTATAGAAGCTGCGTTCAATAAACTAGGCTACTCCGGTCCTGTCTACATCACTGCTTATGGCGACCGCAAACAAACCAGTGATGACATTCTCCGAGGACTCTCTTCTACTGGAGTCGGTCTTGCACATACCCCTGAACGTTAGTCCATATCCATCTCTGGAATTTTAACACTTCAACTTTTCCCTACTGAAATGCTTTCCTCATGTTGCTGAAAACAGATATCCAATTCAGGCGCATGTTTATAGTCAAAAACTCGAAATTCTTCTATATGTTTTAAAAATAAATAGAAATTCTATATATATTGAGAATGAAAAGTAAATAATCTAAACAAAAAAAATACTCCTAAAATCTAACCATTTTGTGTAAGATTTTCTCTTATACTGACCATAGTGTCGATTCTCAAATCCTATCTTGAATCAAAATGGTTTTCTAGGTTCGAGTAGTATTGGCCACGGGGGTTCGAGATTTAACATGGTTTTCCCCGCCCCCAGTAGATTAGTCTTTGGGCCTAGAAAACTTTTGGGATCACTCATGAGTTATCAAAAAAAAAATGGTTTTCTATAGTGTTTAATTTTCTCTTATGATTAAGTTTAGTTTTGGGTGATTTTGAGTAATAGCACCTTTTCAAGACTTTAGGATTGTCTATACTCCAAGGGGATGTAATGGCGTGGCTGATCGAGTAGCGAAGGAGTCTCTTTCCTTTGAGAACTATGATCCTAAATTGTACTCGTTAAAGTCATTTGGATTTAAAGCAATGTATTGGTCGATAAACCAAGTGTACTATGATTTGGTTAATGAAAGTTGAAGTTGAGCCAAAAATAAAAAAAAAGATTTGTAGTAAACATGTGGTTTATGTAAGTCATGCTTGTTACTTCCATTGTGAGAAAGTCTTGAAAAGGTCGTGCGAGTCTACTTTTTAGTTTATCTCTTCAGATTCTCATTTTACAATCCTTAAATATCAATCTTTACATCAACATTAACACGCTTTCGAAATTTATGAACAAAAGATTTTAATCAAACTGAAGTATCTCAATCAATCAGATATTACAAAAAAAAAAAAAACCCCACTACAACTCTTCATCCTCATCATCATCTTGGAAGAAAAGGTGACACAAATCTATTATAAGAAAAGGGCAAGACACACAAGATGTAAAACAGAAGTTGCAGTGGACTTTTCATTGTAATTTTTGAATCATATGTTGTAATGTGGTGTTTCTTAAACAGAAGTTGCAGTGGCTAAGTCATTAGTGCTGGTTTCCAAGAGATCTAATAGAGTAATCCTTCCACTATTGGTTCTGTCAAGCTTGTCAAACTGGTTACCAATCGGGTTAATGTCCTTATCCGTTATTTTTTCCATCTTCTTTAACTTGTATATCACATACTCTGCTTTACTGCATACAAGAAAACAAAAATTATACTAAAGATCACGTGATACTCGTCAAAGATGTTCATGGCAATTAGATAGGATATGTATACGAATCTAGCAAAGCTATGTATTGAATCGAATGCGAAAAAAATGCTTCGATACCTATAGATCAACTAGGAAACGATAAATGGTGCAAACGCGAGGAAAGTGATAAGAAGTGAGTTGAATGAGTACCTAACACAGCCATTGTGGTCGATATCCGCAGCAAAGAACTGAGAGATAGACATGTTTTCACCAATCACTTTCTTGGCCCTCTCTCTATTCCTCTTATCAACTCTTGCTTCAGCCAAATACAAAAACGCTCGAGCAACAGCTAAAGTAGACACAAGCAACCAAATCGCAGCAAGAAGCCTACCATGTAATGTATTAAAAGCCCGATCACCGTACCCAACTGTAGTAACCGACATAACCGAGAAATAAAACGAATCTAACCACCCGATTTTTTCGACAAAATGCATAATCAAAACTCCAAATCCAAGGCATAACACTACAACACCTAATGCCAACCCAACTTTCAACCTAATCCTCATCCTCCCTTTCTTGATATCGATTATATACGATCTTGCTTTCTCCCTGTCATCCAAGCTTTCATTCCTCGCAGCTTCTAACATATAGTTTTCTTGAAGATCAAGAACATAAGTAACCATTCCACTAAGCAATATATCCATAAAACCAAACCCAACAAGCACGAACAAGATCGAAAACAGCTTCGTCACCATACTATCCGGCGTGATATCTCCATACCCAATTGTACACATTGTAACAATACAAAAGTACAAAGCATCAACAACAGGATGAGTCTTACTCACATTGTAGTTATCTCTATTCAGCCAATAGATAAGAACACCTAAGGAAAGATACACAACAAGCAAAGCAACAGCTTGTCTTACAATTGTTTTTGAATCAGATTGCTCTGTTTTCTGATCATTTGGGTGAGAAAGATCGTTGATTGCAGCCATAGCCGGAGCTGTTTTAGACCGGTGGAATTGGTGAGTCGGTTTAGGTTTCCGCACCGGTACTACATTAGGCTCGGAAGGTGGGAGGAGAAGGTCTGTTGAATCGGAGAAGGAAGTTGTGGCAGAGGATGAAGGAGAAGGGTTTTGAGAAGGCACGTCGACGGGAAGAGATGAGTTTTTTTGAGGACGAGGGAACGGACCAAAGATTAATTGGTTTTTGAACTGAGAAGGAGTCATTGGCATCGGAATCGTGACGTCATTGTGTTCCGGTAAAGGAAACAGAGACGGTGGTTGGTTGATTCTTGGGATAATCAAGTATTGGCGTAATGGGTCATTGTTGTTGTCGCCGTTACCGTCGTTTGCCATCTGGGTTTTCGCCGGGAAACCGGAAAGTTGAGAGATTTCTGAAAACCAGGGTGGTTTTCCGATAATTGTGGAGAGAAGAGTTGGATAAAAGAGACAGAAGAAGCTTTTTTTTTTTTTTTTTCTGTCTGAACTCTGAACTCTGAAGCCCCACCAAACCAAAAGATTGAACCTTTTTGGGTTTATGATTTGGCTTTTTTTGCTTATCAGTGTTATTCTTGAGAATGGTTCATAACTCATAAGTAATTAAGTACTGTGATTTTATAGGATGAAAGTTTTCAAAGAGATAAATTTTTTTTAATAATAATAAAATAGAATAATTTCAGGAAATGATCTGTTGATTGACACATATTGGGATAGTTGTACTTGTATATGTTGTTACAAATTTGCATATTTTATTAAGATGATTGATACATGAATGGGAGGGACATTGCCACTTAGGTTTGCCTTTAGTTTATAATTACTTGGAACTATTTGATGAACAAACCCTATGTTTCAACTAAATTATAAATTAGTACCATAACAAACAATTCCATGTATCAAAAATTGAATTGAAGTTTATGGGGTCATAAAACTTTCTAAAGTTCTTACTATCAACTTTTCATGAGTTAAACCAAAAGATGATTGTTGTCAATAGAAAATAAAAGTTTTCTCCACTTTGGAGAGAAAATATTTGGTTGATCCGTTGATGTAAGTGGATAAATGATGATCAGCAATATGATGATATGGAGGTATAAAGAGGGACCAATACATGCGACAAAGCCAAACTCCAAGTAGGCAAGTACATGTACTGAGTCTCAGACAAAGACTTTTTGTTCTTGTTGATTTTTGCAAACAATCGAAAGACTTCTCTAAGTAAATAAAGGAATCAGTCTTCCAATTCCTTTGTTTTTATTTGTTTGTTTGTAAGAATGTTAAAGTTCGATTTCCTTTGTATAAACTCAAAACAATACAAGTAAGTAGGCAACCAAAAAAAAAAAAACACAATATAAGTATATAATTTTTTTCCCCACCAAAGTTGTACTTCAAGAATAGTTGTGAAAATGAAATACAAGTTTGATTGGAAATTTGGAATGAAGAACATATTTTTCATACATAGAAGTAAAATTACGTTTGACAAAAAAAAAAGAAAGTAAAATTACAAAAAAAAAAAAAATTGTCATATTTTTGGTAGCTAGAAGTAAAACTACAAATTTTGTTGATGTCAACGTAATAAGTTTAGTTTTGGAGTAAAACTGTCGATATGTACAATTGTTGACAAAAACTATAAAGTACATAATAATCTTGTTCATAGAGATATTAATAATTTTAGAGTTCATAATCTCAAATTTATTTTCAAAATTATTGTAAAACATCCGAAAAAAGTAAGATCATTATGTAACATTTCAAAGTTAGTGAAGAAAATGTTTAATCAAAAACCATTTTAAATAATGAATAGTGGATTCGTTGGTGTGAAAATACAAAATACAGAAGATAAACAATTTTTGTACGTTATATGCGTACTTAAACAGTTAATGACTTTATGTATTGTGTTGGGTGAGATTTAGTCATATTGGAAATGAAGGGGTCAAATCCTATAAACTTTAGAAACACTAACCAACTTGTGCAATAAAAATAAACAAAATTGAAGGGGTCAACTATATTTGTCAACGGGACGGTGTCTTTTTCTAGCCGAGAATCACAAAAACGGCACAACGTGTCGTTTTCGCCCTATCAGATGACACGTGGTTCGGAATGTTATATTTTGAGATTTTCTTACACCTTTTAAAAATCTTTTTTAATCCAAATTTTGACACCTTCGGATTTTGAGAAAAAAATAAAATAATAATCAAAATGAATACGTCCACTGAAAAATTCATCACAAAAATCAAGTGAATGAAAACAATTGATTATATTATTCAAAATCAATTTGTAAAACCACTAATATCGCTACCTCTCATTTTCACAACACATGTAAGGAAAACACATTATAGGTGACTACTACATATTTTAAGGTTTCATAGTTGCAGTTGTGAGAGATCAATCATGTCAAGAGCTCCAATAAAGCAAACATGTAGAGTTCATCGAGCTCACGTTATACTGTATTTGTCAATGATTGTTTGCAGCCTTTAGTGAAAAATGATGACAAGAAGTCAAACGTATTATATAAACAAGATTATTCAAAGGCTAAGGCATATAAATATTAACAAAACTAAGTAGCTTACACTACAAAGAATGGTTAGTAAAAGCCAAAAAGACCATTATAAGAAGTCGTCAGTGTGAAAACGTATTCAGAGTATAATTAAGCTTTGATTGGTCGGTTTTTGGTTAGTTGTAGTTTCTTAGCGCCATTGATGTTGTTGTTGGATTTGGTTAGATGGATCTCCTCTTCTATTGTTTTGTTGGTACAGAGATGCATAGTAACGTCTGTTTCTTTCAGATACATTACCAATCCCTCTGTAACGCTCCTCTTGTTGTTGGTTATGTCTGAAACTCAGTGACTGCTGATTCTGATGACCCGGGACTGCGCTGCGATACTGTCTTCTTGAGTCGTTGTGTCCTTGAGGAGTCCACATGTTTGAGTTCCCATTCTGAAGGTCAAACCACAAATAAGAAACACAGAGTTCTGGTTATAACATTCTCCAAACCAATTAAACAGAGAAAAGCTGGACAAAAATGAGAGATGTGTTGAATTTACCTGATGCTGAAGTGATGACAAGTGATTGCTAAACTGTGCACGGAAGTCATATTCATGCTCAAACCTCGAGTTCTCAGTGTTATGACTCAACATAGCAGAACCGTAAGCCAAACCATTAGTGGAACCGTAAGCAGAACTGCGGGTGGAAGTAAGAGCAGCCACAGCTGGTTGACGCAGATCACTGAGTCTGTACAGAGAGAGCGGTGCATCTATGGAAGGCTGATGGTAGGCGTTGTTGTTACTACCACCATGTTGCTGAAATGAGGATGTTGGCATGTCGTAGGTATCATTCTGTGTTGGCAGAGGGCAAGGATAGTTCATCCTATTATCATAATCCCCTGAAGGAACATTCGGCTGAGAGTAAAGGTGGTGGTTCATGGTTTGCCGATTTATCTGTGGTTCATTGATAGAAGCGATTAGTAGTGCCTGGTAAAGAAAAGTCGTTTAAAGATGGAATTAGATTGGTGCTTTATAAGAAATAGAGTTACCTCGTTCATGGAACTTGATAGCCTACGACCAAGTGAAGATGCAGTAGGCATTGACTGAATGAGAGGAGAAGCTGAGTGCCAAGGATTCAGTTCCCTCGTGTATGCTTGTTGATGCTACAACAGAAGACCAAAAGAAAGCACATATATAAGGTAAAGAGTATCTCATACTATGACACAATTGGTTTGATTCAGAGAAATTAGGATTCTTATAGAGCACAAGATTTAGCATGAGTAGTTGTGAATTATGATGCAGTAGAATAAGCAATTAAGCTAGCAGTTTCTATTACCATAGCGTTGGGGAAGGTATTAACACTTTCTGAAGGAGCTATCACAGGATTGAACACCTGACTAATATCAAATGTGAAATCTGTAGCAGATGAAGACATGTACTGATTTTCTTGAGTAGGTTCTGTGTGATCACAGTATGGGGACGAATGGTAACTACGAGGGGCATCCGAGTTGACTTGATGTGCCATTTGTTCATTAGCAACATTCGTCTTTAGTTGTTGTTCTTCCTCTTCATGGCACTCACCATCTCTGTGAAAATGTTTATGAGATCATTATATCATTAAAACGTATCAAGCTAGTAGAGCAGATTAAAAAAAAAATGGCTTACTGTAAGTTCAGGTGCCTGAGCGGCAAATCAACTGCAAAAGCGGATGTTTTTTCTGAGTCATCATTCAAGAACTGTGATGGGAGACCACTGGGTTGGCCAGGTCCAATCATCACAGAACCAAAACTACCAAATCTCATTTGTCGTAACTCGTTAATAAATTGGTCTGAATTAACAGGCACCGATGGATCTTTGGCTGAAATAGGAACAAATAGAGCATGAAACAACAGTATCAGAAAAAGATAACATAGCAGGTTTCAGAAGAGAAAAATAATCTCACTTTGATTGTAATTGTCACACAACAACTGTGAGCTTCCATCTGCAAAATCGGATATATCTTGTGAGTCATCATTCAAGAACTGTAATGGGAGACTGTTATTTTCGCCAGATCCATTAATCCAAGAACCAAAACGACCAAATATCAAATGCTGTGACTCTTTAATACATTGGTCTGAATTAACAGGCGCCGGTGGATCTTTGGCTGAATTAGGAACAAATGGAACATGAAACATCATTATCAGGAAAAGAAAACATTAGCAGGTTTTATAAGAGAAAAGTAATCTCACTTTGATTATGCTCAAGAGAACATTTTTGCACTTGGCAAGTCTCGTCATTTTTGTTATTGTCATTGTCACACAACAACTGTGAGCCTCCATCGTCACTATCGCGGAAGTTTTGGTTGGATACCGAAGCAGACTCTTGAGGTTGATCTCTTCTAGAAGCAGACTCAACTGAGTTAGAAAATAGATTAGGAGCCACTGGCTTCTCAGGTAAGAGATCCTTGACAGGAGCTGTTACACTCTCTTTCAAAGAGCCTAAACCATTCTTCACAACATCCGCCATTGTTCTCTGGCTAGAGGTAACACATCCCAAAGCAGATGTCAACCTAGAAGATGGCACAGATAACGAAGGATCGGCTTCATCTGAGCTTATTGGCACTCTCTTAGTTTCAACATTTGATACATCACTGTATAGACACAGATAGTGAAGGTAAACCTGTCATTAACTTCCATGCCACTTCATCAATTATCAGAAAACAATTGACAAAATGAAGGCACTTACAAGAGATTGAACCTGTCTAATGGAGGACCAGGATTATGAATTCCTTGCACATCACTCGTCTCTGAACCAAACCCATTGATAAGTTTAGACATTTGTTAAGATACAGAACCATAGAAGAAAAAATACGTTTTATGCAGCTCATTACCTTCACCAAGATAACCATCACCACCATTCCTCAAGTCACAATTCTGGTTGCTACTACCAACTCTTTGAGAATCCGATAAGTTCTTGGTCTAAGAAAAATAAGTGAAGTAGGACACAAAAAGGTTCAAGCTTTACATTAGAAATCACAGAACAATCTATATAGTACACAAAAACAAACCTCTTTCTTCTTGTCTCGTTTACTCTTTACTTCCTGGAAACTATCTGCAAAAGTAATCAAAGAAACATTGTCAGAAATCAATTAGAAGACAAAGAATCATGAGGCAAGAAGCTTAACAAGATAGATGCAGAAGTAACAAAGAAACATTACTATCACTAGCACCAGGTTTCAATTTCCATTAACTACTCAAGAAACATACCAATCACAATCAGAGTGAAAAAAAAAACAAGCCTTGCTCTGTTTTCTTTTCCACTTTCAACCAAACAACTTCAAAGCTAATATAAAACAAAAAGGCAGAAACTTTATGAAAGAAACCTTGAGAAAGAAGACGAGTAATGGCTTCGTCAGCATCCATATTGCATTCAACAAGCATTGCGTAAATCTCTTGTTCGGAGCAATTCACTACTTCCTTCATAGTCTGAACAATCTCTCTCGAACTCTCCGGGATTGCATCTGCGTTAACGTTACTGTCTTCTTCTTCTTTCTTTCTCTGCCTTTTCCGTTTTTTGCCGGAAGATGAAGAACCCATTTCTTCTGAATGAACTCAGAACCTTCGATTTCTCTCAACCTTTCACTGTCGCTGAATCAACAAGCAGAGGAAAGAGCGAAAAATATGATCTTTTGTCTCTTCGGCTTTTAAGTAATCAAGAAACCCTTCTTCTTCTTCTTTTTTTTCTTTTCTCTCTTTCAATTTTTTTTGCTTAATAATGGTTTTGTGGGAAAGGAAATAATTTTTCAAATTTGGAAATATACAAACTACTTCCAAAAGTATTATCCCGTAAAATTCCATAAAATTACACCAACTTATTATTTTATTTCTACAAAAGTAAAAAAAAAAACTTGCATACCAAAAAAAATAAAATACACAGACCTACTTTTTATTCATTTTAATTGATACTTAAATTCTGAACGTATATTCAGTTTATAAACCAAATAAAAATTGATTACAAAAAAAATAAGTAATAAATTAGATGAAATAACAGACAAAAGTTTAATTTTCTAAAATTAGATGAAATAAAATTACTTACAATAATATTTTTGTTTTTCAGTTTTTAGTGACTCAAAAACGTCAAATAATATAATGAAGATATTTATTGCTCAAAAAGAATTTTATTTTAAAATTATTAGTTACGTAGTTATAATTACTTTTTTTTTTGGTCATCTAATTTCATTTTCTTTATTTCTCATTTTATTAGCTACAGTTAAATCAGCTTATCTAAAGCTAACCAGGAATGAATTACCACGACAAAGTATGGAGGAGTTCTGGATGCGGATATGGCAAGCCACGGTACCGGAGAGAGTACGGAGTTTTCTTTGGCTTGCTGGTCACCGAGTCTTAATGACGAATGCGGAGAGGTATCGACGTCATTTATGCGCTTCAGCTATTTGTACGGTCTGTAAATGGGGCGAGGAATCTATCATACATATTCTTCGAGATTGTCCGGCCATGGCTGGAGTGTGGAGACGGTTAGTACCACCGGGGAAAATTCATCACTTTTTTTCTACTTCCACCTTGGAATGGCTGTATGATAATCTTGATGGCAAAGATCCAGCTTGGTCTACCCTATTTAGCCTGGCTGCTTGGTGGGGATGGAAGTGGAGATGCGGCAATGTATTTGGTACTACGGGTACTTGCCGGGATCGGGTCAAGTTCCTTAAAGACTCGGCGAAGGAAGTGTTTGACGCCAATATAGCCCTAAAGCATTCACAACGGCAGGTGGAGCGGGTGGAGCGGTTGGTGGCGTGGATTCGCCCAAGTCATGGTTGGTTTAAAATGAACACGGATGGGGCTTCTAAAGGTAATCCGGGTCTGGCTTCAGCGGGTGGAGTGCTTCGTGATGAGACCGGATCATGGGTGTGCGGTTTCTCTCTCAATATAGGGATATGTTCTGCTCCTTTGGCAGAACTTTGGGGTGCGTATTATGGGTTATACACAGCTTGGGAGAAGAGGGTTACTCGGTTGGAGATGGAGATTGATTCGGAGATGGTAGTTGGTTTTCTCACGACAGGGGTTAGTGCAACTCATCCTTTGTCGTTTCTGGTGCGTCTGTGCCATGGCTATATTTCTAGGGACTGGAATGTCCGGGTGACTCACGTGTATCGCGAAGCCAATCGCATTGCGGACGGCTTAGCTAATTATGCGTATGACCTTCCTTTGGGTTTTCATTTTTTTGGCTCTGTGCCTACTAGTTTAGCTTCGCTTTTTAGAGATGATGAGCGTGGAACTGCGATTCCACGTCGAATTTGTATTTGATTTCTTTTATATTTCGTAATAAAATGAGGGAGATTTCTCCCTCTCCATTACCAAAAAAAAAAAAAAAAAAAAAGAACTATAGTTTCCTTTTC